TTGACCCCTCGGTTTCACCATTTCACCAGATGTTCCCCGGCATGACTGCCTCCCAAGCCATGGCTGAGGATGATGCAAACTTCGACTGGATGACACTGGGGTTCGAGAACCAAATGTCCTTCGCTCAAGCCAATGAGAACGCTATTGATGACTCCTCGCCCTCGGCCATGAGTACCAACAGTCCAGCTCCTATAAATGATATGAACGGCGACCCCAATATTGCAGCCATGCAGCAAGCTTCAGCCACTGCAAGCAATATGTGGTCTACTACTCTTGCGGCCCACGCCCCTTTGTTGAACAGTCCTATGAGCATTGAAATGTTGTCCAACTTCAACGATGTTGTCAGTGCTACAATGGGGACTGTGTCGCCGAAATCCTTGTTGGGTCAAGCAACCGCTATGGATATGAGTCTTCCAACTCCGCCGGATTTTGCCTCAATGGATGCTTCCGCTATGCACTCGACACCTCAATTTACCGGTTACCAGCTCCCCTTCGCTGGGGACGGACCTGCCTCTACTACATCTACCACCTCGATGGATAGTAGTCTTCGTCAGAGCTCGGTTACAACAATGTCCTCAGATTTGGTCAATGATCATATTCGGAATGTCTTGATTGCCGGTCTTTCTCAAAACGCAGGATTCGGACAGCGCAAATACTCCCAACCTGCAATCAGTTCGCCGCTGTCTCCAAGCTCCAATAGCCGCCCGAAAGGATTCAACGCCAGCACCTTTCCAAGCACGCCTGAGTTGCAGCGATATGTGTCTGCCTATATTAAATACTTCCACCCACACCTTCCCTTCCTCCACATCCCGACCCTCAATTTTGAGTCGCCGGACTATACAACTCCAATCAGGCTAATTTCCGGTCAATCTCAATTTGGCCAGGCTACTGTAGCCGGAGGAGGCAGTTGCTTGATCCTAGCAATTGCTGCCATTGGGGCTCTCTATGAGCATGAGGTGTCTCAGTCTAGAGAACTCTTCGAATGTGCCAAGCGTTTGATTAGCAGCTATCTCGAAGAAAGGCGCAAGGCTAACTTGACAAAAACCCAATTCGGCCCCCGGCATTCTGCTGAGCGGGAGGATACGCCACTCTGGTTGGTCCAGGCTATGCTGTTGAACGTAATTTATGGCCATAACTGTGGCGATAAAACAGCAGCTGAGCTTGCAAGTAACCATTGCGCTGCCCTAGTAAGCCTTGCTCGCGGTGCCGAGCTAGCAAAGCCTTCTCAGGGCTACAGCGGAACAGGGGCCAACGATACCAACGTCAACATCCAGATGGGTGGCATGCCGAACAACGGCTGGAGCTCAATGATCAGCGAAAACGACGATTCGGACTGGTTTGAGTGGAAGGTCATGGAAGAACGTAAGCGAACTCTGTATGCGGTCTTTATCCTTTCAAGCATGCTTGTGACGGCTTACAACCATCCACCGGCACTCACCAATTCTGAGATCCGACTGAATCTGCCCTGCGCTGAAGAACTCTGGGCTGCCGAGTCTGTGCAGATGTGGCGCCATTTAGGAGGAGCGAGCGCGGAGACGGGCGCTCTCACCTTTGCCGCGTCATTGACACACCTACTCATGTCCGCACACCGAAAGCGACGGCGGAACAGTAATGTAACCGCAGTCGCGCCGACAAGCGAGCTAGAGCTCACACCAAGTTCATTCGGCTGCTTGATTCTGATCAACGCGTTACATAACTACATCTGGGAAACACGACAGCGGCATCTGGGACGACAATGGACCGCAAGCGAGACGGAACAAATGCATGCACACATTGAACCGGCACTCACTGCTTGGCAAGCGGCATGGGCGAGCAGTCCTAAGCATAGTATTGAGCGACCCAATCCATTTGGCGACGGGCCCCTATCTGCGGACTGTGTCCCTTTGCTTGACCTGGCTTACATCCGCCTTTTTGTCAATTTCGGCAGGTCAAAGGAGGCATTCTGGCAACGGGACTACGATGCCATGGCGGAAGAATTGGCCAAAGGCTCAGAGGCGGTCCCAGGCCAGGAAACGGGCAAAGCGGAGCGCAACAGCAACTCTTCATCTCAAAATCCAGATAGCAAGAATCAAGAGCAAATGCCGACTCCCGTGGAAGAGGGCATGAAAGTGGAGCCAGGAGAACAGGAGCAGGAGCGGCTGCAATCGCACTCTTCTCGGCGTGAACGACACCTTCGGAAGGCAGCATTTTACGCCGCCGATTCCCTGGCCATGTCTGACAAACTCGGTCTGAGTTTCGCTGAACATACCTCTCGGGAGCTACCAACACAATCGGCGATGTGTGCATTTGACTGTGCGCAAGTCCTCGCAGAGTGGATCGCGACTGTACAGGAGCGGGTTGGCAAGTACCTGGGTGTCATTGGCCGCGACGTCATGAACCTGATAGAAGTACCGGGCATCCTTCTCCTCGAGGATGAAGACCGGTCACTGATTCACAAGATCGACGAGATTCTGACGAGCGCCGAACACAAGGTCGAAGCCCAGGGCGGATTTGATCTTTCGGCGGCACGAGAAGGCGGCCATGGTAGCAGAATCCTTGCACTGACGGCGTACATACTAGGAAGGGACTCTGTGTGGCCTGGTGAGTAAATGCCTACGCGTCGGGATACAGTATGCTAAGCCTTTGACACAGTCTTCAAGCTCATGGCGCGATCCCTGGAGACCCAGGCAGGGCACATCAAGGAGCGAGCATTAGCTTCAGTTTCGAAGTCGTAATGACATGCAGCAAACCCCAGACACCTATCTCGAGGTCACGTCGACCAACCTAATTATCTTTTTCTTTCGCAACTGCGACGGATGCATGGTGGATTGAGACACTTGTTTTAATTTTGACTCGAATCTTGACGATACCAGTCGATATGATTATCAGGACATATGATCGCGATATACCCCACAGCAACAAAATCTGTGATGCGAAAAGTCTGCGGAGACGAACCATTTCTGGTACAGGGACATTCCAAAAGTTTGGGAATCCTTTTGATTGCGGAGTACATATGGGACATATCATGGGAAGGCCGGACTGTGGATCTCTCTTGGTGGGAGGCTTGATTTTTACACGAGCGACGCAGTCGATGAAATGTAATTGTACGTTGGAGGAAGATCTTGATGGACAAAAGCAAAACGTCGACGGGGACCAGCTTGGGGGTCGCCCTGGTGAGGGTCAATGAAATTGGGATGGATTGATTTACTATTTGGGTGGCCCCCCCCCACCAGCTTTGGGTAGAAGGGGAGCCGTATGAGGATCTGGCAGTCTGCAGCCTGCAGCTACGACGAGGGCAAATTTATGCAGGGTCGAGCCAGGTCAACTGCCCGTATGCGGCCAGAGCTGGATGCTTTTTGTTTTTTCTTTTCCCAGCATCTGCAGGACCAGGTCATGCGCCGCAACGGCAGCAGGCTTCTGTTTCTTCTGAGGGATTGATATGCAGCACTGGCGGATCTTGACCACGAATGGACGATCGTTGTTATCGAGCATTGTCACATGTTTGCTTTGGATACCGTTAGGTAAATTCAAGCGACTGCCGATTTACCAATAAACGGGGAGTATGTTGAGGCGATACAGCCTCGATGTACGTGATTAGTCCTTGTCCCGTCGAGTCGGTCAGTCTCGTAAGCGGTCAGAGTGATCTGCTACCGGAAATGGCGGTTCAGGAGGTCTTGTAACTTCATGTAGCCAAGGCGGACCATTCTTCTTAAATCTAAGACCCTTGGAGGGAGACAACCAACCATGGGGCGCTGCTGTAGAATCGACGTCCCGCTCTCATCGGGATCGATTTGTACGGAGCATGGCCTCAAGGGTGGGGGAGTGGAACACCGAGCAGAAGCGGCCAGAGATAAGCCGGCCAGATGCAGCGGCTGAATGATATCTACATATCCCAATTTTGCCTCCTGTCGGGTGCCAATCATACCTAGGTACATGTAGACTGATGGGAGATGGATGGAAAGGAAGTACGAGGTACCGAGGACAGGGTACCGGGTACAGAGCAATTGTTTAGGTAGTACTCGGTACCTGGTAGAAGTGTTGGTGGTTTAAGCCGAGTGCCCGATTGCCTACCAAGTAGGTATGCGTGGGCATGGCGTGGGCGTGGCGTGGGCGTGGCGCAGGCTTGTAGTTGGTTCGGGCCCCGGCACCTCAACACTAACCCCATAATTCAAGAACGACACCAGGCCAGTGGCCACGCGCAGTGCCACGCGCAGTGCCATGCTATTCCCCCAGTGCCCCCCAACGCCCCCAAGACCGCCGGATCTGCATTCGACAAGGCTCGGCGACTTAATACGATCTCTGCTCAGCTAATTGCCGCCCTCGAAAAAAAGAACTCCTCACGTCAACTTGGCCTTGCTTGGCCGTTGCTCCTTCGCTATCACATAGACACCCAATACCCAAACAAGACTACTTCCAAGATTCTCTTTGCTGAGTGTGCTTCCTTCACTTGCTACAACAGTTTCTCATCTTTTTTGCCCAGTCTGCACGAACGCCGTACCAACAAGAGCCTTCCCTTCCCCACTCTGTCAACTCAGCATCGGAATCCCACCACAGTACATATAGCAGCCCTCCCCCGTGGGCTTTCATTCATCCCCTTCCGCCCCTCGATCCTTTCATTCGCCTACCGCCGTACTGTCCCTCTCTATTCCGGAGTCTCTACGCTCACTATCGAATTCCCCTGTCGCCGCACCCGATCGCCACCTCCCTTGGAGATAGACTCCTTACTATTACGCTGCTTCAACCACAAATGCTTCCAGACGCTCTCTGAATGCGGTGGGTTCTGCATCACGATCTTCACCAAAGAGAAGGAAACGACTGGGGATAGCACTGCTTAGCACAGGCAATATAACTATACTGTCGATATAAATCCAATATCTGTGCATATTCTAGAAATACATGCGGAGGGAATCTGTCGCTTGAAGCCCAAAAATTCTGGCTACAATTTCTCTTGCAAGCCGAATCTGACACCAAAGACTTTTGCGACTCTGTACGACTCCTAGGTTTCACGGCATCGGTCCCAGATGGCGTGGCACCAACTCAGCATAGACAAACCGCACTTGGTGTACATCATCCTGGGGGGTTTTACTAGCATATTCATGCTATGCTCGCTCTTCATCAAGGAGAAACTGTACATTGGCGAAGCTACCGTGGCTACAATATGCGGTGTCATATTTGGACCTCATGCCGCAAATCTCATCAACCCTCTGACATGGGGTAACACCGACCAGATTACTCTCGAATTCTCCCGCATCGTCCTGGTTGTTCAGTGTTTTGCCATCGGCGTCGAGTTGCCGAAGGCCTACATGGAACGACACTGGAAGTCGGTGGTCTTCCTCTTGGTTCCGGTTATGACTTTTGGCTGGCTGATCACCAGTCTGTTCATATGGTGGATGATTGTTCCTCTTAGCTGGCTGGAGTCGCTAGTCGTCGCAGCTTGTGTCACGGCCACGGATCCGGTCCTGGCTTCGTCGGTCGTGGGAAAGGGCAAGTTCGCAAAAAGAGTTCCCAAACATCTTCGAGATGTCCTGTCTGCCGAATCCGGTTGCAACGACGGAATGGCCTTTCCATTCATCTATCTGTCTCTGTACCTGGTGAGGTACCATCTTCGCGCCAGAGAGGTCATCTTTCATTGGACGTGTTACACTATCCTCTATGAATGCATTTTCGGCGCGTTCTACGGGGTCATGGTCGGGTACATGGGCCGTCACGCCATCAAATTTGCCGAACGAAAAGGTTTAATTGATCGCGAAAGTTTTCTCGTGTTCTATTTCGTCCTGGCCTTGTTCTGCGCCGGCTCTGGGAGTATGTTGGGAATGGATGACCTTCTCATTGGATTCGCTGCTGGAGTTGGATTTTCGAACGACGGTTGGTTCACCGAAAAGACGGAAGAGTCCCATGTCTCCAACGTGATCGATTTGCTTCTCAACTTGGCCTACTTTGTCTACTTTGGGACCATCATCCCATGGGATCAGTACAACGCGCAAGCACATGGCCTTACCCCTTGGAGGCTAGTCGTCATTTCCATCATGGTTATCTTGTTCCGTCGGATACCTGCAATGCTGGCTCTCAAACCCCTCATTCCCGACGTCAAGACTTGGCGGGAGGCTTTGTTCGCCGGTCATTTTGGACCCATTGGGGTCGGCGCCATCTTTGCGGCAATCCTGGCTCGTGCAGAATTGGAAACAGATAGTACGACACCGTTAGCCACGCTTCCTGAAGAAAACGAGGAATATCAGTTGATCTACCTCCTATGGCCTGTGGTCACGTTCTTGGTCATCTCGTCAATCCTCGTGCATGGTTCCTCGATTGCCGTGTTTACCTTGGGCAAGCGGATCAACACTCTGACAATCACTCTGTCGTACACTCAAGACAACGAAAAAGGCCCCGCATGGATGCAAAGACTTCCCAGAATTACGTCTCAGTCAAGATCTATGTCGCGCAGGGAGAGCTCGGAGCTGGACATTGACGAGAAGCTGGAAGTCCCTCCCGGAGAACTCCCGCCAATTGGAATTCCCAAGCTCCATCTCAGGCGACAGCGGGAAGACGAGTATGAGAAGAGGCCGGGCTCCAGGTCTTCGAGTCTTGGCAGAGCACGGAGACGGAGAAGGCGGGATAGAGATCTTGAAGAACGACTGGGAGGTCCCGTCAGTCAAAGTGCCATTGCCCCGTCAAGACTCAGTGAGCCTGCGCTCGTGCAACAGGAGTCCGGTTCGGATACGTTGTTTGACAAATCCGGCGAACCTTCGCCGCAAAGTCGCCAAGAGCGCCTCGGGGCTGTGTCGCCGACCTCTTCCCCAGAGCGCCGTCAGCTTGAAGCTGAGCGGGAGACTGGGGTTGAGCGGGTGCCCGTTCGCCGTGCGCGATCTCCGCCACCTGAGGGCGCAGCTGCAGATGTCGAGGCATATGAAGAAGGTGACAATATTATCGTCGAAGACGTGGAAGGAAACGTGATAGATACGATCGATGCCAGGCACATGTCAGCTGAAGAAAGGTCTGAGGCTATCGAGAAAGCCCGAAATCGCTTGGCCAAAGACGAATCCGGGAAGTTTACAAAACACAGCCACGAGCCACATGCCAGAAATGAAGGTGAGGAGCTGGAGGAGGAGATTGAACAAGCTGTTATACCAAAAAGTATGCGGCAGAGATTTGACCAGTGGAAAGGTTTCGGCAGACGGAAGGAGGGAGAAGCCGGACCTTCTGGCACCAAGCACCCTGAACGGAAGAGAGGTCCCGCTCATGCCTACCAATTTGGCAACACTGTCATTGTTGAAGACGAGGACGGCGAAGTTATCAAGACATATAACATTCCTAGCGAGACTGGGGGTGGCGACAAGACAAGGGAGCAGCAAGTGCGGGATGGGCTGCGCCGGATGAGCACATGGGTTGGTTTGGGCCGACAAGCTGGTCCCGCAGGCCCTGCAGGACCCGGTACTGCTGCTCCTGCGACGTCGGAAAAACGAGACAACTCCCCGAAAGAGGAAGCCGAGAAAAAGCGAGATTTCAGGAGGCACATTAGCGATGCATCCTCTGATGATGGTTTGAGAATGACCATCTCCAGGGCTGATCAATACGGTCTGACGGGTTTGCAAAAGAAGACTCGGGATGCTCCCGGGACTATTGCACTGGGGTCTGGCCGACGACTATCGACGAAAGACTTTATCAGGCAAATGCAACAACTAGACTCCAAGAATAAGATTCGAGAGGTCGAAAGGAGTGACGCTACAGAGGATATCAAACGAGAAGTGCGCAGGGTTGCGAAGATGGAAAGAGAAGGTCTTGACGAGCCGACGTCGCCTGATGAAAGGCCAGTGCGTGGCCGAACCGAGACAAGTATCGGAGGCACCGCAGCTCTTCGCCGCCCGGGCGTTAGCCGAAGAACTACGAGTGAAGAAGAAGCCGAAGACTATTTCAGCCCTCAACGGCGTCCGAGACCCGATCGACTGGCCACCCATGGCCGTCATCGAACTTTGAGCGAGGGGAGTGAAGAAGAGGAGGAAGAGGAAGAGGGGGAAATTCCAACTCATAACGTGAGGTCGAGTGTAGTGAAGCATGGCAAAGGTCAGACTGCGGCAGACTTTCGCAGGCGACACCTGGCGAGGATCCGGTCCGAGGGGGAGGAAGAAGAAGAGAACGAAGACGAAGGAGAAACCGCCGCGGAAAAGAGACGTCGGCTGGCCGCATTGGGTTTGGGTGGCGGAGATGAAGATTCTAGCAGCGAGGGTGACGAAGACGAGCCTCGTCGAACTGAAGCCGCCGTGCCAGAGCCCACCTACGAAGCATCCTCATCTTCGGCTCAACCTAAAGCGCGTATCCAATGGGGCGGTGAGAGGGGACGAGAGAAGAAAGACCCTTATGACATCTACGCGGGCGATCCCATTGTTGGTGCTGCAAGGAAACTGAGAAGGATGATGAAGAAGAAAAGTTGAGCAGTTTATGTACCCCTTTTGAAGGCTATCTGTCAGCAGCGGGTTTCACTATTTTTGTCGCCTTTTGGAAAGATGGGTCCATGACAAGCACGATGATGATGTCGTCTGTGGTGCACATATTGAGGTCTTGCAATTTGAATACGGTATATCTTGTTGGCTTTTTTAAGGAGTATGCATGTAATGCCTTTTGTGGCTAGGTAGCAAACCATGTAAAGTGGCTTGACGACTACGATGACAACAACATGGCCGCCGTATCGATCAGGCGGGTACGGATAATCTCAAAGACTAGAGAGCACTGGTTCAATGGATAGGCGCAGTGTTTATTATGAACGGCGATCGCCTCTAATCTAACCTGCCGCCATGCTGGTGGCTCCTCTGCTGCTGCGCTGTCCCTTTGTTGCGCCTGTTAGAAGTTCATTCTTGATGCATTCTTCAACAGAACATGTGTCATGAATATACCACCATACTCAGCGACGGGATCTTACACTTTTGTGAAATGAGCTGCTCCTTGGACCGGAGAAAAAAAGTCCAAGATGTTGGAGATATTCTCCACCATATTGGAAATACATTGTCCTCCAACAATCACTCCTTCATCCGGAGACGTTCGACAGTCATATTTTGAGCCGCCGCGCCCAGCGCCGTTTTCCAATCATCTAATGGGAGAGTCTTTAGACGCACCCAATTAGTTCGCCTGGGAAAACAGGGCATCTTTCTCCTCGTCTCGCGTAATCTTGACCGCATCGACGCTGGCAGTGGGCCATCCTTTCTGACGTGTGTCTTCAGCCTCGCCAGTTCCTGTTCATTTCGACCTACGGCAATGACCCTGGCGCCCATGGCAATGGCGACTTGCACACGGCACTGCCAACCTCTCCTGTGAACGGACAGATAACATTGGTCTCACCCGGCTCAAGCCTGATGTCTCGGGGGCCGCCGAAAGGCGCGAGGAGGTGGCTCATATATACCAGATCCTGAGCGCCATAGCCCAGGTCCTGGCATAGCCTGACTTCGTCAAGGGGCACGCAGTTTTCTAGGGCGACTTTGGTGAACTCGGCAGACATACCATCGCGCCAAACACCTTTCATGAGCTTGGCAGCGTTCGCATTCAAGGCCGTCCGGGTTCGCTGACAGAATGATAGCTTCGGGATTATCACGCCCCCGTATGACGCAGTCAACGCGAACCAGTTTTCCAGACTATTTGCGATACCGCATCTGGTCCTACTGCAGCGACTCGTCCAATGGCGCTGTACCCGCCAACCAGTGGCTTGGGAAGAGCATGGTCGCGTGTCCCGTCGCAGATGTCGCGTTGGTAGGAGAGCACGCCAGCTGCGAGGACGCGTCCGTTGTCGCGTGGTCGGCGTGACCGTTTTGCAAAGAGGCTGAAGAGATCCAATTGATGGTACGTATTTGAACCGAAAGCTGGGTAATACCCGAGAAATAGCACGGTCAGACGACGCAGTCTTGGTAACAAAGCAAAAGTGATTTGCAGGTTGATCGAAGGTGCCTTTCATTTGCCATGAGCATTTCGTTTACCTGGTGCGCTGGTCTCGTTGGGAAAATAGCGGTGCCCTATTCTTTGTCTATGCTGTTAGCTACATTGACATCAGCGGCCGTCTTGTCGTGGCTGAACTCCCTTTGGCTGCATTAAATACGGCGTGCATTTTGTGTCAGACTGGGTTTTGGCCCTGTGCTCAAAGGGAGCCCTGTAGACCTATCACAAGTTGACTAACCTGGCCCGCATCGGGAGTTAACAATCGAGTTTATATATTGCACTACCAGAAAACTTCGTAGATTCCAGCCACACAACTGGCCTCCATTCTGGTCGTATAGTGTAGCGGTTAGCACAGCGGATTCTGATGTTCAGAACGTTCCGCTAACCCTGGTTCGAATCCAGGTTCGACCTCATTTGTTTTTAGACATGTAAACTCTTTTTTTCCGGCTCCTTAAAAAAATGTATTTAGCTGGTTTTTTTTTTGGTTTTTTTTTTCTTTCATTTCATTTCAATTTTTTTCCTTAGTTCTTGACAAAGTAGAAAATAGATATAGTGGAGACAGGACGGGCTGCGGCGCAAGGAGACCTGATCCTCCAATCACACGACAGACCCTTCAGCCTTGGTGAAAATTACTGCAAATAAATTCAAGCATCAAGTTAACCTTCGTACACCTTCCCCCATTCCACATTTTAACATTGACCTCCTCGGCCCAAATCGTTTTATTTCAAAGTCGGAGTTTTTGGCGCAACATGATCATATCATGTCTGTAGCCAATGGAGAAAGATCGCGGAAACGGAGAAAGGTGGAAGCCGATGCTCCTTTGAATACCACTTCCATCAGCAGTTCAGATCAACTCCACCAGCTGCTCCAGTTTTCGCCTTCGACGTCTCCGGAGGATATAAAAGCAGGTATGTTTGGGTGCTACTTGTATAGGTAATCCCGGCTGGTAACAGGTACAGCGGTCAATCGATTTACAGAATTTCTCTCCAATTTTGCAAACGAGGAATCGCCAGAAGGGACTCGCCAGCTGAAGGTGTTGAAGAAGTACTGTGACGAGCAATCCTCAGCTTCACACGATCAACTCGATTTCGCCAATCTTTTGTCCGCATGGTCCAATGCCAGTCAGTCCAACGCAGAAGCCGTGCTCGCCGCCATTCCTCGTTGTCTTGCACAATTCTTCGAGACGATCTCGAGCCATGTCGAGTTTCGGGAATTCGGGATCTCCTTGTGCCACAGCCTGCTGAAACGAGACCAGCTGCGAATCATCGATCGAAGCTTATCGTCTCCAAGATCCAAGGAACATCTCATCACGCCGTGTCTGCAACTCTTGACAGAAATCATCAGTTTTGACGGTGGCGCCCTCGCAAGCAATGTCTTCAGTCGACGCGATTTCCTCTATCGGAGGCTCGAGGGAATCCTTAGCCAGACGCCAGCAACTTTGATCGAAGGATCCTCGGTAACTGCACAGCAGGTGTCTTTGGAGTTCATTCTAGCAAATCTTAGGTACCTTGACTCCACCTCCAAGTCCGAGCTCATTACGCATGGTAAAACAATCTTCTTGGCAGTCCGCAATTTGCCCAACTTGCCGGTAGATATTGTCATCAATATCTTGAAGGGCTTGGAGAGGTCGATCATTGGGGATGGGAATCTCAGCAAGCAAATAAAGATTCGATGCTTCAACTCTGGGGTCTTATCGGCGCTCGCTAAGCTGTACGGTTACAAGACCCAGGGAAATGATGGTCCTGCGGTAGAAGTACGGAATGCTCTTCAACAGCTGCTGTTGCAAGTTTGCACAACCCCAAAGGGAGTCTTACTTGCTCAATCAGGTTGGTATCCTACCGGGACAAACCCCGAAACTCCGGGGCAAGACGAGAATATGATTGATCTGGGCCTGGACTCTCCATTCTACTTTGATGACTACGCTGAAAAAGTACCAGTCAAAAATGGGGCACTGTCTGCTTTTATCCAAACTCTGAGACCCGAAAGTGACGTCCAGCAAGCTGACCTTATCGTGGCATTATTCAATGCCGCCCCTGAACTCGTGGCCGACTACCTCACCAAAAAGCCAAAATTCGTTGTCCCTCCAGGAGACGATCCAAAATGGCGCGGCCAGTTCGCTTTCCTGTTCTCCGTGGTTCAACTACCTGTGCCGCAGAACTGCGGCTGGGATGAAAAGCTGCCTTTGAACCCCCCTCCACTGTCGGTTGTCATTGAGAGTATCCTCCCACGACCGCTAGATCGAGCTACGATCGGAAAGTGCCTCCGGATGAATGACGAGATCATGACCATTTCGGCAACACGATTATTGACCATGGCTTTCGAAAAGCTCGACTCGGTTCTCAAGGTCTTCGAAAAGGCACCAGCAGAGTCCCATTTATGGAAACAAGCGTCCGGCAAACTGATCAGTCTTTTTGTCGAGCGTATCCCACCCCTTCAAGACGTCATTACCGCTCTTCAAAAGCTGGAAAAGGAAAATGAGCCAACACGCACGGTAGTACTTGAGTGTATCGCCGCATATCACACCATCCTACCTTCTATAACCGCGGGTTCAAAATTCGACTTCGGTGTACCTTTGAGCAAAGGGCTCCAATCTTTAGAATCTGACGCGCTGGATACCGCAACAAAGGACATCGTACTGGGCCAAATAGTGCATATAATGCAAATTGCGTACATATCACCCGCGACGAAGTGGTTTCACAAAGCCGCATCGGAAGATGTGTCACTGATTGTGCAGCTACTCAGACGTTGTGTCAAAAACCCCGACAAGCTTGTCACGAAAGAAGCCCTCCCTATTCTCAAAGGGGTGTTGACCAACAAGGGAATATTGAACACCAATGTCCGATCTACCGATGCGCTGATATCGAGCCTTAATGCGACAAAGAAATGGCAGCCAGAGCTTGTCGCTTATCAGTTTCTGGACAACTGCATGTCACGCACGGTGCAGAGACCCGTCAAGTATCTGGATCAGCTTGAACAAGCCCAGCAGTTTTTGTCCGATTCGACACCTCTAAGTCTCCTTGCGTGCTGCGTGGCAGAGCAGTGGATACATTTGTTGAAGAAAGAAAAGAAGCAGGGCATCAAGAATGTTGCGGAGTGGGTCGCCGGGTTTTTCTCTGCCCTTGATTCTGCAGGCGAGAATTATCGCGTCATGATGCACTTGAAGGAGGAAATGCTGAAGCAATGTGATGGGAATGAGAAGGCAAAAGAAACATTGGAAAAGGCGTTTGAGAAGCAGCGCAAGAGACATGTTGTTTTATCAGGGGAACATCTTGGCGAAGCAGATAGCAAAGAGCGCGAGGTCCCTGAGGGTGGTGCAGATGGCCCAGCACAACAGCAGCATGCTGGCGACCTGGATCTCGTTGAAAACTTCCCTCCACCGCCCGCCATTCCAACATCTCTGGCCGGCCTCGACCGCTGGACGAAACCGGATTTCGAATCTGAGATTCAAACAGGCCGCCTCGCCAATCTGATCCGCTCTCTCATCTCTCCTGAGCCCGAAGTCCGACTTCAAGCATTCCATATCCTCCAACATATCATACACGCCGTCCAACAGTCCAGCTACGACGAGAAGACACAACTCTACCTTCTTCTAGGCGAATTGTGCGAGACGATCAAAAGCCATGTCCTCTCGAACTCACAGCCCACAGCAACTGCTCCACCACCACCACCCTCCATAGTGGCGGAATTAGCGATCCACTTCCTCCCAACCATCTCTGACCCGTCGTCCCCATTCTACCGCAAAACCAACTCCTTCCTCCTCCGCGCCCCCCAATGGTCCGTGCCACACATTCTTCCTTACTGGCTCAAGGAGACATTCCTCACCGAGCCCGAGATTGATGATCCAGACATCCCCGCGACGTTTCAGCAAGGCAGTGGTGGTGGTAGCGGCGGAAATATCAACGCTCAAGCGCTGGAAATCGAGCATTTCCTCGACCTACTCCTCAAATCCCTCCGGACAGAGACGGACATGGACCTACTCCGTCGCGCACAGGTGTTCACGAGATTGTTTTCGCACTACCTTGCGCCTGTCTGCACCAAAGCCATCCGGACGAAGATCCTGAGGGTCGTCCACTTCGCCACGCGGATAAAAGGCGGGAGCGAGACGCTCATTACGCGCACGGGGGTCAGGGAGTGGCTGTCCGTCGCGAAGACGCTCAGGGGACATAGCGGGCATGGGATCGCGGGGTTTGGGAAGATGGACCACGAGCTGGTCGGGCTGGTGCAGGCGGTCGAGATGCAGGTGCTGGGCACTTCTGATGCTGAGGCGATCGCGCGGTGGGAGGCTGAGAGGAGGGTGTTTAGGGAGGCCGAGCACGCTGCGAAGGACAATAGAGAGGAGAAGCAGGATCTTGCGAGCAAAATCCGAGCGGAAGGTGCGCGTGGTGAGAGCGAGAGCGAGAGCGAGAACGAGAACGAGGATGAAGATGGACGATGAAGACCTGAGAGGAATGACGGAGCGGAAGAATGAACATATAGCAATGTCAACGAGACAGAAATCGACCTGCTCGAGCAAGATAAGAAGGCTGCTATACTAATACGCAGTGAGAATTGGATTAATATCCGCAAGCCTTACATGCTCCATTGGGATAGAGAGTGACTGGACTGGCTAGCAGGAAAACAAGGGCAGAGAGGAGAGAGGCAAAATGGAAACAAAAAGGCCGCAAGACTGAGAGAGAATGAAAATGTGCCATTCGACTTGTCGTCGTTCTCTTCCTCCTCTGCCCTTATCCCCTCGCGGCTCTTTCAACTGCTGCCGTCTTCATGGAGTCTTTCAAGAGTACCTCATCATTTGTTTCGCCGTCTTCCTCTTTCTTCTAGTATCAACAGCTCTAGTCTATAGTCTCTCTTCTAGACAGGACGGACCTAGGCTCTCATCTCATCTCTCCGCCCAGATTTTCACTTCTTCACTGCCCCAAGAGGGCGTCATAAGTAATCTTCCCGGTCAACACCGTCTGAGACCCTACACTGATCGGAATCATCGGTCTATCCAAACGCTTCTTTTCTTCGATGCGAAAGATTGCGATTGTTGTCGCTCTGAAAGCAGGGAGGCAACTGGGCGCATGGAGTGCAGCCGTCGGCTTTTCCTTGCATCGCCCTTAGGCCGGATATAGGAGAACTGTTCAGAAGCTCATCAAATCTGTTCAAGCCATCAGTCCTAACCCTCACTCAAGGCCACAAAGGAGAAACGGTTAGACTCACCTCTTCCAAAAAGTGCCCTCTTACTCCAATCCATCGCCAACAACATCCTCGTCCGAAAACTCACACTTTGCGCAAAATAAATACTCCTCCACAAGTAAACGGCCATCAACCCACCGCTGAAATTCAAACCGCCGAAATCGAAAATGGCCGCGTTTCCAATGTAAGCCAGCGAACCCATGTGGTGGTACTCGAAAGCCTTGTAGACGGCTTCGTCTAGGTCGCCAAAGTCGACCTCGTTGGCTTTGAACCCGGGGATAGCGGCTGCAATCTTGTTGAATTTCCGACCGAGGTACTGGCCTTGTTGATTTGCACGTTGGGCGGTGGCGGGAAGAGAAGTCAGTTTGGAATCGATTTGGACGAGCAATTCGTGCAATTCGCCGAAATCCAACGTGCCCGATTTATCCTTGTCATATTCTTGAAAAAGCTTGTCGAGGCGTTTGAGATGGCCCGCCGCTTGGGGAAACCTCTTGCGCACCTTTTGCGCGACACTTCGCCAATCTTGAAAGGTGATGTGCATTTTCTCTGGGTCTTTACCCTGTTCCCACGCCATCCCCCGCAGAAATGTGGTGAGGTGGTCGGCGATGTTGTTTTGGACCGTTGCGCAGTCCCCAATAGCGTAGACCTCTCCCAGCGGTGCTCCTAGGAGGCGCAGATGTGAATCGGTCTCCAGAGCGTGTCGGTTGTTCTGGAACTCGCCCAACTTTCCGGCGACCTTGCGGCTCAGGTCAGTCTGCGCGACACCAGTCGACCATAAACAAAATCCCATGGGTAGTTCCTTTGTCACCGGTTTCCCGTCCTCCATCTGTGAGAAGATGATTCGGTCAGAGGTTACCTCCTTGACTCGCGCATTTGTGAGGACTTCGACGTGATCATGTTCGAATCTCTTCTCGGCGTAGATCGACAAGGCTTCGTCATAAGTGTTGAGGATGTGCCCTCGTGACTGAATGACATGCACCGACACTTCGTTCCGTAAGATCCTGGGGAATGATTTCAAGAGGTCTTCGTTCAACATGTCGTACAATTCGGCGGCAAACTCCACACCTGTAGGGCCACCGCCGCTGATAACAAACGACAGCAGTCTTCGTCTTTCCTGATCAGAGGTGGTAGGCAGACAGGCAAGTTCGAGATTCCGCAGGACTTTATTCTTGATGAGGCGCGCATCTTCTATGGTCTTGAGGAAGTTGCAGTGCTCCAGGCCTTTGACACCATGGGCATTTGTCGTGGAGCCGACCCCAATGACCAACTTGTCGTAGGGAAGGTAGAAATGTTGCCGGTCGCCGTCCGCATCCACCTGAGCTACCTCCACCAGCCTTTCTGTGAAGTCGATGTCGACGGCCTCGGCCTTCAAGAAATGGCCCCTCAGTCGATTGACAATCCTGCGGACCGGCTCGACAAGTGATCGCAGTTCAAGGGTTCCCACTGTGGCAGACGGCAACATGGGGGTGAACAGGAAATAGTTGTCTGGGGAGACGACAGTCACATGGTAATCGCCTGGGTGAAGTTCTTTCAACATGGCGACACTTCCCCAACCTGTGCCGAGAACGACCAATTTAGGCTTGTCCTTTTGCTCTCGCATGTGGTCACAATCCTCGTCATCAACTAGCACCTCCGCGATGGGTAGGTTCTTTGGCCCTCCTCTTCTGGGTGATAGAGCAGCTTCCGACACGGCGATGTCGCCCGTCGGCTCTGGTTCTTCGCGGTATGTGGAGGCATCGTAAAGAAAGAAAGCGAGGACCAAGGTGCCGGAGAAGACGATGAAGATGCCCGTCCATGCGAAAATGCGGTAGCAAAGGCGAATAAATGGTCCCTTGTTGTTGGGGAGCTCCTTGGTAGAGATGTATCGAACCGCCCCGACAGGGGCACGATAGATGAGCGGAGACGGGAGCTTGGAAGTCCCCATGTGCGGGTTTCTAGAGGACAATTGAGATATGCGCAGGGTCGACAGGGGCCTTGAGGATTGCAGGCATGTTCTCAGCGGTTGGGGAGGCGCCAGTCGAGGAGAGATGTGGAGGGTGGGAACAGGGCGCAGGCGGAGCTGGAGCTGTAGATGTCGCCGGCCGCTGCGGGCAAATCGAGGAAGGACCTCCATTGTCGAGGGGAGAGAAGGGCGATTGAGGTTTACCTCATGTTGGAAACTGTGGTAGATATCCAAAAAGGAGAGAAGAAAAGAAGCAGAAGCAGAAGAGCTAGCAATACTGTAGGAAGATGGACCAAAATTCAAGAAGCCAAAAGGGAAAAAAAGAAACGGGCGGAAGATAGATATGATGCTATACGTGGATATGACGGTACGTATGACGGAATGACGGCGAGCTTATGTACCTGGTGCTGTTTGGGCTCATTGGGAGCCCGGGAAGGGAGAGCAGAGGGAACAGAGAGAGGGCCAGTGGGAAAACGAATCAACCTGCTACATACGTAGGTAGAACAAACAAGCCACAACACCGATCAACCACCCACTTGTGGCGCGATCGGAAGAGCGGCAGCAGGAACAACCTTTGGCTCCAATGGCGCCAATGGCTCCTGTCAGGGGACCTTCAAGATACTGTATGTATTACTCGGGAGATACATACAACTTTCTCATCGCTTATCAAATCTCTCAGCTCTTTTTACTGTACTCGATTCGGTCCAATCGCTTCCCAGGTCTCATTCTACTCTCTCCCCTCTCTTCCGGCCCTCTGTATCTGCAGTCCTCTTACCATCTGGCATCAAGCAACCACCCCGGCACCAATCGTTCCTCAAAAGAAAGCTCTGTGGGGGTATCATATATAAGAATGCAAACCCAGTCCCAGGCGCCAAAACACCTCGTCCCGTGTCCCTGCCGCCCCCCACCCAGCTTGTCCTCCAAACTCCTCTCTTTCATGTACCACAAGCCGTTGCTCCTTTTTCACTGTCCAGAGAAATTCCGTTCAACTGTCATCATTCATAATACTGATTCAGCCATCAAAATCTGCGTCAAGCTCATGGCCCACTGATGAGGCCACACTCGACGAACGTCTCGCGTGTCCATTCTTCTGAGGTCGACCTCGAGCTCTTTTCGGTGTCCCTCCAACTGACCCGGGTCCACTCTTGCGCTTTCGACCGCGTTGCGCACTCATGGCTTGCTCCGGAGCAACGTCCAGCATGGCGTTGATTGCCGCTTCCTCCTCGGCTATCTTCACCTCATCATCCACGGCCACAAGATCAACAAACTCTCGGCATCTTGCAATCATCGCGCTCGCACTGCTGAGTGATTCCAAAACTGCGTTGGAGTTGTGCCAGAACTTATCCCCACTGATTCCGTGCACCTTGACCGGTTCCTTTGCGACCTCCTTGGTTTGCTTGTTCTGTTGCATCGCCGTTTTAACATCTCGCGATACCCCGTACTGTCGCTTCAAATAGTTTCTCGCCTCGGAGATCAATGTGATCGCACAAGCGGCCGTCGCCAGTCTCTTCAACACGACCGGGTCCACAACCACGTCCGGGGGTGCTGGCCCCATTCCGACCAAATCTCCCGCGTCGTTGTCGATGTGGCTGACAGAGGCCAATCGGAGATCCGTCTCAATCGCCTGCGCAGTCTCGCCACCATTTCTGCCAAACGCCAGCTCTAGTTGTAGCACAGTATGCAGCAGCTCGTCCATCTTCTTATACTCAAAGAATGCCAGGTTCTGTGTCACAAACAGCACAAACAACAGATGTTCAGGAATTTCGTCCCCAGCCACATCCAACTTGGAGGAGTCGGTGTTGAGTTTCGAGATCAGGTTGCTGAGGAACTTCTTCACGTACTTCGAGCCACTGGTGCTGATTATTGCAAAGGCTGCTGCAAGTTTAGCTTGGTGTCCTGGAACAGTGCCTCCTTGTGGAGCCTTGAACACCTCATTCTGATACCGAAATGCGGCATACACGGCATTGATATACTCCCTTTCACAGACGGACTCGTGCTGTTGATGCAGGTGCTCATGGGCAAGCCGGGAAACACTGGAAACTTGGGGGTCTGTGCTGGTCTCCAGTGCCACAAACGCCGAAGTGCTTTGTTTCGGATGTATCATGCCCTGGTGGTCAATGCTGGCCAGTGTTTGAGCTGCGAGCAGCGCTTTTACACCGGTCTCGGACATCACAATTCGGAGGAGGAGGTCGACCAGAGTATTGGTGATGATCGAGAGGGCACTCTCATCTTCGCGCGTCTTGCTGTCCCCGCCAATGTTTTTCAACGCCTGGACTTCGACTTTCTTGGCGTCCTCTTTGACGGTGGCACGCTTCCTGTACAGTTCTTGGAGTGACTCGAGCACTGTGACCTGCATCCTCCCAATTTCTTTTTCGTCCAAACCGCCAAACGACGATCCCTCCAGGACTTGGAAGAATGTTTCGCGAATATGTCGTTTGTTAAATTGGCCCGGCCATGCTTGACAGACGAGGCCAAGGCTCTCCAAAGCCCTCACTCGGGTCTCGATAGGACGACCTTTGAAGGTGTGTTCCATAATGCAGTCCGCAATGAACCCTGCAACCGAGCCCGTTTTGTATGTAGGACAGTAGGTTTGAAATTCTTTGAAAGAACGTTCCAGATCAAGATGTTTCCCCACGGCGCCAAGCAGACGCAGGGATTGCTCTCTCATTTTGTCCTCTTTCGCTCTGAGTTCTCTTGATTTGCTTTCCTTCTCACTTGCCTCCGCAGTCTCCGGAGCCATCCCCGGTCGCTGCAAATTCCTTACTAGTGATGTCGTGAACCTAACCATCTTGGTGGCATCTTGCAAAACACCACCGATGCTTCTTAGACAAGACATGACCTCCTCGATAACTTCGCGTTGTGTAAGCTTCCCACTAGCTTTGAGAAGATCCATCTGAACCTCTTGCAGCAGCGGAGCTTGAGTGCTAGACAGATGTGGTAGAACTGAACGGAATATAGCCACCACTGAAATGAACTTTGGCATGTTGTCCTGCCTTGACAAGTCTTTCAGATAGCTCTTCAAACTGGTTAGGTCTGCAGGCACCACTGTCTCCGGTCGAGCCTCCACAAATGCTACAAGGGTCGTCAATTCTGCCGGTCCCACCTCTGAGCTATTGGCTGCGTCTAGCAGTTTCTTGACAATACGGGCACAGAGCTCTCGGACGTGATCGGCGGCCTTGGAATCCTTCAATTTCCAAATCAAGAACCCTTTCAAGAGGGGGGCTAGACGAGCGACTTCTGTGTCAACGCATGCAACAATGTGCGATTTGAGATCCCCAATCGCGACGTCCAGACGTGCAGACTCGGTTGCGGAGCCCAGCATTGTCAGGTGGGAATCAAACCAGACCTCTGCCAGAATCTTCTTAGCAAGCTCAGCCACGGAACTTTCTTGATCGGCAGTTCGTCGCAGGAATTCGACCGCAATGGCTACTTTCAATTTCGGTCTCTCTTCTTTCAGGTAGACGTCTTTCAAATGGCCCATGGCTCTTTTCTGAACTCCGACGTTGGGATCAGCAGTGCATTTGCGAAGCATCCCAAACGCTTTCGCTTGAAGTGCGGACCTTGGCATGATGAATTTGGCAATAAGAGACAGGGCAGAGTCCCTCACCAAGGAGGAGTCGTCAGAAGCACGCTTGAGAACTGCGTCCGCTAGCGATTGTTCCCAGTCGAGAAGACCCGAGTCAATCTCTAACATCGCGGCAATGCTCTTCAAGCTGCGGCTCCGGACTTGAGCCTGATCACTTTCAAGAGACGAACTGAGCGTTTTGGCAATGTGTGGGAACAAACAACAGAATTGCCCGTTTAGAATACTGAGCATGTAGGCCAGCTGAGCCTCTCGATCGGTAACTTCAGCGTAATCATCCACGACTTCATGATACTCCATTGATCCGGACAGCTGTTGAAGTGTTGCCAAGAGGGTGTCCGTAAGCCTCGCGTCGATTTTGAACTCCCGGTCTCCATCCCGTGGGTGTTTGGAAATTTGGTTCAACAACGTGGCATACTTCGCAAGGAGATATGCTCTCGCAGACTTTGTTCCCAAGCTCTCCCCTCCTTTTTGGCTCAAATAGGAGTTGATGATAGAAAATGGCCCACGCGCGGACACAAGTTCCTGAATTTCAAGCGAGAAATGAGGCCGATCTCTGACTGAATCCGACAGATCTTGGGCGATGGTAGTGGGGCGTAGTTCTCCGTCTCTGGTGATTGATGAAAGCAGGCTTCGAACAGACGCACGAGTCTGGGAAATAGCAGCCCCCATGACCCCCAATGATTCGAGAGCCATATTCTTGGTGGAAGCCGCCTTGTCTGTCTCGGCTAGTGTTTTCATCCGGTGAGCCAACACAGAAAGAAGCAATTCAGACGCTGGCCAGTCTGGTGATGGAAACACTAGGGTGAGGTCTTCGACGAACAGATCGAGAATGTTGCGGTAAGGCGAATCTCCAGACTTTGTGACCTTGGAGGCCTTATCAACCATCCACATCACAATATGCTGGGCACTGTTAAGCGCGTCATGCAGAAGATTCTGCGCCATTTGACCCAACTGTGATAGTGGATTCCTTTCATCTTCATCCACCCTAGGGGCAGAATCAACCTCCATGTCACTGGCCGATTCCTCACTTTCTTCTGGGCTGTCAGGATTCAACGATCCCGTCCGCGGCGGGCGCCGCAACTTGCGCCTCTTCTTCACGCCTGATTGCATAGCCGAAGTCTGAACCAGCTGCATGAACAGAGCGGACACCAGTTGGATATTTCTGCCAGCTCCAAGTTTATATTGTCTAGCGCTCCGGCTATTAGAAGGCAACTTGTCCAGGGATGTCAAGACCTCGTCCAATATTGCGGATCGCTCGTCGGGGAACGCTGCGTAAAGTTTGGCAACAGCCGCCATGGCATGCTTTCTCAATCGTTCGTACGCTTGGGATCCAATTGCTGATGCTTTGTCGTTGTAGGCATTCTGAACAAAAATAAGCTTCACCGCTAGGAATTCAGTGGAGTTGACGACGGGTCCGGCTCCCTTGATGTCCACACACAGTCTTGCAACAAGGCCCAGAAGTTTGCGGCCGGCATCTAGCAAGCGTTTCAATGGTTCACTGTGGACAGACGAATACCTGAAGAGTTGACCGCTTTGTCCATCTGGGCGGGCCTCGACAGTGGGGATCAAACAGTTCTCGAACAAGTTTACGAGCACGTGAGGTAGCCATTGTAGTGCTTCTAAACTGATGAGATCTTGATTGTGAGGAGCGCCGAGGACGGTGTAGACTAGAGTAGAGGCTGATGCAGCACCATTTTCCGCTTTGTGAAGTTTCGACAACCATGCGGAAATGTTCTCATCTGTTGGGTCCGAAGGGAGCTGCAAGTTGACTGTCTGCGCAGCTTCTATCGCTGGCTCACATATTCGTTGGAGTCGTCGAAGATATTCCACAGAAGCATCACCCAACCGACCAGAGGACAAAAGTTGGCTCATGGCCGACTGAAGTTGCTCATGTAAACGGATCGAAAGACGTGGCTCAGTGTCGTCTTCACCACCTGGTACTTCGAACACAGCATTGTTGATTTTGACTCGCTCTGTCGAGATGTGGGGGCCTATTTGATCTTGAGCTTCGAAAATGTCGATCAGATGGCTCTCAAAGCTCGCTAACAGCTGGTCGTCCTTCTGTTTCTTGGAGCTGGTCGCTAAAGCGCGCTTGGTGTGTGGTGAAGGATCGCTCACTTTCTGTCCTTTCGGAGAATGTTGCCAAGTGACATACTCATCTCTGTTAAAAGACGGAGGTGGCTTAGGTATTTCGACGACGAAGGCCGGTTTAGTTATGGGCATCTGGAGAGTTTTCTTCTTGACCATAGCCTGCGGAGCAGTTGTCGATGGTAACGCATACTCGACTTTTGACATCTTGAGGACCATGTTCTGTATGGGGTTTAGGTCTGTCTCGACCGATTTTTCATTTTGAACCGGCGGACGAGGGAATTTGATCTTAGATAGGCGGCTGGGGTCGAGCAAGACGGAAAGACGTTCTTTGGTCCTCGAGGAGTACAGTTCGCTTCGATATACTGCCTGACGTTCGGAGGAAGAAGTGAGGCGCAAGTCATTGAGGCGACCGACTTGTGGGATAGGGATGCGATCTGCGAAGTGAATCAGCGTGGGACCAACACTCGAGTGAAGTGGGCATACTGTAAGCGGGCAGAATCGACGTTGTCATGGGAGTGTATTGCAAAGCCTGATCCACCGAGAGTTGCCTCGCATTGGAATCACGTTGCGGCCGTCGCGGGACGACGACCTCTACGGTATCCCCCGTAAGATCCATGGGCCTGGGGCAACTTCTGAACGATAGATCTTGCGTCGATCTGCCGCCGCGGCTATCTCGACGACTTCGCGGGTGATGCGAGAGGTGTCGAACCGGGGAAGATTGGTATCAGGACAGAAGCCATCAACCGCAGATCCAACAAACAGTTGGCATCGGGCTGTGGACTGCCGGTGGATTGTCTTGACAGAAACCTCACCAGCCTGCCGCACAACGATGCGGAGGTGAAAGAGAGGCCTAGTTACAAGTTAGGACTGGGCAAGGACTGGGGAAAGGATGTCAAGGATCTCCAGATGGCGGTGATCCGCTCGGTTGAACTGCGGTTGGCCTTACCGTACTGGTCCCAGCCGAGCGGCTGCTGCAGGAACAGCCTTTTCCAATCCAAACCGCCTCGCTACCTTCACGGACTTGACAGTCAGCAAGCATTAAAATTTTGTTTCTCTACGATAAAGAGTCAGCCACGCTCTTCCCACACACTTTTGAGTGTCACAATGGTCGCAATAGGCAGCCTACTATTCTGCGACGCCTGTGGCTCGCTTCTTCCGCGAATAGTCCCAGGCGAAAACAAAGACGACATGGTCAAGTGTGACGATTGTTTCCAGTACACCAAGGACACTTCATCCAAAGTCATAACCTCAAAGTCAAAGCCCAGTGCCTTCCCATCTCCTCTGCGGGCCAAACATTCTGAAGTGCAAGCTATCAATGCCGAGGATCTGCAGGTCGAAGCTGTCATCTCCAGGGAGTGCCCGGAGTGCCATCGACCAGAAATGTTCTATCATACCAAGCAACTACGAAGCGCAGACGAAGGCACGACCGTCTTTTACAGATGCGAATGCGGGTTCAAGGATGTACAAAATAACTGAGTTGACGCCAGTCCATGTCTGAAACGCACCCTGTCCAAAGCATTACCCAATTATGCAGCAACCTCTGTTGGAATGGTGGCGTACTCCATTTCCCCGGTTTTCTCATATGCGGCCATATCAAGAGCAACAATAACGCTCTCACGAACGACCTGCTCGGGGTCATCCAGGAATTGCCTCAGCATATCCTCCACACCTGGCTCTTCTCCCAAACTACCCAGTGCCTCTGCAGCCTCATGCCGCACCATACTTTCTTCCTTGGTATTTTCGAGCACGGCCAGCAAAGCGGGTATTGACGCCGGGTGGGATAGTTGCCCGAATACGAAAGCCACCTCGTGTCGGAACAGGGCTGACGGATCTTTGAACCCGGAAGCAAGGGCGTGGACGGCGGGTTCTGCTGTGGGAAGGTCTGGTGGAGAGGCGAGATCTCGAAGCGCAAACATGGCACGATATCGCTGGAAAAGTGGTAATGACGTGTCGAGGAGGGCCGTCTGTAGAGTCGGAATTGAAGGTGTTTCTGAAGATAAAGGGAGAGGAGGCGCAGGATCGATAGAGGCAAAGTCGCTGGACTTCAAGCTTTCGGTATGCCGGCTCTGAGAATGTGCCCAATTAATGCGGTCGACAGCAATGTCACAAGTCTCCCTAACCACCACGGGCTCGCGATCGTCGTTTCGCATCTGTTTCATGATTTGTAGACTAGACAGGTCTCCCAGCGCCCCCAGCGCCTCCGCTGCCTCATGCCTACACATTGCATCCTCCGACCTATTTTCGAGGACCGCTCGAAGGAACGGTACCGCTTCTAGGTTCCTAGTCTGTCCCAAACAATATGCCAACTCATGTTTCAGGAGTGCTGAAGGAGAAGCAAAGGCGGCCGCGATTGCTTCTATTGCTGCTGTTGCTTGTGGCCCAGAAGCCTGCGAAGCAACGTGTTTGAGAGAGAATAATGCGCGAAATCGTCGGGCAAGTGGGACGTTCTCAGAAGTCAAATCCCGCCGCAGGACTGAGACGGTCATGTCTATATCCGAACTAGGCTCTCCAACTGCTGCCATTTTCAACTTTGGGCCCTCTGGCAAACACTGCGACTCCAATGAACGGCGCAAGAAGATAGTGGGATGGGCTGCAGAGGAGATGTGGTATGCAATCCCATAGTTCACTTGGCTCACCCAAAATTTTCGCGGGGAAAATCGTTATCGATAACACCAGCCACTGCCAAGCCTGCCGCTGCCACCGTCGCCTCGTCGTCACGTGGACGTTCGGGACGCATTCTTGAATCTTCTAAGCCTCCTCGCTTCTACTGTATTATTACCAAGTCCTCGTACAAGTACATATTTGGACTTGTAGTTGCGTGCTTCTTTAACAGTCTCTCATCCGCATCGAACCTCCTATTCTACCGCAGAAACATTGCAACACGATAGCCGCAACGGCCGAATCTCTCTACGGACATCTTTTTGGACGCAGCCATGGGTTCCGTCGTCATTCCTCACCTAGTCACCGGCTGGCACGTTGATCAGGCCATTCTCTCCGAAGACGAGCGCCTTGTGGTCATCCGCTTCGGCCGCGACTGGGATCCTGACTGCATGCGTCAGGACGAAGTCCTCTACAAGATTGCGGACAAGGTCAAGAACTTCGCTGTCATCTACGTCTGCGACCTCGACCAAGTCCCCGACTTCAAGCAAATGTACGAGCTCTACGACCCGGTAACTCTCATGTTCTTCTTCCGCAACAAACACATGATGTGTGATTTTGGCACCGGCAACAACAACAAGCTGAACTGGGTCCTCGAAGACAAGCAAGAGCTCATCGACATTATCGAAACAATCTACAAAGGCGCAAAAAAGGGTCGGGGTTTGGTGGTTTCGCCAAAAGACTACTCGACAAGATACCGATACTAGACAGCGGCCACAGGGATTGGTTCTCCTGCGAGACAAACAACCCGTGCGTCCTTTCCCGATGTTGCGAACATCTGGGTCAATGACGGACTGGACGAGCGCGGTCTGGCGAGATTAACTCAGCCTCCGATGGTGGTAGGCATCCTTCTGCTGACACGGAGAATCAACAAAAGATTCAACAGTTAGGATTTCGTATGGTATTCTCTTCGGATGGCACTGGCCACAAGTCGCACGGAGGAAACGATTCTTGAAAGTGAGAATGTGGAGTTTGGAGCAGCCTTGGTTTGTCTCACTTGCATTCAGACATTCTAATGAAATTTTTGCTGACACGACTTTGGACTCAAAGTCCACCATAAATATGCCTCCGGGAGTCAGCGATTGTCAAGTTCTCCTCTCCAGGTACATTTCCTCAGCTGCTTCTTCCCGATTTACGAGGGTCGTCGTCTCTGCCGTACAGGTAATAGCGCGCCCTGAATATCTCACTCGCAGGTTATTGCCCATGACGTCCGAGTTCACCTCTTGCAATGCTCGCGCCCTTCGCTGCCCTCTGGTATATCGAAGTTGTTGTACCGAGTATCCACGCTAGGAAACCCATCCGCGTGACTGAATATCGTCTGTGGCCACTGAGACTTGATGCTGAACGGGCGGGAATATCTCGCACAAGTCTCTGCTGTGATAGGGTCACTGTCCAGCTCATGATTTATTCCAACCGTCACAACTGTAACCAGAACAGAAAAGAAAAGAGGATATAAATACCACAGGACCTCGTACTCCCTCCTCCTTCACAAACGCTATCTCACGTGACCACAGCCTATCTCCCGGCAAAGGCTGTGGGTGATTTAATGATTTAATTTGGCGGCCAAGTGGGGGTGATCCAAGTGATCCTGGCTTGTTCTGGTGATATGGATGAAGCGAAACCATCCAAAACCCACCCCTTGCAACGCCGCTTCATTTCCATTTCCATTGCACCGTAAATGTATTATCCCGTCTATTGAGATCTGGCCACCTTTACCGCTTTTTCGTGTTCAAGTTCAATTGCAACTCCACCGGTTCATGCATGGCTCGCAACGACTTTTCCCGGATCGCACTGCCTCTCTGCTGTCTAGTTTCTATTTAATTTTACGCACATGAACCTTCCCACCATGAAACTTCGCCCGCTGCCGTCGTCACCTCTGTGCCGCATATAGGACTGGTTGGGATGAAACACTCTCGTCCTCTGGACTGCGTCAATCTTCTCTCACACTCTGCGGTACCGTTGCGCGGCGAGACTGCATACTGCTGTCGTCTAATAACACAGCTCACCGTGACTTCAGCGACTCCAACATGGCCTTTGGAACGATTGTTACGTTGACCGTCCTACCTGTCCTCATCTTCGCGCTTTGGCATCTCACCTCGACCATGCTTCCCCCTATGCCTGCCCTTCTACGCAACAAGCGTATCATTCTGCTCATTGCTCACCCGGACGACGAATCCATGTTCTTCTCGCCGGCCCTACAAGCCCTCACTCGGCCCTCCCTTCAAAACCATTTGAAGATCCTATGCATGAGCACTGGCAACAGTGAAGGCCTGGGCGCCACACGGAAACAAGAATTAGAGAAGGCGGCCATGACACTGGGATTGAGGCGGAAGGAGGACGTCTTTGTGCTAGACGATGAGAGGTTCAAGGACGGAATGAAGGAGGAGTGGAAGCCCGAGGAGATTGCGCTCGTGCTGGCCAGTGCATTTGCGCCGCATCTGAACTCTCCGTCTGCTCCAGCTGTCCCTGCCACCCCGACGCCGGAATCCGACAAGGAAAAGGACAAAGACAAACGAAAATCCAAATCACTGCCTTCGAAACACACCAAATCCTCCTCCCGAACATCCATATCAACCCCACCATCTCCGGCGCAAAAGGAGGCTGACGGACCCCGCGCAACCATCGATGTCCTTATCACCTTTGACAAAGGCGGCATCTCAGGTCATCCCAATCACGTTGCTTTGTACCATGGTGCCTCTTCATTCCTCCAGAAAATCATGAAAGGTCACTCCGGTTACGCCTGCCCGGTCACACTCTACACTCTACCCTCAATCAGCATTGTACGAAAATACTCCTTCGTGTTCGACGCCATACCCACCCTCCTCATGGGGATTTACGAGAGCATATTCGGCAATCTATTCGGAACGACGACGAAAGGCAAGACCGCTACGGGGAGCAAGAGCGCCGCAGACAGGGTGATGTTTGTGAACGACATTTTTCGGTATTGGAAAGCGCGCGAGGCCATGATACGCGGACACAAATCTCAGATGGTTTGGTTTCGATGGGGCTGGATCGGGTTAGGGAGGTATATGGTTGTGAATGATTTGAGGAGGGAGCGCATCGTTGCGAATTAAGAACCCGGAGGGAGGGAACAAAAACACCAATCTACAGAACAGACACCAGTAAATCAGGAGACGAATTGCCATTACCAACTTCTTTTTTTTTTCACCCCCACAGGCGGAGAAATGGAGCTCAAACGAGAAATCCTGGCAAGGGAAGGGAGGGGAAAGGAAAGGGGAAGGATCAAACTATTCATTTTCAGGAGCTCCGCGCCGGTCACCGGGTGGTTTGTGGATGCGCAAATGGGAGGGATATTTTTGATTGCTTCTTGTTCTTGCTTGTCTTGTCCATGATATCCAATTTGACTTCATTTTTCCTGTTTGGATCTTGTCAGAGGGAGCATTTCTGATCCGGGCGATTGGTCTCCTCTGCGAAGACAGGAATCTACAGCCAGTACTTACCTACAAAGGAAGTCGTTCGCGAATATGTACACACACATGATGGATGATGTTACATTTGATACACTTTCTGTATCACACCCGGCTAATCCGAAACTCCAGCGTCACATCACTCCTTCTGCTTTTCCTCCTCTTCTTCGTCCTCATCCCGATCCCCGTCCCTCGTCGCCGACCCCTTCCGCCCAGGCCCACGTCCCAACCTGCCCTTCCCCAAAATCCCACCCCAGGGCCTCCAGTCCTCGCTGTTGTGATCGGGTCCTGGTACTTGCGCGCCAACGACCTGGCGGTCATTCAACCTCTCTTGACGGACAGCCATCTCAAACCTGAGAACCCAATCACTCAGGCGTCCTGAGGAATCGTTGCGGACTTCATCTTGGAACTTCGCCAAAGCGTTTCCCGTAGGCCCGCGATGAATGAATCCAGCTGCGTGCCGGAGACGAGTTGGCGAATAGGAGTCGAGCAGCATGCGCATTGTGCCCGTCCTTGTCGTCTGGAGGGAATTCGCACTTTGGATGGCTGCGTGGCGCGACTCCCTTCCCCAGACACTCACGTGACCGGTGGGTGTATAATAGGGGACGACATTGGGCAACCAATCCGTCCACTCTGCGATGATATTGGGAATACCTCGGTGAGGCCAGTCTGTGCCTTCGTCATGCGACGTCCAGTCTTTACGCTTGATGGTGTTGCGCACAGCAATAGAGATGAGTTGGATGTGACATTCCAGCTGGAGGGAAGCAAGCACGTATTTGTGTTTTAATTCGAGGAACGCGGCGGATGGCAAGCCATCGTAGAAGATGTAATGATAATCTGCGTCTTCAAGGAGATGACGAATTTGATCATACATCTCGGAGAGGCGGGTGCGTTCTTCCTCGAGTAGGACCATGCATTCGCGGAGATCTTCGACAGCCTTGTAGAGCTTTCTAGCCTCGGACCTGGCTTTGACGCGAAATATCAGATCCTCAATTTTCGGTCGGACATTGTACGGTTCATTGTGAAAGACATGATAAACTGATTCGACCGCCCTTCGTGCTATGCGGCCTTCACCATGTCCTCTCTCGATCCTCGCCTTGCTGTGTTGGATTGAAAGCACAAAGGTCCACTCAAGCAAATGCGTCCAGATGTATTCCGGGATTTCCAGATTGTAGTTGCGTGAGATGTAGTCCAGCAGCATGCCTCCCAATGCGACTTCATTGTTCGTGCCGAAGACATGGACCACCGTAAACAGCAAACGTGCAGAAGGCCGAAGAGGTGAGCCTTCTTCATAGAATGTCGGGCTCTCCAATTCCTCCTCATCGTACTTGTCCAGGGCATCAACGTCAATGTTCCATGCCGATTTTAGGACGCTCTTGACGCTGCCTAGATCTCCTTCACGACCCATTGCGACCATCAGATTGCAAAAGGTCGCCTCGTTGCCATTCAACCCCCGATTCACGAGCTCGTTGAAGATACCCAGCGTTTCCAGCCTAATTGATTGTTCGTTTTTAGGATTTTTGGGTGAGGCAACTCCATGACCGAAGAAGCCGAGTGGTCTGTTCTCCAAGGACCGACGAAACATGTTATGCCGGACTATCCTTAATCGGTACCTTTCATGTCTGTTATATGCTTCGTTCCAGGTGAGGGCCTCCATGAAGTAGTTGTAACAGTCCAAATCAGGTTCGACATCGTCTTCTGGCATGGCCTTGCGGAACACATTCCTGGCAAAAGATCCCACTCCAGCGGCCGCTGTGCAGCGTAACAAATGGCGATATATGTCAAGGCCAAGGGAATAGCCATGTTTTTGTCGTTGGGTGACTAAAGAGTCGAGAATGTTTATAAACGTAGCTACACGCTCTTCCAATGATCTGACGATTCGAAACTTTGGCTGGGTTTCCAGACTCGGCTTTAGGTAGCGAAATAGCTTTCCATAAGGCACGATGAAATGTTCGGGGTCCAACGCGCATATAGCTCGTGCAAAGGTCTCGTCATCCGCATTTTCGATGAAATCGTCCCCGATCCGAGGAGTCACCAGTCCCAAGAGTATCCGATCAGGATTGTTTTCTTCCAACAGTGCTTGCATAGACACCAGTTTTCTAGCTCCATGAGTGGAATCAGCCGCCGAGGCCTCTTCGATCTCATATTCTGACGGCGCAAGGTCATCGCGTTCGTCCGGCAGGGTCGAATGCTTCGCTAATATGAAGTGAGAAAATGAAATGGTAGTGGACGATGAGCGCTTGAAACATCGTGAGTAGCGAGGATTGGGAAGACATAGTCTTGTGTCCCAATGCGCCGAAGAAGGGGACTGTCGACGAAGAATGTGAACGGTCAAGTGAGGAATCCGACTTTGTGAGGGTTGCGAGAAGCCATTGATCAACCTCACCAGAGGCAGGGAGCCATGCATCAATACACCGCGGATAGACGGCGACCTGGGCTAGAGCTAGAAAGAGTGGCAGCTAAGTCATTGAAAAAGTGTTCAAGTCCTGGAGTCGAAGGGAGTGAAATGCGCAGTTGGCCGCATTTCACTTTGCCAAACAGCTCAAATTTCAAATGACGCCAAGTCCACGACACAGGGCCGAACCCTTCCAAGCCCTTCACATAAGGATCAGGCTCTGCTATCTTTCAGAGCCCATACACCAATCGACACTGTATTTATTTAGCATAACGGAAGTCCAGCTTTGTCATGGCCGATTCAACGGACGAAGGCGCCAATGCGGTGTCTGAACCGCTTGACCTTGTGCGTCTATCCCTGGATGAGATTGTGTTTGTCCGGCTACGTGGAGATCGCGAGCTGAAAGGAAGACTACATGTATGCTGCATAATGGGTATTGCAGCGAAGTGATCCTGATACACCACTCCTTCTTAGGCATATGATAGCCATTGCAATCTTGTGCTCGGAGACGTCGAAGAGACAATCTACACGATTGAGGAAGAAGAGGACGGCGAAGAGGCCATCAAGGTAAGTTCTAACCAGCGCAAAAGTCAACTGAGCAGCTTCTCACTGCAGCAGACAACCAAGAAACAATCAGATATGCTGTTCGTGCGAGGTAACTGCAGGTCTAAGAAGCCATTATTGCCATCGCTGACAGTCGAGCAGGAGACTCGGTTGTACTCATCTCTCCCCAGCCTGGGTCATGAGATTGTGTGATCCACGTCGATCTGGATTTTGGATTTCAGGCAAGCAATAGGGCCGTTGAGAAGACTTTCAGAAGTCCGCTCCCAGGTCATCATGGGGCATAACAGAGCGTGGATTGCCAATCTCAGGGTCCCGGGCAGGAAAGTGCCCTTATAAATGAGTCACTGGAAGCTGCTGGTCGTGAATCGACTGAGAACAGCATGGGAACGAGGTCTCGCGCCTTGCTAAGCGCCCTGCCCGGCTGTAGTACAGGAGTCACTCGTCTTTGGCGGGTGATGGTGCATGAGGCTCCCAGGCTCCTAATTAGCGGAACCACGAGATGAGCGCTGCTGACGAGGCTGAGGCGCGTGGGTGGATGACTCGAGTAGACGCCTCAACGCCTCGCGGGTTCCCCGCTTGATACTGTCATGACTCCAACATTGCCTCCACTTCATCTACAAGTACATATGCTCAGTCCATACACCTCTCTGACCTCTCTCCCTCACATCTTGTGACTTTCCCCAGCAATCCTCTCTCGACAGTACCACTTAGGATGCATCATCAGCACTAGAGCAATGGTGCGCTTCTCTGCTGCTCACAGCTTAATCATGATTCCTCGAATACCTCATTGACCGCGGGGGCGAATCCACTACGACTTCCTTCCACCTCATCTCGCATTCAACATACCACATAAATATGGGCAGCCGTAACAAACAGACACCGCAAGATCGTCGGAAAGGGGAGCTGGTGAGGAGATGTCAAGTCATGAATCATTTCCGCCTCTAATTTGCTGTCAGGCGCTCTCCGATTTCGCGGATTATGTAGAGAAACAGCGGGCAAGAACGCGCATTCAGTATCCCGAGTCCATCGCTGGCGACAGCGGTTACGGTACCGGTGCACACTCGTCGGTCACCGAAGATCATGCAGAGCTCGACATCCTCGATCAGTTAGACCTTTCTGACAGTCCAAGCCGGGCAAAACTGAAAGACTGGCTGCTTGATACCTCGGGCGATGCATCTGCGACGCTTCAGGAATTGTCAGGGCTGGTGCAGTCCAGAATAGACGAAGGCCATGGCGAGACACTCTTTGATCTAGGACTTGAGGACAGCGGTGAATCAATGGGATTCACGAAAGAGCAGTGGGATCTTGCTATAAAACGCATCATTGAAGCGGCCAGCATGCTCAACGCCGCAGTCAACGTCCTTCTGACATACAATGTTGGCGGCGACAAGGAGGCTCAGCCAAGCACGACCAAAGACAACTCGAGCCACGGCAAGCTCCTCATTCGACAGACGCCAGCAACGGCTGAGGAGGTCATCGAGACACGAATAGCGGTGGTAGGCAATGTCGACGCAGGCAAGTCTACCATGTTAGGTGTCCTGGTCAAGGGAAACCTGGATGACGGCCGTGGCAAAGCTCGCGTCAACCTATTTCGCCACAAGCATGAGATTGAATCCGGCAGGACTTCGTCTGTGGGGATGGAGATCATGGGCTTTGACACCCATGGTGCAGTTGTCACATCGAGCGTGCCAGGTCGCAAACTCACTTGGGCGGAAATTGGAACTCGATCAGCAAAGGTCATCTCGTTCACCGACCTAGCTGGGCACGAGCGATATCTTCGGACTACCGTTTTTGGCCTTCTCTCTTCCGCTCCCAACTACTGCCTGCTCATGGTGGCAGCTAACAACGGACTGATCGGTATGTCGAAGGAGCACCTCGGCTTAGCATTGGCTTTGAACGTCCCTGTCATGGTTGTCATCACCAAGATCGACATCTGCCCTCCCCAGATCCTCGAACAGACGGTCACCCAACTAACGAGGATACTTAAATCTCCCGGGGCGCGCAAAATTCCAGTCTTCATCAAGACGTACGAAGAGACCGTTTTGACAGCCACACAGTTTGTATCCCAGCGAATCTGCCCGATATTTCAAGTATCCAATGTCACCGGGGAGTGCCTGGACCTTGTTCGAACTTTTCTCAATATCCTTCCTCATCATGGTCACTATGATAACCAGGCCCCTTTCGAATTTCATATCAACGACACGTTCTCTGTCCCCTTTGTCGGCACAGTGGTTTCGGGAGTCGTGAAGTCTGGAGTCATCCACGCAGGAGACACTGTCCTCGTCGGACCAGACTCACTCGGTCAATTCCAAACCACGAACATTCGATCCATCGAGCGGAAAAGAATACAAGTACCAGCATGTAGCGCTGGCCAATCCGCCTCCCTTGCTCTGAGAAGAATACGAAGGAAAGAAGTGCGCAAAGGCATGGTCGTGCTCCCAAAGATCGATGGCCTTCCCCCAAAGGTTTACAGAGAATTTGTTGCGGAGGTTTTGATTCTATCCCACCCTACAACCATACGACCAAAATACCAAGCAATGCTCCATGTAGGTCCCATAAGTCAGACCTGCGCCATTATTGAGATTGACCGCGAGTACATTCGAACTGGAGATCGGGCCACAGTGGCCTTTCGATTTGTGCAGAGGCCCGAGTTCCTTGCGGTTGGGGATAAAATATTATTCCGCGAGGGGAAAACTAAAGGCTTAGGGATTGTCAAGTCTTTGGAATATGAGGAAGGGTCCTTGAGCAAGCAAGTGCAACAGAGCGTACAGGGAACGGGATCAAAGGACAAGCAGGAGGCCGAGGAGAAAGAGAGCATTACCTCGAAGATTTCTGCAACAGCAATAACGGGCTCAGCGCTGAATGAAAGACGACCTAGGTAATTGAGCAACATAGGCGTTTGTGGTAATGTGCGAGGACACATTATGCACTTGGTGCTATGTACTGGAGGCTCTGTGCCGAAACACAACTATGTTTAAGCTAATCTCAATTTCTTGCTGAAACACTACGTAGTACAATATTATTTAACAAGAATCCGTCACGTCTCTTGTAGGCTCAAGGCCGCATGGTTGAAATGAACTGGAGGTTCTCATCCCAACCTGACGGGTGTTGTATGACTTGGGTGAGGTAAATAGACCAGCTCCCCACCAATCAACACGCGCCCCTTCGATTGACAGCCTTGTGGCAGCCTTGCGGGAGCTAGTGCTAAGCACCGTCCATCTCCACGCCCCGATTTTCGAGCTTCCATTATTTCAAAATGTCGCAGCAGGCACGACGACGCCCTGTCACTGGACAGCGCGAGAAGGCCCAAGGAGGACCCGGAGAAGGCCAAGGGATCCAGGACCGCAGTGACGAGGATCAAAGAAAAGGCGAGGGCGAAGAGGCAGGCGATATGGATCAGTCTCCAATCATCCGTGCACTGCGACGGCAGCCCGTCTGGATCGTGCTGGCCGTCTCGAGCGGAGCGTGTGCGGCCTTCAATGGCGTCTTTGCAAAACTGTACGTCTACGGGTTCTGGGCTTCTTGAAGTTACTCAAGCTGTCTCTCTATCTGGACTCTAACCCGGCCCCCTTCCTTGTGTCGCTCCTCCGGTGTCCCCCAATTCCGTACACCCAGCAAATAACTAACCCCCATCTCTGTCCGTCAAACGAATAGAACAACAACATCTCTAACATCCAACCTCTCCTCCTCTATCTCTACCTTTTGCTCGCTCTCCCCCAACAACACCTTCATCGACCTTCTCGTCCGGGGCACTTTCTTCCTCCTCAACCTCCTCTTCAATGCCCTTATGTGGGCTCTTTTCACCTCGGCCCTGACTCGCGCGGAGTCAACCACGCGCGTCAGCATCGTCAACGTCTCTGCGAACTTTGTCATCACTGCCGCGCTGGGTGCGTTGATATTTGGCGAGAAGCTGGGCGGGAAGTGGTGGGTGGGCGCGGGGATGCTCGCCGCCGGGAATGTTGTCATCGGGAGGAGAGGGGAGGGCGGGAAGCCTGGTGGGAATATAGGGCTGGACGAGACGAGGGAGGAGGCAGAGCGTTTGATGGAAAGAGAAGGAGAAAGAGGCGGCCGGCGCGGCGACGGCGATCTGGTAGAATTAGATGATCATGTTGAGGGACCAGGTGAGGGGGAAGAGCAGAGTAGGTTGAAAAAGGGAGAAGAGGTGGATTATCCGATCTGAATCTAGGGAATGCGTCTCGATTCTATCCTGTCACCACACTTCGAACCCATGATGAAAAGGGTCTTTTTTTTTTGGTAGTTGGGACACGATGGACGCTCAACGACGACAGCTTCCGTGAATGTTGTATTGTCGACCTTCAGCCGTCGAACATCTCCGGCGGAAGCGGCCGATGATATCTCGATACGAGTGTCGCCGAAGCTCTACAAGTACGTGTGTGGTGTTGCTCCCACTAACAAGTACATGTACGAGCATGTTCTCGACAGCACGGGCATACTCCGTTGTGCTTGGTGCCGGGAAGACAAGGCCCTTCCTGCTCTTGTAGAGCTAATCCGGTTTCAACTTCCGCCTCCAACCATCTCACGATAACCGGCCTCTCGAACAGAGACAGCACCACTTTCAAGCCATCAGGCCAGCACATGTACTTGTTACAAAGCATAACTACCTCGTGCGCTTCTTAAGTGATCAGGAGACGAACAAACCAAGAAGGGCTCCACGGCTGGCTGGCTAGCTGGCGTTAAGGACCTTCATGGTGCGCCACTTTACACCATCAGGCTACATACCAGTCATTCCTGGTCACACCGCACTACTCACACCACGGCATGGGAAGCTCGCCTTTTGTTCCTGAGAAATCCCGCCCATTTCATCATCAAGGCCGATACCACAATACAAGTAGCAAGTACTTGTTACAGGTTTTCGACATTCATATCCCGACCCTGAGAGATCTCGAAGGACGCCTGCCTGGATTGCATGCATCTTCAGGGACGTCCTTTCAGTACGGTCGGCGCCGTGCCTTGCTGATCTGGGGCGCTTTTGTGGCTCCTGACCTCACATGTGAAGATGCAGGGCTGAGGACTTTCGCAACTAGCTGTCGAGGTACTTTTGTTAGATGTATCAAGCATTCAAATCAAATGATCAAAATCAAATGATCGCTTAACTCTACAGTGTACTTGTGCTGGTACAGTACGACGGCCTACCAAGTGAGTAGCACGCTTGAACGCATCCTTGTGTAAATTCTAGTCCGCCAAATAGTCGCGGCTTTGACAAAATGCCGTGAGATTTGGTAGACATTGCAGTGCTGCTCGGCCTGGACTCTGAATATCTCTCAAACAGCCTGCATGCTTCGATACCTTCCTCATGACCCCGGCTCCTACATGCCGCTCGTGTCCTTCGTCAATGAGCGCTGACAAGGGAGAACCTGTTCGCGCCACAAGGGAGCAGGAGCTTCGGAGGCTCCTCTGCTGACCCATGACCCTTCGTTCTCCTTCGGACGAGGTCGATCGCTCTGCATTGACTAACAAGTACTTGAAAACGGCAGAATGTAACCGGCAGATGAGGAGTAAAAGTTGTCCATGTGACTGGTCTCCTGACAGTGCAGCTCAATTGGATCCCATTTCGAGCAAGGGACACTGTCCACACAGTCTTGGAATTTCAAGCTCTTTGACTTCGAAAAGCGATCATCCGCTTGCACACAGACATGCCCCGAGTAGGAATAAGAAAGCCGCAGTTCTGTAGTGTTGGCCGATATAGATTGCATCACTGAGTGAGATACCCGTGCTTCTAGAGGTGGAAAGTTTAGAGAGAACGGGAAACTGCCAGCTTCAGCCTCATGCCTGACAACAAAAGAACGGTCAAAGAGAAAGCTGCAATTACTTGTACACAGTGGGTAGAGTCGAAAGCTCTGCAACGAGAATCCGACAAGATGATTAAAGCACAACAGATTTCAAGCCGATCTCGATTATTACCTGGATGTCGCACCTTACAAGTACTTGGACAACTGGTGTTGGGGCACTGACTCGGAGGCATAACAAGTAGAAAGACGGATAACTCTCGGCAACTCCATTTTATGTCGCCCGAATAAGGCCGCTTGTGACATGCTTGTTAGTGGCAGCAGATTATGAGAGCAAGAAAAAGTTCACTGGTGCTCCTGCACTACAACATCCGGGGTAACGTGCTTGAGATGAACGAGTTTCTGGAAAGCGAGGAAGGAATAGCCGGCAGGGGAAAATCCTTGATCCGAGCGACTTTGTCCGCGGTATTTCGTACGATATACCTCGTATGTATTGTCTGATCTGCGTCAATGGCGCAAAAGGGGTTCACAGATTGGCGGCCGGCCGTCCACATCTCAGGGGTTGATTGGACTTCCTCCAGGCCCCGACACCCTCACAGCGTCGTCAGCGTCATTGGCGTTTGCTTTGCTCAGCCTGCAGTGCCCAGTGGAACATTGGTTTCGAGGCCCAGACTGGCCAATTCTGACAGCAAAGCCCTTTCCCGAACACCAACTCTTCTGGGGCATACGAGGGAGATGGACAAGAACGACCACGGTTTCTCCCGCGTGCCTTCTCTGCTGCCGACAACCGAGATGTTGGGAACAGTAAGAGCAAAAGTTTCTCTGTGTGCGTACTTGGTAGGTAGGCGTACCGAGTTCATCGTGGTTGTTAAGACAGGGGGAGATGAAGTCGGTTGTTGAGGCGCAAGGGGTGTGGGGTAACCGTGTCTGATCACTGAGACGAGCCATCGTATCACGCGACAAAGAGCAATGAGTTTGTACTTGTTACGGAATATTTTGTACCTCGTAGTTGTTAGGGGATGGTGTGTTCGGTTTTGGAACATTGAAGCATGCGCCGTCTTCGCAGTCTGCTCCTGTAGGGCTTTGCCTTCCCCGTCGTTGGAAAAAGCTCGGCCACGCCAGGCGCAGATAGCACAAATCGAGGCCGGAAATGCAGTGCTATTCCCTGATCTGCAAGGGCCAGACGCTTCTTAGAGCAGCTTTCACGTTGGCCGAAATAACCCATGCGACGCGAGAAGCGTCCGAGAACGAGGGCCAGGACAAACATCAAGCGGATTGGGCGACACGCGGCGTGGATGGAAATGATTCGTGCACCAGTTGAGTCGTGAGTGGTGAGATGCATGAGGGACAGGTGAGAAGGGGAAAGGGCTGCGGCGCAAGCAGCGATTCTTTCCACATCCATCATCGGAGGAGGGGCGCAGGGCGTGTACTGGGTACTTGGTAGGGACTCGGTAGCTACCTGGGAGCAGTAGGAGCAGCTACGAGGTAGCTGGCAGCTTCCAGGCCAAGTCTGGGGAGGAGGGTGGGCGGTGGTGGGAAAGAAACACGCGGGCACCTCGGAGGAGGCAGGGCGAAGACGATTCGTGCAGAAAGCGCTCGTCCCTAGGCTCGAAGAGATTAGCGGGATTGGCGTATGGTGGGTGGGCGACGGGTTAGGATCAAAACAACTCTGGCCCCGTGGCCGTGGTGGTCGGTCCCTGTGCTCAGAACTACGCACGGAGCAAGCACGCCTGCGCGCAGGGCGTTGGACTATTCCGAGACTGTGGAGCCGGGAAGAGGCAAATTTCATGGCAGCCCCCGGCAAATTGAAGCCCTCGTCGCGGCCTAGGGCGCATTAGTCGGCCACGCCTGGACGTTTTGGCAGCGAATGGGCGCCGCCGTTCCAGGCACCGCCAATAGGCACCAATGGGCACCAATGGGCACAAAGCGGGTCTTGTGCCCAAGTTTGTCCTGCACTTTCAACTAACAGCACTAGCCCTGGCTGGGGCTGGTCGCCCTGATATTTCCCGCCCTCGCCGGCTTCCTGCGCTCGTCCTTCCCACTCCCACCACCCACCTCTCACCTCTCCCGATTTCTGCCTTTTTCTCGCCTTCTCGCCTGTGCTCCCTCCACCGCCTGTTTGGCCAGCCAGTTCGCAAAATCGACCATCACCATCCCACCGCTGCTTTCCATCTCACTTACATTGCCATTATCTACAACCTGCCACCCGCTCTCGTCCCCCCTTCAGCCTTTTCCTCTCACGCCTTGTTCCTACTTCCTCCATTGACGCCTTTAACAACATTCCTCCCGACCCAGATCTGTTCAGCATAGAACCCTCCTGCGCTTGTTCCCAAGAGGCTCCTTATTGATCAGCTGACACCTTTGTTTTTTTTGCCACTGTTTGCTTAGCTGGCATCCCTCTCGACAATACAACTGTACCGCTACATTCCGTCCTAGACCTCTCTGCATCCTTTCCCGGTCGTCCTCATAGCTGCAAATCAGATCCAACTACCTCCGCCATGTCGACCTACTACTACACTGCCCATCAGCAACACCAGGCAACCAATCCGCAACCAATGCCCCAGACTCATAGCCACCACGGCCGGTCTCGACGAGCACCCCGATTATCGGCCGCTCAAAACTCCCATCGGCAGTTCCGTGCGCCCAAGGCGGTCAAAGAGATTGTTGTCACCGAGCCTCCAAGCATGACTGCATACCGGGCGCGGTTTGAGGCAGGACGGTCGTTTGATCTGGATGACGATCTAGAGTTCTGCCCAAACCTCTTGTCTTTCGATGAGGTGTGTGGCGAGCCTCTCTCCACAACTTCATCTCTTACTGACTTCTTCGCAAAGCGTCAGTCGGTAACGTCAGGGTCGTCGGATCGCTCATCGCTGTCAAGTGGCTCACCCGATTCGTCTCCACTCCAATCCCAAATACAACCACAACAAATAACACCCGCCTTGTCCATTTCCTCTGCCGCCACGTCTGCGTACATGTCCCCGCCATCCTTCATCGGCAACCACAGCAGTCTTAAAATCCATCAGCCGTCTGCGATCCGTTCTCGCAACAACGCCATCCCGATTGTGAATCCTTCCACCGGCAACCGCATCGCAAGCCCGCCGTCATCTATCTCGCCAGGCATGATGCAACAAACAACTGCCGCCCGCCGGTGGTAAGAGAATCTCTGTCCTTGGATTCCTCTACCTCCGTGCTCGTTGTCGTTGTGTCGCTGTATTCGTTCTGGCCGGTGTTATGATGTGTCGCTTGCCTTGTGCTTTCCAGTGCCTGACAACCTCCCTCCCACGCTACCTCCCTTCTCACACCCCCACTTTGCTTTGTACATATGTATCTCACGACGAGGAAAATCTTTGTTCATTTTTCAAACGAGCGGCAAGGCATAGCGATTCGACGAAGTTGACATCATGATACCAGCTATTTGTGGAAGATAGGATCAATGGGGAGTACGGTGGCACAGCGATTTCAAAGACACATTCTGATTTTAGCATGGAGTTTCCCGAGCATATCCAAGGTCAAGAGGATCATGATAGACAACGATCATCATCATCATATTGGCGGTTTTTATTTCCATGTTGTTTACGGGAGTTGGCACATTCGGCACCTTGGGCGAGGAAATGACAGATGAGAAAACATAAAAGATACCAGATGGGTTGATGCGGGTTTTCTGGTTGGGTATGTTGGTTCCACAAAGGATGGAACAAATGCCACATCTCACGGTTGACGGCTGGCTTAAAACGATATCGGACTTTTTATGGGCCACATTCTTGTCCAGCACAACGGTCGGTGGGGATATGGATATCCGCCGTTATGAGATGTATTTCTAGTTGATAGAAAGCTGAAAATTTTACGAATCTGGGTTCTGTTCAAAAGTGGTCCATTTCTTTGTAGGCCTTCACCAGGATTCTTGTCAATGGATGGCCTTTGTTTGGGATGTTCCCAACACGGTTGACTTCCTATGTACGGCGCAAGGCGGTACCTAGATGAAGTGTCTCATGCATAGCCTCGATCTTGTTTCCACGGTTCAGCTCTGCAAGGTACCAAACGCATGTTGACTCATCGCTTGTTATTCGGCGTACGTTCACCGGTGGCAGTGCAGATAAGTACCTCTGCGGATTCAAATCGAACAATTGGTCAGATTCCACTTGGGGTAATGAGGCTGGTAACCTCAGTGGGGTGGGAAATGTGGCTGGTGCCTACTATCTGCAAGACTTTCGTATGCCTACCACTCCCAACCGTCCCGCCTTGGATGGATCAAGTCACCTACATTCGAGAGCGTTGACATTTAGAGGGTGACGTACGAGGTACCGCCCAACTGATGATATGTACATATTTCAACGCTTGACGGGGCTCTCAATAAAGGCCTGAAAAGCAGGGCCAATGCCATCTTGGCGTTAACATTCCTCGTCAAAAACATAATCCCAATTCCTGACCCCACCGCTTTTTGCGCTTCAGAGACACCAACTACCTCTTAGTCAAGGCTGCGGCAGTGAGCCATGGCTCTATTCACGCGGAATGTCGTGCTCGTGCTCTTCCTGGGCTTGATGTTGTTTACCCTCCAAGCTCATGCATTTGGTGCTGGCAGTACGGTGACCCAAGATATCTGAGATTACCCTTCGCTGACGCTTTGAGCAGATATTGCCTCGATCTCTGCTGTAGAGGGCAAGAACTGGCGTCATGGCGATATTGAAGATGTCTTGAAGACAGTAGCGTGTATCCGCCATCACAAATGGAATTCGATGATGATCAAACGTGTTTACTTTGGGTATACTTTCGTTCCGTTTGGAGTGAATATGCCAGGCTAAGCGCTCGTGTCTAGGAACTGGCTTCGGGACTATTCCCAGGCTATGGATACTGGGGCTTTGAAGAAGGCACAACCAGAAACCATTCGCATCTTGGTTTGGCTGCTGTCCTTCCTTGGATTCGGTTATGCTACGGCCGAGTTCGAGGTCACCTCAGAGCGCTTAGGCGTATATCGACCTGAAGAGCACATCGAGTGTGTTACTCTCTCCGTCAGTGTCAAAAATAAATGCTAACAGAGTCCTCAGCAATCCCAAAGACTACAATGACAATGAAGACGCTCGAAAGTTCGATGTCCGCCTCCGAGGCCCGGTTAGAGACATTGAACTTCAAGTCGATATGGAGACCGGTATGAAGAACTATATTGCCAACGGGAAAGGTGACTGGGCTACCAGCGCGGCTTTCGTCAAGTACAGCTTCGAACGCAGTATCCACCACGGCCGTCTTTATACAAATGGCCACGGATTTTTTAAAGGGAAAGACGAAGATCTCGCTGAGGCTCTGAGATGCCTTGGGCAAGGGTTGCACACACTGGAAGACTTCGGTGCTCACACAAACTACGTGGAACTTGCACTTCGGGAAATGGGCTTCCACAATGTGTTCCCTCATGTTGGGGCGGCCACCGCCATTAACCTGCGTGGAAAGCACGTTTTCCCTCTTGTCACAGGCACTTTCGGAATGGTTGATTTTTATCACTCCGTCCTTGGGGAGGCTACTGACCATTTCACCCAGAGCGAAGTCAATGAAATGGACAACGCTCTCGGCACTGCTCAACAAGCGGCGCAGTCGTCAAATCCCTTGACGACATTGGTCAAACTTCTCTCCAAGGTCCCCGGAACCAAAGGTCTCTGCGATGAGGCCGAGCAGTTGCAGGCGAGCTCTCAAGCCCAAGCACGTGCTAATCAACAAGGAGGGTACGGGATGCAGGGCGGATATCGTGGAATGGATAATTATGGGGAGTCTTCAAGGGGCATAGATGGCTGGGAGAGTAGCCGGGCATCTCATCCAAGTTACCCCCCGCAGCCTCAAGCATATGATGCGAACGCTTGGAGCCAACAGCCTCAACCCAATTACCAACCCCATTGGGATCATAATCCACCTCAGTATCAACAGCAACCGCAATGGCATGATCAATCGCAGAATTTTACCAATCCGCCGCCTCAACATCAACCTCGGTGGCACGATCAAGGAATAGCCCAAAATTATAGTGCACATGACCAATATTCCGACGCGAATCAGAGTTGGCAGCAACCATCGACGGAGCCATGGCAACAGCAACAACCACAACATCCAGATCCTCATAATTCACAGCTCGAGCAATCAGCTGCTCCACCACAAGTGCCATCCCAATCATCACAGACTGGAAAACCTGCATCAAGCGCTCTTGAAGGCCTCCCCAACTTTGATCCGGCCAAGACGGTCGCTCAGATCTATCCGATCCTTGCCTTCCGCGACAAAGTTGTTCGGACGATCAGCGGTATCATTGAAAAGATTCCTGGCCTCGAAGCACTTGTCGACCGCATCACCGAGACTTTGACAGTCTTTATTCTCTCACTCTTGGCGCCTTTTGTGCGACCCATTCTTAACGCAATCTCGAAGGCGCTTCAAACTGGAAGTGAGGGTGTTCTAACTTCGTCTGCGAGACACCAATACGAGGTCTGGACGGACCCGCACTCCACCGATCCCACGCACTCGATGCTGAGTAAGGACCACTTTAGCAATATGCTGAACGAACCTGCCGGTAATGTGGCGGCCGAGATTCTCAAGTTCGTCGCTCCACGGGTTCTGTATGCTTGGGAACACCCTGATGTTCCCGTGCAACAGGTCATGCACGACGTCGAGAGTATATTTCATCATCCCGCCATCCGAAATGAAGGGCTCGAGGTTCACCGGAATATGTTCACTTCGGTCAGAAGATGGGTGGACGGCCTCCCTGACAAGGGGCACAGTCTCGAGACTTTGTTGAGTTCAGACGGGGTGCGGACAGGCAAAAATCACAAAGCTGGCGTCAATGAGCATATCCAACATTCCACTCCCAGCGCAAGCGGAGGGCACCAGACAAATGCTGGCCCACTAGGAGGACTTGCCAGTTTCCTTCCAGGCCAACAGCACCATGGTGGAGGCGGAGGTCACCAGCCGTCGTCCAACGCTGGGGGATTTGGTGGACTGGCCAACCTCATTCCTGGAGGAGGACATCAAAGTGGTGGCCACGGGAGCAATCCACTTGGGATGGTAGGTGACGTTCTCGGCAACTTCACAGGACATAAACCAGCACAGCAACACGGTGGAGGTGGCGGCTTGGGTAATATGCTGAGCATGGCCGATAAGTTGCCTATTCCCGGCGTACACGGTGTTACTGGCTCACTCAACAAATACACGAAGTTGATGGGCGGCTTCCCTGGAAGCGGCGCACGCGGCTTGGACGAACAGGATCTTGGTTCAAGTGGCAGTGAACTAGGTGGATCAAGGGAGTTGCACGAGGCTGCATTGCTGGGAGACCGCTCGGCTTCCGGTCACAGATCGCCCAGTCCCATGCCCATGCAGCCGCCGCCTGGATATGAGCAATACGGTCGACAGGAGGTTGGTGATTATGGATATGGTCAAGAAAGGCAAGACTATCAACATCAAACAGCCTATCAAGATCCATACCAGGCTCAGGGTCAGTACCCTGGTGGCGGCGAGAGCGCTGGCTATTATGGGGGACGTTGACGAAAAGAAGCAAAGTAGAAGTTATGAGACAAGATCCGTAGGCAATTCACCGTGTCATGAATGACCCCAGCCTTCCAAGAAGGGTGCTCACGTCATAGATGAATGAGTCGTTGACACCGGCTAGAACCAGCGAAACTGCATGGATCACAACTTATCAAATCCACCGTGTCTCCCTAGGCCCGCCGCAAATCGAGCAGCACCAGGGATACTTTCCGACTGCAACACCTTCACGCCGCGGTCATATTCATTCCTCATTGCATCTTCAAAAGTCGCACTGTTATATGCCGCATAATAGCATGAATTCCGATCGACATTCATACACCCGTTTGGAAATCTCAGCAACGACTCGGCGATCTTGGCGGCTTCTTCAAGCGCCTTGCCCTTGGGGACGACCCTATTCGCTAGACCCATTGACAGAGCTTCCTGCGCAGAAACTGGTCGTCCGGTGAGAATCATATCCAACGCCCGTCCCAGGCCAACAATGGCCTGCAAGCGGACTGTGCCGCCGTCTATCAGGGGCACACCCCAGCGACGACAGTAGACGCCGAATATTGCGTCCTCTTCGACAACCCGCATGTCAGCCAAAAGACTCAGTTCGAGACCCCCAGCGACGGCGTGGCCCGCCACGGCAGCGATGACTGGTTTCTTCACCTGCAGCCGCGAGGGACCCATCGGACCGCAGTTGCGATCTTGGACTGGTTGCAGATGATTCCTATCCAGCGGATCGAGCGTGGCCGGGTCTTTCTTGGATTGGGCCGTCAGATCGACAAGGTCTGCACCAGCGCAAAAAGCCCCCTCGGAACCGGTGAAAACGGCAACTTTCTGAGAGGCGTCTTCCTCGAAGTTAATGAAGGCAGCGTATAGGGCGCGGGCAGTGGATGGATTCACCGCATTGCGGCGATGGGGCCGGGTGATTGTGATTGTCGTTATTCCAGACGGGCTTTTCGACACAGCGATGGGCGATTCGCTCATTTTTGCAGAGAGGAGGACACTAGTGATATCAAGGGCAATACAAAGAGGAAATCAGGCTATTGGTCGCTCCTTGTCATGTTGACAAAAATGTTGTTGCAGGAGAGCTGAGTATTAGCTGGATCCACAGCCTTGCGACGTGCAGGAGGCAAAGGAGGTTAGAGGTTTCTTTTGTCCCGAGGCTCACAAGGCTGCGAGCAGAACGACTCAATTTACCTCGTATTACCGGGTACACATGCAGATGCACAATTTACGAGTACTCGGTAAAGAGACTACTCCGTACTCGTACATGGTCATGGAGATTTGAAAGGCTCGCATGGATGTTTCATGTTTCTCCAGCCGTTGAATTTCAGGTAGGAGCTTTGTGCGGGCGTCTCGCCTGTCTGTCGCTTGTCGGTAGGAAATGCTGAATCTGTCACCAGTCGATCAAGTGAGATGCGTGCTGCGCCACGAGTGTTGGCGCATTGCTACAGTTGGACAGGCCAGGATTGAAACCTGATGGCAGCAGCTGGTGGTATGTAGATGGCGGTTTGAAGCTTTGCCATGCGCCGCGCGCAATGCGATGTGGGCCCTCGGGCGCCAAACGGGCCGCCTAGACTAAAAGTGACCTAGGCGTCCCTAGGCGTCGCACCGCTGCTTGGACACGGCCTGCTGCCCCTGGACTGATTGGCTGTCGACGCCCCTGGCGCCCTGAAGGCCTCTGCGCGCGTTTGGCAATGCGCCCAGCCACGACGTCACTCCAAACACCTAAAGCATGCGATCCTCACACGTCTATCTCGATCTTGGTCCCTGCCTTCGATCGTCACAATACGTACCCTCCAAGCCCTTTATCCAACTTTGATCTTGCTTGCTTTGTGTTGATCTTTTCTCCATTATTCATTTCTTACAACTACCTTCATTAATCCTTCCCTTCGCTTTGTCCCTCTACTTATTTCGAGCCCCACGAAAGGACGGCCTCTTTGACCAGCAACTGCGCCCAGTTTAATACCGCCCTGACATTGACGTCGACTGACCTTCTCCTTATTCCAAGCGAGCACGCACGCCTTCACAAGAGAACCAGTCATGCTTCTACCAATCCTTCACAACGAGCCTCAATAATACAATACCTGTTTCCACAGATAAGAACAAGAAATCTGCAAGGGAATCAATCATAATACAAAATGTCGTTGAACGACACATTAAATCTGGGTGGTAATACCACCGCGGCTGAACAAAAAAATGGCCAAAGCGCAGGTCAATTTGCTGCTTCTTTGGTGACTGCCATAGCGGTGTTCGGCATCCAGGTCGGGTTATTTCTCGTCATCAAGGACCGCTTCGCAAGAATATACCAGCCCCGAACATACCTTGTTCCAGAAAGAGAAAGGACGAAACCCTCACCTCCAGGCTGGTGGAAATGGATCAAGCCAGTGGCTGCTACCTCCAACTCTGAATTCGTCCAAAAGTGCGGCCTGGACGCCTATTTCTTCCTGAGATATCTACGTACGCTACTCAAGATCTTTGTCCCCGCTGCGTTGGTCATCTTACCAATTCTCATCCCTCTCAATCTGATCGACGGTCGTGGGACTCAGTTTGCGCTCGGAAAGAACGTAAACGCAAGCAATGTCACGGGTCTGGACCAACTTGCTTGGGGCAATGTGGCTCCCAATCATACCGGGCGGTATTGGGCTCACTGGCTCTTGGCCCTATGTCTGATTGTCTGGATTTGCTATGTCTCTTTTGACGAACTACGCAACTACATCCGGATGCGGCAGGCTTACTTGACATCTCCTCAACATCGTCTCCGTGCTTCTGCTACCACTGTCTTGGTGAGCTCGATCCCTCAGAAGTGGTGCACAGTCGAGGCGCTCGACGGCCTCTATGACGTATTCCCTGGTGGACTTCGAAACATCTGGATCAACCGAAACTTCGACGAGCTCAGTGACAAGATCAAACGGCGCGATAAGCTAGCTGCAACTCTCGAAGCCGCCGAGACCGAGCTCATCAAGAAATGTTTCAAAAAGCACGAGAAGAACGTCGCCAAAGCAGAGAAGGGAGCTGGCACGAAACTCACCAAGGAGGAAAAGAAGCTGCGAGCCACCATTAGGAATGAAGCTGGTGATCGAGCAGCCCATGGCCATGGCACTACAACTGGAAACCCTCATCAGGTGGAGCATAACCTTCACGATGTCATTCATGGTCATCAGGCTGCCGCTCCCTCAGACTCGGGCGATGATGAGGAAGAAGAGGCCTCTAAGCCTCAACGGGACAGATTCAATATCCCCATTATTGGCGAAGGCATCTCCGCAGTTACTCACGGTTTGGACAAAGTTGGCAAAGGAATACTAGGTGGCATTCGTGGAGTCAACAAAGGAGTGAATGAGACTATCGACACTGCCAATGGCTTCGTGGCGACCGATGCGGAACAAAACGAAATGGGACGCAGTTCCCACGGCGAAGAAGGAGAGAGCGCTAGCCCAACAGCACCCAAAAATCGCAAGGTCTTCGGACAGCCGCGAACAGCAGGTGCCAAAGATACCTCTGCAAAGAATGAAAGCTCCTTTGGTGACCGGGGAAGATCAATGGAGAAATCGCCTCGCGAAGAACCACCACAGAGCCCAATCTCTCAAGGTAGTACAATGGGGGGTGAGAAGGCTCGACCAGCGAAACAACTGACGAAATTCGAAAAGTTCAAAAAGGCCATTGGCCTTGGCTCAGACGAAAAAGAACCAGTCGAATACCCGTCTGCGTTTGAGTGCAACTTCGAACACAACCCCGACGATGCAGTCTGGCGACGTTATTTGAATGAAAAGGAACGCGAAACTATGAGACTGCCAATTTTCGGCTGGCAATGGATGCCCTCGCTCCCTCTGATGGGAGAAAAGGTTGACACGATCGAATACTGCCGGAAGGAGGTTGCTCGGCTCAATGTTGAAATAGAGGATGACCAAGCTCATCCCGAACGGTTCCCTCTTATGAACTCTGCATTCGTCCAATTCAACCATCAGGTTGCGGCACACATGGCGTGTCAAGCTGTCAGTCACCATCTGCCCAAGCAGATGGCTCCACGCTTGGTTGAGATCGATCCCAATGATGTTATTTGGGACAACATGTCGATTCCATGGTGGTCAGCATACATCAGAACAGGTGGGGTTGTGGCCATTGTGGTTGGTATGATCATCCTCTGGGCCATTCCCATCGCCTTTACGTCGGCTCTTTCGCAGCTCGAAACTGCTGCTAAGACGTGGACCTGGCTTCATTGGGTTCTCAAAATTCCTGCTTGGTTCCGGAGTGTCCTTCAGGGTGTGTTGCCGGCGACCTTACTCGGTCTACTATTGTTTCTCCTCCCCCTCATCCTCCGATTCTTGGTACGATGCCAGGGCACACCGTCTGGTATGCTGGTCGAGCTCTCGGTTCAACGCTACTACTTTTGCTTCCTATTCGTCCAGCTGTTCTTGGTCGTCTCAATTGCCTCAGCCTTGACCCAGTTCTTTGCGCTGTTCACAAGTGTGGACGGCTGGACTAACGTTCCGAGTCTCCTTGGCACCAACATCCCTAAGGCCAGCAACTATTTCTTCTCCTACATGCTCCTCCAGGCCTTGTCAGTGAGCGCTGGAGCACTACTGCAAGTCGGGTCACTCATCGGATGGTTCATCCTTGCGCCGCTATTTGACACTACAGCGCGGGCCAAATTCAAACGACAGACCCAATTACAAAATATCCAGTGGGGAACATTCTTCCCGGTGTATACCAATCTGGCTTGCATCGGTTTGATCTATTCCGTTATCTCGCCTCTGATCCTGCTTTTCAACATCATCACCTTTACGTTGTTTTGGTTTGTCTACAGGTACAATACCCTTTATGTCGACCGGTTCACTCGCGACACCGGTGGCCTATTGTACCCTAATGCCATTAACTTCACCTTCGTGGGAGTCTATGTGATGGAAATTGCTCTGATTGGCATGTTCTTCCTGGTCAGAGATGAACATGGGAACGTCGCCTGCACGGGACAAGCGATTGGGATGATTATAATTCTCATCCTCACCGCCGGGTATCAATTGCTGCTAAACAACGCTTTCAGCCCATTGTTTAGATATCTTCCTATTACTCTTGAGGATGATGCGGTTCGGCGTGATGAGGAGTTTGCCCGAGCGATGCAAAAGAAACATGGCCTAATCGAGAACGAGAACGAAAATGAGGATCTTGAAGATCAACTGGAGCGTAATGAGCGACAGTCCGTGGAAGAAGACCGCCAACAACATGAAATCGAACTTCAAGACATTGAAAAGGATAAACAGGCCAGGCTCGGACGACAAAGGTCTCAAAAGTTGCCTGACCTTGAGCCGTACGAGTTCCAGAATCCAGAGATTGCCATGAATTTAGACCAAGAAAGCAGAGGCTTCCGAATGATGAAAGCAGCAGCTCAGATGACTGCAGGCAAAACCAAAGGCCTCGTGCCACGTACCATTTCGCAAAGAGGCCACCACAAGTCCTGGGCCGACAGGGACAACGCAAGGAATCGACACGCATCGAATTTTGGTGACTGGGAAAATCCACCACTAAGCAGAAGTGTGACGCAATCCGAAGGTGCGTCTGGGCCTCACAAGCGCCACGTGCAACAACCTAAGGACGTCTTTGACAAGCTTAACAACTTTAATCCTTTGACTGGCACTGAAAAGGACGTCGAAGCTCAACGAGCGGCTCGGAATCAACTTGCTGATGCACTCTTTGGTGGAGTCAACGATGAATTGGAGGACCTGACGCCTGACGAGCGCGATAAACTCGTGCAGAGGGCTTTCCAACATAGTGCACTACGAGCCAGAAGGCCTGTCATCTGGATTCCTCGGGATGAGCTCGGTGTTAGTGACGACGAGGTGCACCGAATGGGCCGCTTCAGCAGTCACCTCTGGGTCAGCAACGTTCGGCAAGGCCTCGATTCCAAAGGTCGCTGTGTGTACAGCGGCGCCCCGCCCGATTTCAGCGAAGTGGACGTGATCCAGCTCTAAATGCTTGCATTAGAGTATTTGACGAAGTTGGAGGATGATGCAACCGTTTACCAATATTAGCGAGGCGTTTTTTCCCCGGTGTCGGCGGGTTGATTTCGTTACGAAGCAACGGAAGCGAAGATTGATGTACTCAGTGAGGAGAGAGTGAATTGTTTTCCACTGGGAGACGATGTCTGCATAGAGCTGTGACAAGACCTGCCGAAACTTTGTAACGATATTGAGAATACATCAGCAATGATCAGTTTTTAGTTTTGTACCCTATACCTGACTGTACAGCCTAGTAAGGTACGGACGGATACTGAATGCAAGATGTTACCCTCACTCTGGCTCCTCGCCTTTAAGAGCCCAACTGAATGTTCAATGCGAAACTCTCCCTCGCACAAGGTGTGCGCCGCGAATGAGATGCCGAGCCCACAAGGATGTACTCGGAGCTCAGCTCAGCGATTAAAGAGGCGGCAAGGCCAAACAAAGCCTATGTACCGAGAGTAATTACTCCGCAGTCGTATCCCTTCAGAAGTAAAAATATCCTCATTGTGTCACTGATGTGGGACTGCGTTTGTTACCGGACGAAAGAAATAGAATACCATTACCCGTTCCTTATATCGGGATGAAGAACCTCTTGCTTTAGATTTGAGTGACAGCTATACTTTCATGCTATGATGGTATCCATACTCCGTACTATGCTCGGACATTAATTCCATCGCAACGTGCACGTCGCGCCAAAGGGGAAGGGGGGGGAGGGTTGCTAACATGTTACATCTCGACGTAAACACTCCCCAATAACTCCCCGCTCTGTTTTCTTTTCTTTTCTTTTTGGGTTTCTTCACGCTCCCAGCGAGGTGAGGACGACACAGGAAGAATTCGAAGTCGTATTGCAGACATTTGCCCTCCCTAGGCCCTTGAACTTGGGACCCGTGGGCCCGCTCACGTACTTGATCTGTCCGATCAGGTCGATCTGGCCGGTCGCGTTAAGCGGGAGCTGCACGTCTCCCCAGATGCCGTTGAAGTCCAGCCAGCCGGTGGGATCTAGCCCGTTGTACGCTGTGAACTTCTGCGTCGCAGTGTCGAACGAGTAAAAATATGCGTTGTCATTGGCGAGAGGGTCCCAGAGCGTGCCCGCGCTGGCAAAGTCGGTTATGGGCGAAATCGGAAGGCCGGTCCCGAGGTTGAGTCCTGTGATGTTTAGTGGGTGTGGACCAGGCGTGGCGTAGTTTGCGTGTGTGCCGTTGGCGCAGTACACGATGGGTCGCAACCCGTTGTTGAATTTCTGGACCGCGCCGAATGTGAAGGCCTGACCTGAAGAGTGTTGACTGTACCACATAGCCTGGGGAGTTTCGTTCTGAAACCGCACCATCACGTGTTCCCAGTCGCCGACGTGATCGCCTAATTCGAGGACAGGGAGTCCAAAGATCCAGTCGCCGCGGTTGTAGGCGTAAAAGAAGAAGAAAAAGGCGTCGAGGATGTTGTTGGGTTTACTCACGGTGACGACGGCGGTGGCGGTCGTGTTGCTAGCTAAGGAACCGTTGGTGGGTTTCGCACCGTTAAACCACAAAGGCAGGGCACGGATGCCTTGATTGGAAGTGAGAGACACGTTGGTGCCATTGTCGCCAAAGCTGTCCAAGGTGTTGAGATTGGACAAGGTCAAAGGGGCACGAGGAGTAATATTTTGCCCAGCGAAATCTTCGGGGTGCGTGTTCGCCACTTGTGAGGCAATGGAACTGGGGAAGAAAGCTTCCGTAGAATCGAGAAATACCACCGGAGCTTTTATGAGATTACTCTATCAGCTTTCTCTCCTTAAGGAATTCACACTCTTTCTTTCTCCTCCTCCGAAGACGTCAACGAGAAAGAGACTGAATCAAGAAATGGAAGATACATACCGAACTGACGGACGAAAGTTGGGAGTGTTGCTCGTTTCTGAAGTCCAGCCCCCGATGCGGAAGCTGCGATGAAAGAGAACAACACCAACGAGACTTGATAGACAAGCATTTTGATCTGTTGAACACGGACTGCGACGTTGGAGCGTCTCGAGAGAAACAGCTCAAGGGTGCGTTGAGGCATGCTTATAAGAAGGCGCATGCGCGCATCAGAAAGAGGCAAGGGATCACAAACCTGGGCACTTACGTCTGCAAATCCATTTCCGAGATGTAACTATTACTGGGTATGGTAAATCTGAATCTAGTCATTGCGCGGGTCGAGTCATCAAGTGAGGCTTGGCTTTGGCGTATGATACGAAGTATTCGTACTCTGGGGTTCACCAACGTCACAGGGCGTCGTTGGAAGAGGCTCAGCTGAAGCGCGTAGACAGAGAGTATACGACGTCTCAATAAAGCCGTGCTCACAGGTAAGTGACCGCGAAGGTGGAGTTGGGCGCGTTTGATGATAGTGGGGGCAGTTTCCAAAGAAACTGCCAATCACAGCGACCAAAAAGCATTGCCCTAAGCAGGGTGGTTCTTCCCACAGGGACAGCAATGCTAATGCTCGGGAAAAAGAGCATGACGCTTGGGGTCCTGTGTCGACGGAGCCCGAAAAGAGCCTCAGACTGAGACTCTTCCGAGGGCTTGGTACGGCCGAGAACACGTGAACGAAGCCGTAGATGCCGAAATCTCGATCACCTCTCGGTCAGCTGAAGCCCTCAATCGCGCTAAGACTGCAGCGGGAGATTTGTTGAAGAGGTTCTTGTCGGATGTCAAATCCAACGTGGAAGGTCGGGCTGGAGATGCTGACTTCGGGATCTGTCCGTGAATACAGAGTACACTTGGTCAAATCCACGACGTGCTGTGCACAGAGCATCCCATTTTAATGTTTGATGCCTATGTGAATCGTCCATTCAATGCCGTCGGTTGTAGGAGGACTGACATTAGTATGCACTCAGGTAGATCGCAGGGGCCCCTTTGCGGAACAGGGCAGGTTGAGCAGTCTCGGATTGGAGTCGGAGCGGTCGCAGCTCGACAGTCTTCGCCAGGTCCTTCTCTCCTATATCGTGCAGATAAGGGCCTGTTTCATGCTCTGACAGAGACTGCTCGGACTGGTGCAAATAAAAACTGCCCCAACGGCTTGGTGATGCCTCGGACTGCTGCTTACCGTCATGGTTCTTTGACACCACATGGTAAGAGGCTAATCCCCAGTAGGCGGACTGTCGTCAATGAATGCTGTTTTGGTGGTGAATGGCTTGACATGATATATCTGGAAAGAGAGAAATTATTAGGGTCGGTGAAGTTACCTGGAATGAGCCAGCGGCATGTGACTGAAACCACACGTGATTCGAGAGACGCCCGCGGTATGTGATCAAAAGAAAGGCTGAATCGATGGTAAACGCGGGAAAAGATGTCGCGATCTGTGGAAGAACATTTGATCAGACATATTGCATTGAGATAGAGATAGTAGCGGCTTCCGTGTATGCCCTCCATCATTGGAACTAGTCTCCTAGGTTTCCTGGTTGATGGAGTCGCTTCGTGCCACTCTCTGTAACCCGATGTATATGCTGCCTTTCCCCTCGCTGGCCCGCGATTGCTACGCTCGGCTTGCCCTATAACGGGCGTATTCCCTTGAACCTCTCACATTTTCTGGCTCCTAAGCCATTTCCCTGCCTGTGTCCCTTTGCCCCCTTCAATGTTTGCATTGACCTTTTGCCGGGCCTGCGAGTTTTGGAGAGCCAATGGATAATCCAAAATGATTCATAAGGATTCCGGTCGTTCGGCATGATAGAAATTACAGGGAAAGGTCCGTCAATTGGAAGGTAATAGCCAAGTCGAACGTTGTTGCCCGCTCCACTTCCTTCCACGCTTCAGTCAAGTCTTTCCCTTCCATGCCATCTCCCATGATGCCTGCTTCTTTGGTCGGAGACGAGCGCTGCTGTTTATGCTCTTCGGAGTTTTGTGGACTCGTGTGCTGCTCGAAATGCCATGTCGACTCATATACTCCGAACTCAAGGGCGATCATAGCCACGGCCGGGACAGTTGAACGCCGTTGTCGACGAGGCAGCAACCTGGTCGATTAGGCACCTCTTCTGATTGCATCTCATCTCTTCTTGCGGAATCTCCGGCTCGCTCCGAGGACTTTCAGTCGCCGACCATGCCTCGAACTCTCTCAATCCGGCTCACAGCCCTCTCCAACCGTTCCAGTCTCTTCCTCTTCTCAACATCTCTCTGCTCTAACACTTTGACCCTCTCTTCTAACTTCGCGCGGGCCTTCCTTTCATTCGCAACCATCTCGTTTGCCTGTCCGAATAATTGTGCTGTGAGTTCTTCCAACTCGGTTTGAGTCTGTGACAATGAAGATTCCGCACGTAGGCGGAGGGTGCGTTCTTCTTCAAGAGAGGATTGTAAAGATGAGAGGCTCACGGCTGATTGGATATTGTCTAGGGTTGAGGAGAGGGTCGGTGTAGAGTTATTGGGTATCGCTCCGACTCCAAAGAAGGGTGTTTTCGGAGGAGACAACGTGTTGTTGGCGTAGCCTGCGGAATTGCTCTGCGGAAATGTACCTGTTGCTGGTGTCAAGGGGATCTGTCCTCCTACGCTGGTGTTTGCTTCCCTTCTCCGTCCCGGAAGGAATGCACTGATGCTTGCCAGCCTTGACTGCTGCTGCGGTAGCGTTTGGCCTGGTGTCAAAGGTGCTATTAACGACCCTATTCCTTCCACTGGTGGACTACTCAGCCTAGGATTTGATCCTGCTTGTTGCTGCTGTTGGAGAGAATTGGAGTGTGCATCTCGCAGATATGCAAGTTCGTCCTCGTAGTCCGCAAGCTTGTCTGCTGCAGCAGTGGCTTTGGAGTTTAGGAGCCGTACCTGCGCTTCGAGATCACGAATACGGCGATTGGCTTCGACGGCTTCCGCAGAGGATTTGGAGGGCGGGGGGAGATGGTAGCCGCAATGCGGACATGTAGGGTCTGGAGAGGAGTGATATGAGGCTGTGGAGTTCGTAGAGGAAAGGTCCATGGGTGTGCTATTGAGAAGGATCGAGGTGGCCATGAGACATGCTTAATGACTCGAAGGGGGGAATCTGAAGACTGGACAAAGGGGAGTGTCATATGAGCCCCGTCTGGTAATTGCGGCCCAAGAATAAGAATATTTATTATTCAACAAAAATTAGGCGCCGTGAACAGCCACCTGAAGTGATGTTTGGCCTGCGTTGGGCGCCTGCGTCCGCCGGCACGTAGAAGGAACGAACGACTCGCAGGCCTATGCAACGATGAAAGCCAGCATTGGAGATTTTGCGACGCCAACAAACAGGAACTCGCACAAAGCTATGTGCGGAATTCCATGGCTCCGATAGTGTACGGAGCACCGAGTACGAGGTAGAGAGGAGGTATATTCGAAGTCCGTCACATGGCGTGTTTCAGCCGCAGTTGAGAGCCAAGTGACGTCCCTGGCTGGAGAGTTTTGTGGAACGTGTCGTTGCGCCTAAACAAGCCACAGGGACACCACGTGACTACGTGGCTGGACGTGGGTGGAAGTGTTCCTTTACCGGCGCGAGCGAGGCCTGATCGCTCGTTGATTGCATGCCGATCAACTCCAGCTGGCGGAGGAGGGTGAAACGGCGTCCTTCTATCGCCCAATCCCGGCCTTGCAAGTCGACAGGTCCAAGAAGGATATTTGTTTGATCCAAGAGCCGTTATTTTCTTCAACAACAAACTCGCATTTTAAAGGGTGTCTGCACCCCGTACTGGTTACAACGACCTGGCCAGCCCAACTGTGTTCTGGATCTCTGCATTCATCTGGTCGAAACCGACATCTGGTCTTTGACCCTGTTGAATACTTGGAGGACGGGGGACCGCCCGTGGCTTTCTTTTGAAAGGCAACTGTCAGACCATGTCCAACGACTAGTCAACCGAAAAGGGATGTCCGTCTTCATCCTCCTGTGCAATTCATCCTCAAAATTTGAAGCCCCCTCTCCTGGAAATTTCGACAAGTGGTATCTCAAGCAAGTATTTGAAAACAGAAGCGGAAATAAATGAAAGGTTCCTCTCAGAAAAAGTATGGAATTGCAGCGCTGCAAATGTTAGCACTCGAACAATAGTGGAGGTGGAAAACTCACGCTATAGCCAGTGTCGCCGTGACTCCGAAAATTGCCCTGGTCCTCACCTTTTCTCTCTTCAATTTCTCCTCCAACACTCTCGCCTTCTTCACAGGCTGTACTGGAAGTTCTGCATCAATATCACTTGGCTCTGGTTCTTGGGCTTTGCGCTTCTTCGAGACCTTCGGGGAGCTTTCTAGAGCCTTGGCCTCTTCGACCATCTTTCTGGCCGTCTCAAGCATCTTTTCGGTGTCTTCTGGAAGTGGTAATTCTGGGACGCCCACGGGCATGTCCACCGTGACGGTAGTGTGCGTAGTTTCCGTGGTGCCGTCAACTTCAATCGATTGATCTACTTCAACCTTGACCATCTCCGGCTCGGGGTTTGTCACGGGTTGACTAGGCAGAGCCGGTGACTCTGGTTTCGATTCTGTTTCGGCCACAGATGCGGCGTCGTCTAATGCTGACTGAAGCGTGGCGCTTGCAGCGTTTGCATTTGCTAGATTGGCCTCTTTCTGCGCCTTTGTTTGTCGTTTTCTGGGAGATGCTTTCACTTTCGTCGGGCTTGCAACTTTGGCTGGAGATGAAGACCTCGTCGCTCTCGAACGAGGCGCTTTAGTGGAAGCAGGGGGTTTAGCCTTGTCCGCTGGTAGCTCAAACTTGGGAGGCGCGGCAATTGGTTTTTTTGCACTTGAAGGCGTTTGCGTAATGTCTGTCGGGTCGAGAAGTGCTCGAATCCATTCCGATAGACCATACTCCTCGGCGAGCTCTAAAGCTGAAGATGTTGTTAGCCTGACGCATTTTGCTCTTACGCCCAACACCATACCAAATTTCGGGGCAACCCAGACATTGCCCGCCACTTCATCCTGGCTGGTTGTTTCAAGGCTCTTGAGATAGTCGCGCTCTTCCTTTTCCTCTACATGCGCCGCCCAAGGGAAAGCGATCTTGAACATGCCGGTCGCGCTCACAAAGCCATCTTTACTTCTCCTCTGCGAAAAAAGGTCAGATGCGGCGTGGGACGGTTTGCCGATTTCTTTCGTACCATGAGGAAATATGTTTCTGGATGAGCTTGGTTCGACTGGCTAGCAAAAATCTCGGAACCGGTGAGGTCTTCTGGCAGAGGAGCTCGTAGATGGGCGTACTCGAACGGGCCCAGATTCTCTGCTTTGGTTGCATTCGATGTTCCCACTTGGCCCGGCTTGACTGTCAATTTTGTCTTGCCCAGTCGCCGGCGACTGACCAGCTCTTCATCTGGACCAAATGTCAGTTCCTCCCACGAGATACAGTCCTCAAGCGATTGACGTACAGGACGGTGCCGCGCCGGACGCAACCAAAGGGTTTCTCTTGGTGGGCAAAGGTCGCATGGTGATCTCCGTGTGCGCACAATATACCGGCGGTGACTTCAGCGCAAGAGGAGTTGCACGCGCTGCTAAGAGGCGAGCTCAATGCGAAGACGAGAAGGAGAGCGAAAAATGGGTGCTAGGAGGACCGTCTGATTCAGGTGAAAATAGGTCGGTGTCAGAAAGACGAGATAAGAAAAGAAACGAAAAGGGATGAGTTGTCCACTTCTCAGTGGGTGGACGAATTGAACGAACACGACAACACAGAAATGGGAAGGATGGGAGAGCGCATTCGGAGAGGGAGCGGGAAAATGAAGTTGAAAATGGGGGGGAGGCAGAGGGTGAGGGAGAGAGCTGGAGCTGAGCTGGGCTGGGCTTGGAGCTGGGGAGGGAGTCTAGCAGTAGTGGCAGCTGGCGGCAGTGGGTGAGCGAGCCTCCCCGAGGCAAAGTAATTGGGTCATGATGACTTTGTTCTAGCCAGGTCCCCCAATCGGAGGATTTCTAGGTGGCTGGTAAGCAATCACATCGGTGCTGGTCACCGGCTTGTGGTGTGTTGGCTAGCATGACGCCCATCAGGGCGCCCAGGCATAGTGTACTGTACTTGGTACCGGGGGATGATTCTCCTGTCACCCTTCCTCGAGCAGTTGCATTGTCTCGCCCACCAGTTACGTAGGAGGTACTCGGTACATGACGGCATGAAAACTGTGTAAATGAGACTTCGGACTCTAATACCTAGTAGGAGATGCGCTCTTGCGCAAAAGAACTACCCCTTAGAGAGCTTGTTCGCCTTTGTTCTTCATCAGTCCACTTCGATTCTTCACCTTTTCATCCTCTCTCTCGTCGCCTATGTCAAGGATTTCATCACCACGATACTCCCAAGGACCAATCTCTCTTGGCCCATCAACACCATTTGGAGGCAATGCCCACTGTGGTGCAGGGCTGCGATAACTCCAGCTCCCTGCGGCCACATCAGCGTACGAGAGCGCATGAAGATATATGCCCAACTCATGAGGGCCGGGATCCGAGTACAATGGAGTATCGCACACTGGACATTTCTCCCCCGTCATCTTCTCTCCCTTCCGCTTGTTATAGTCGGCCACCATCTCATCGTGCGCTTTCACGAACGCCCCATATTGAGGGTCATTGTGCATGGCATCTTCGTCAGATCCCGTCAGAGATCCAGCATGCAATGTGCCTGCTGGTAACGGTTTGAAGTACGGATCCTCCCCTGCTGATGTAAGTGAGCGTGCTGCATCGCTCAGCTTAGCCGCCCCAGACACAGTCATTTGTTGCGTCTGGTCCACAAGTTTCGCAAGTCGCTCCTGCTCGTAGGATACGGAGTCAGAGACCTCACTTTTGCCCATTAGTTTCAGCTTCGCTATAATCTCCTCGTCCCTCTCTCCACTCGAATCATGCTTCGCAAGACTGGGCCCAAAGACAGCTCTATTGCTGTAGATTGGATCGTTGGTGATCGGATGTCCGAGAAACTGTAGGTGTACTCGAATCTGATGCGTCCGCCCGGTCAAGGGGAGACAGTGAACAATGCTATAGCCTTCATTCTCAGTGCCCGATATTGCTGGTGCAGGCTGGCCCATTGGTTGGCCGTCTGTCGACAACTCTTGAGAATTTGAGGTGGCCTCCGAATTCGTCGACGGTTGCGGTGTGTCAGGATAATATGCCACTCGTCTGAACAACGTCTTCGCGGATCTCCCGCTCGCTCGGGCTCGATTGAGTCCTACAATGGGACTGATTTGGAGGATACTCTCCTCGCATTTCACAATGCCTCCGCGCATTGGATCTTTATCCCAGCCGTCTCCGTCTGGGAATCGACCTTTGACCCTCGCGACGTATTCCTTGCGTACTGTCCGCGAGCGCAACTTCTCACTGATCGCCTCCGCTTCTTTGCTCGTCTTCCCAATAAACATGACACCACTCGTCAACCGATCCAGTCTGTTGCAGGGTAAGGGCTTGAACGAGAAATGGCGCTCGGCCTTCATGATCTCGACAACGGAATTGTAGTTATAGCGACCTGCAGGATGCACAGGCACACCTGCGGGCTTGTCGATAACAATCATTTCTTCCGTTTCGTTGATGACTCGAATCGGCTGCGCCGTCACCGGCGGCTCGTGTCTGTGGAGCGTATGTGAGATGACATCGCCATTCTGGACAATGGTATGGACGTCTTTACATGGCTTCCCATTGATCGAGATCTGGCCCGTCTCTATTGCCTGCTTGTAATACTCTCGCGTCCGGTCTCGGAACTCGGCCGCGAAGATGTCGAGGATTTCGCGTCCTCGCCATCGTTGTTTGCAGTAGGTGTTGTACGTGAAATGATAAGGGGCCACGCGCCGGAGGCCATTCTCGAGATAATACGGTCGAGGCCACGGATCGCAAGGGGTTATCGCGACTGATGGAGGATTTGTGAGCGGCTTCCTGTCATCGAAGAACCGGGGCGCCTTTGTTTCGGTCGCGACCATAGCCATGCTAGGGCTGGGATACCGACCGCGACTTGCCAGGTAGGCAAGAACGCGAGGTGAAGGAGCCAGCGATATGTGCGAGGGTGAAGAGACTTGGGTATATCCCTGCAGTCATGACATGGAGATCTGGGGGAAGTTCGGGGTGCCGTACAAAAACTTTTGGGGTGGGATGTCTCGACCCCGGTACAACTGATATTTATTTGGCCTTAGAAACCAGGCGGTCGACACTGCTACTTACACATGGATGCATAAATTCGACTCCCAGCAAAAGAGGGATCATCATTGCAGGTTGACTTGCTTATAGCAAATGCCCTTCTGATCGAGAAGAGCAATCTACCATCAATTCACGGTAAATTGCGCCCCCTGGTCATGAGAGTACCTATATTGCGGTTCCTCCTTTCCATAATCTCGCACAAGTCGTCGAGCGGGAGTGTCGAGTTGTCTCCTCAGCAAAGAACCGGTCTCACGCAACATCTAGAAACCCTGAAAAGGGGAAAAGAAAAGGCAATACTAGGAGGACCTAAAGACTAAGCACTGGACAAGACCAGTTTAAAACATCGAGTGGCAGACATCCAGCATAGGATCTTGGGCGAAGAAACAAAAGCTCAGATATAAGGCCGGGATCTGTTGGAGTCCTGAAATGGTATCGATTTTTGTTTGGTTCTCATACCGCCGGGTGCTCCTTGTTACGGTGCACACATGGGCGCTTAGCCATAGCAAGGTCGCTCTCTAAACCATCTTCCGCTGCTGTAGACCTGTTTCGCAATAAAACGTCGTGGCCAACTCTGATTGATTCATGTCCACGAACGGAACCACAATACCCACTCACTTCCGTGCTCATGATTCCTTTCTAATCTTCACGTTGGGGTTGGTAACCTTGACACTCAACGCCTTTGCCTTCGCAACAATCTCAATTCGCTTTCGTGATGAAACAGCAGACGCAATCTCGGCGGCGTATGTTCGGTTGTGCATGAGGAGGAGTTCGACGTCGCGGGCGTTGTGGACGAGGAAAGCCTTGTGACCTGAGGGCATCATGTGTCGAGTCTTCTTATTTGAGCCGAAACCGATCTGTACAGAAGTTCCTATCAGTAAAGTGTTCGCGTGTGCCATACAACTTCGCACTCAAGGGGTGCTCTGTGCATGCGCTCGAGGACTTCCTTCCCTAGCTGCGGATTCGAAGATTCGGACGTACCGATGGCATAACCATTTGACCCTTGAACCGTCGTCGAACTCGATTGTCGATACCCTTTGGCTTTCTCCATGCTGAAGGCACGCACTTAAAGGTGTCGGATTGGTGTCGGTGCCAGGCCTTTCTGTGTTTCTTGATGATGGGAACGTGCTTCTTTGCGGAGACCATCTGCGCGAACGTTAATTGTCGGCCAGAACTTCGGAGAGGGGACATCATCTTACCTTGTCAATTGTCTGGTCTTGACACCTGAAGCAGTTATGGACTTGTAGTGAGAAGTCGTCGACAATGGCGTCCTCGCTGAAAATCGGGGTCGAATTTCGCACATTGCCAAGAGTGACATTCTGTGCGTGGGAAGTATCAAACTAACTAGATATAGAATAGCGCCATAGCCAGCTTGGGGTCCTTGGGTCCTCACCGTCCCGCCTTGTACGGAGGAGCTATCGACCATTTCATGCTGTGATTTCAGTGTGAGTGGCTCTCCAACAAAATGCCAGCTCTTCTACAATTCCTGATATTCTAATTTGATGGGGACCCCTCCCTGCTTTCCACTTTGCAACATAGCTTCAATCAGCTCAAGATCTGCCAAAGCTTCTTCAGGAGATTGTCTTTCGTTGACCTTCCCAGCTACTAATGCCTCTCCCCACGCCCTCACTTCTCCCGGTACGCCTGTCTTTTCATCCTTGACCTCCTCAGTCTTATCATCATACGTTACCTTATTGCCGGAGAGGCTGACAGAGCCTTTCTCACATCCAACAGCCCATTCACTCCCCTTGTGAGTCGTCCCAAATGAGATGGATATCGTGCCCACGGTACCTTTCTTGCTCTTTGCTGTGGCTTCAACAGTATCAACTGGAGGGAGATGTTCTTGAAGCTGTGCAGAGTGAGCCGATAGGGTTACCAACGGATTATCTCTGCCCATCATCATTCGAAGCCCGGCGGTGAAGTGCACACCGCCGTCGAGCAAAAATCCACCCTGGTGCGTCGGACTCTTCCGCCATCTGCAGAGCAGTCAGTATCACTCGACGGTCCCGGAGCAGACGAAATGCTTTACTCAGTCTCAAAATACTTCCCACCCTGGACAAGCGTCTGCAGTCGGCATCTGAAAGTCAGCTGCCTACCCTTTGTCTCCACGACCTCTGCAGCACGAATAAAAGAATTCGTGTATCGAATATTTTCAGCCACGCCCCAGGTCACATTTTTGGGCTCTATCTCTGACCGATACCATTTAATCAATTCCGCAGCGTCCTTCACATTCTCGGCCACGGGCTTCTCCGAGAGGACATGCTTGCCCGCCAACAGCGCCTTGCGAATGTAGTCCGGCTGGTTCTTGATAGGTAAGGCGATGATGACCGCCTGGATATCCGATCGGGCCAGGAGATCGTCCAAAGATTTGCCAGCACCCGAGTCGTCTGAGTAGAGATCAACTTGTGCTACATCCACCTCGAGACTCTTTGCGGATTTTAATGAGCGAGAGTAGACGGCCTTCAGCGTCAAGTCCTTGGAAGCTTCCACAGCAGGCTATTGAAGCGCGCATCCCGGTCAGTAAGAAAATCGAGGACATTCCATTCCGCGCGCACCTTGTGCTCCTCTCGAGCGAAGATACCTATGTTCTATCAACATTGTGTGCCGGATGCATAGAAGAACCCAGTTCAGTCCGTACCTCCGCCTAAAATGGCTACTCCAATCATATCGATATAGCGTCTGTATTTGATGTCTCCCGGGTAATACTCCAGTGCAAAAGGTCAGATAAAAACTCGACTTTCGAGCGTCACGAAGAACGAGAGTCATTCATATCCCACCTCACGACTCCAAAAATTTCCATGGGAAGCAATTTAGGCTATCGGGCCCTCTCCGGCTCAATGCCGTTACACGGTTGCAGTTTGCAAGCGTGCTCGATTCATATCCGTATCACGTGTTCGGGTATCTTGTATCGTCACATCCGCGTGGTGCTTGTCGTTGTTGTTGTCGTCATCATACAGGAAAATTGGGTCGTTCTGGGATCCACAGGAACGCAAAGCAACTTGGATGGGCCCGTGTTTTGCATGTCCTGGAGCGGTGGGCAGAATAGGAACATTTCCTGGGAAGGCCCGCGACCTCGCGAGCTACAACATCGCCCTCATCCTATGTTATCATTATTGGTGTCACCATCTCCTTCGTCAATATTACGGTCCTATCTTACAACTACACTCCTACCAGGGCGCCCTCCTACTTGCCGCCATCAACAACGTCAACAAACTTATCCGTTCGTTTATGATCACCTTTTCAGGACAGAACCACGGAAGACACTCGACACCAAACATCAAAAAATGAGCTCGCAGTTCAATCAGGAAGAAGGCGCGCAGACTTCTTTAGCGGAAGAGTTGCGCACCACCACGCGACAGCAACACCACGCTTTGAACGCGCAGATCACTCCACGTCTGCCACTATGTCTGCCTCCAATCGCAGATAGTCCACTCATTTATGTTAAAGGTATGATAGTGTTTGGCCAGATATACATCGCCTTCGAAGGATTTTGGGAGACACAACTCGCTTTTCCTCAGTTAAATCAGCGACTGCTTCAGATCTATGAGAATGTACACTTTCCATGGCTGCTCAGGTCCCGCCAGTTACGACACGACATTGACGCCCTGAAGTCAGACCTCTTACGGTCTCAAATTCAAGAACTTGAAGTTTTAGTCGACGAGTCCAGGGGGTTTCGTCTGCAAGTTGAAAGGTCATTATCAGCGAGACCACATGTCCTGCTGGCTTATACTTGGACGATGTACCTTGCTCTTTTCAACGGCGGTCGTTGGATTCGAGGGCAGCTTGTCTCCGCAGGCCCAGAGTTCTGGCGTGGAAGTACACTTCCGTTGTCCTTTTGGGAATTTCGAAAGGAAGGAGAGGTCGATGTTGGCGATGAGCGCCTTAAAGAAGAGTTCAAAGAGAAATTTCAGGGCGCAGCTTCCATCCTCACCGAGGAGGAAAGTCGAAATGTCGTTGAGGAGACTATGAAATTATTCGACATGTGCTCACAAATGGTGGAATTTCTAGACAACAAGACCGCGACGTCCCCGTCCCAAAAGGCTTTTGCTGAGTCCCCGTCGCTTCTCACTGCTTCCCAACTCAAGGACTCAATTGTTGCGAACTCGACGGCGCCTTCTCTTTGGCAATGCCTGACCTCTGTTTGTTCCTCGATAAAGACAACGACAAGCACAGCACTGCGCGGTAAAGCCTCCTCGGCAGGCTGAGACCCGTGCACTGCTCTTTATGGACACCTTGAACCAGTCTCTCACCCTTTCATTACAGGTGAAGGTCCTAGCTCAGCTGACTCACAACCAACACGCAGCATGACAAAATGAGCAAAGGGGTGTGGAAACATTGGAACTGTGACGGATATCATTTGCGAAGGAATGAGTCAATTTTCAATCTGGCACGCCACAACACTAACTTGACCTGCCAGAGGGAAAAGCAATCAATCCAAGTCCGACGTGGGGACCAACTGGTTCTCGTCAAAGGGTGTGGAAACCTCGAGGAGGGCACAACCATGACACTCTGTTCAAGGGTCGACCTTTCTTAGGTACATTTCAACGGGTGAAGTAGGTCGGCCCGGGAAAATTCTGGGGACGAGAGCACAGAGGCTCGAGTCATACGAACGTGTTTCGACGATTAGACCCTAGAGAAGTTTTCGAGCAAGTCTGCACCTGAGAATGAAGTTTAAGCATTAAAGCACGAACATAAGGGGCTCCTCACTTCGACTTTGGTCCGTTTTGCGGTTACTGGTAGGGCTGAAACAAAAAGGATCAGACCATCTAGAATCGTGCGTTTGAGCAGTCGTCCTTTGTGATTGTGTCGGCCAGGGGCTTAAGAACTTTGATGCAGAATCTGGCAGACCCGCAAGAGGAGACCACAATTGCCTGTGTCATCTCGATGTGTCCCTGCCATTCTTCCAGAGGAATTTGGTCTTCCACCAGAATCTCGTAGTGGATCGTGCTTTGCCTTCCTATTCGGCCAGACAGACACACTGGCTTCTTTGGAACCAATGGAAAGTAGTGGTGCGTGCGCCGCGTGTTAGCAATCCAATACCACGCTAGATCCTTGCCCTTTTGCCCTTGCCCAGTTGACGGATCGCCCGAATTTCTTTTAGGTTGGCCTGGTGCGTTGCCACGAGAGCCACTAGGGAGGTGATCCGGGGGAAGGCCTGTGCACGATGAACACTTCGCCGGATCTTGGAACAAGATTTGATGCTTACAACGCCAACCACTCAGAGGTTATCACGCGCACATACATATCAAAGACATTAACATGTCAATTTCCTCTCCCATGAGGTGGTTGAACAGGATCCTCGTCTGCAGCTTTCGACGGCTGCCCGGGCTACGGGTACAGTACACGATTCTATCATTAAAAGTCTGGGCGCGCCCGAAGCAGGCGTGCCAGGATGCCGGGCCCTCACTTTAGAGATTCAGCTAAGCACTCCGTAGAAAGGTCGGGCTTGGCTGCTCTCTCTGCGGTGAAGGGGCGATGCCAACAAGAGCCGTAGCAGCTAACTTGGCAGTTCAGAGCTGGGGCGCAACCAGCTATGAGTGGACTATTTCATCATTGAAGATTGGTACTGAGTACTCCGTATGTATAGGCGCATGTCCTCCCTGCAAGAGTTGCAACCCAAGTACGATGGCGAGCTTAGAGAATTGCTAAGTATGCTGCTGTCTTGTCGGAGCCACCCAAGGGTTCGATGACTTTTCTGGCCCAGAGACATGCAGGTGTACTCGGTACTCCGTACCAGCTTCGAAATGCCCAACGTGGCTTTCCTTGTTTGCTCGGTTGCTCGCCGAAAAGCAGTTCGCTAGAAATGTCTGGGGGAAAAACCCTGGTCCGTGTGGAAGCTTTAGGACAAGGTTTAGAACGAATGTGTAGGAACTCCCTCAGTATGTGTCTCTGTTACGTATGCAAGGGACGGAGGCGCCTGTCAAAATTCAGTGTTCCCCGCGCAATTTGTCTTTGTCTTTAAGATTTCAGTTTCGTTCAAGATCATACGCTGTAGAGCCGTCCTAATGTGCCTCCGTCCTGGTACCGCTGGTATGGGCCGTAACACCGATGGATTCGTCAAGCGAGGTTGCAGAACGCCAGGTGGGTTTGACAGCTGGAAAATGCACCGAATCCGCCACGCCGCCAATGGTCGAGGCAAGAAATAGTTTGGAGATGTGCAGCAAAAGGTATGAGGCTAGAGTGAAGAAGGACTGGGCTGCTGCAAGTCGCCTGGGTATAGAAAATTCGACGGAGCTGGCCGCTGGCTGCTCATCCGTACTTCTGGGCCATCGGCGTAATTGGGACCGGCGGAGGAATCGTTGCTGATTATCTAGGTGAGCAGGAGTCAGACGGTGCTTGCGGCAAGTCGTTTACATACTTACCTTTTCAGCAGGTGGACAACGCAAGACAAGTAGGGAGTTGTCTGCGGCGCAGTTGTGGTTGCAGGAGGGATTCGATCGCAAGGGAGATCGAATACGGCCTGTTGCATGGTTAGGCATGAGCTGGTCAATGGAGGCGAGACGGCAAAAGAGTTCTCAAGTGGCCTTCCACATTAGCGGGTGTTGTTGCTGCGCGGGACAAACATTCATCTCAACGGGCTTCTGAAATTTATACTGTTGCAAGCCCATCTCTTGCACCGGATTCAGCAGCTTGCTGGGCCTGCTGGGTGCCTGTACGAGATAGTACCCAGTATTTAGCATGCCTGGAGCTGATAGGTGGCTCGGGGTGCTGGCAGTGCTGCCACGTACCCGAGGCCATAGCACCGGCGCTCTGGAGACGCCCAAGGACGCCTGGTGAGCCCCACCAGCTGCAGCGGGACTAAACCTGCACAGACCCCAGCAGCTCCCCGGGCGTTCCCCTAACCTTAAGCAAGCTGGGTACTCGGCAGTGCCCTTTGGGTCTCGGGTCGCTTCTGTGCAGCAAATGTTTCTTATGCCGCTTTCGCCGTGGCCTCTCTCCCCATAGGTGGTGTGATGAAATGGGCTCTCCTTGGTGCAATCCACTGCACCGACAGAACGGCATGGGGCACGGCCCCCCCCCCAACACTTCCCTATCTAAGCTTAACCCTGAACGCTGTCCAGCGTCTTACTGCCTAACTCCTTGATTCCCAGCCTGCATCCCCCCTCTGAAGCCCATGACTCTTGCACCCACGCTTTGCAGTTTCCACAAGATTATTAGGCTGGAGTCTGCCACTTAGCCCGGGCTTCTGTTGGCTGGGGCACTGGATTCCGGAAGCCTAACTGAGGTAGTTCGTACCCTAACTGCATGCCGGTTCCCAGACTCACGAGACTGTGGGTGCCAAGTGCTGCATCATCGTTGAAGCCGCAAGCTCAATGCTCGATGCTCACTCAGTCTTCAATGCTGCCTTCCCATTCCATTTCCACACACCCGCGCGTGCTTTCTCCTCTTTTTCTTCCCTTATCTCCACACTCCTCACACACCATCCAGCTCATCGTATCTTCTTCGACCCTTTCGCCTCTTTCGACCTCTTCGTCGCCTGTTGACGTCCCTTTTCTTTCCCAGCTATCATCATAGCATCGGCTGCCAAACACCACAACAACTGTCGACCGCTCACGTCGACCACTGTGAGCGCTGGGCCTTATAGGAGGGGATATCGCCCGACACCGGTACCTTTAGCCGTGGTCTACCACGGACGATCAGTACCGACCCTCAAATCAGACCCGCGACTCTGGCTAATATTCGATCTTCTCGCTGGTCTGCCTCAGCCTTCCCTCAACTCCTGGCTTCCATCCATCCTACACAAAATCACATCATCTTACGGTACCTCGCCGGCTTTCTGAAGGAGCCGCGGTGCTGAAGGTTGACTGGGCAAGTCGATGGACCGCAGCATTGGGAACAGGGATCTCGCTACCCGACAAGTCACATTCCAATCCACTCCTGCGGAATTCCACCACCAATAACTGACGCCTGGCATTTCTTCATCACCCTCGCAGTTCCAATTCCTTGGGTCAGCCGAACAACCAATAGTCGCACCATCAAGCCACCCGATCTTTCTCTTTCAGCCCGTTGTTGCGCTCTCGTTGATTGCCTTCTATCTCCTATGACACCATATCTGTCAGGCCATCCGTTCCACTCTGCCAATGGAAGCGGCGGAAGCACCACCGTCGAAGAAGGGAAAGAAGGGATTGCAAACGGTCTGGAACAAGTTCAAGGACCTCTTTAGAGATAAACCCACCTCTGCAGAAACACCTCCAACCGTCAGCGATACGCCACCTGCTCCCGCTGCTGCTGTCGCTCCACCGAGGGAAGGAGCTGTAGATAGTCCAACACCGTCAGTGGGATCCAATTTCTCACAGAACTCATCACTAACTCTTCCCAGGGAGCCTCTCGTCGAGCACTCGCCTGGACAAGAAGTCGACAATACGCCCAAAGAGCCTGAACAGCCTGACGAACCTGGCTCGGTATCGTTACAAGAACCTGTCGAGATCAAGGACTCCCTGGCCGAGTCACAGATGCGGTTCAGCAAAGCACAGGCAATCTTTGCTAGACACAACCTAGAACTGGATGAAACAGAATGGGAGCCGAAATACAAAGTGCCCCATGAAAGGGTGTACAAAAATATACGAATGAGGGTCAGATACACCTGTCACAACTGCTCAACGACGTTCGGCCGCGATCGAGTCTGCATTGGATGTCAACACCGACGCTGTACTCGATGTTCACGGTACCCGCCAAAGAAAGACCGCACGAAACATTCACAAGACTCCACAGCAGCTGGCCCTCCGGAACTCGTGACTGACGCACCTCGACCAAGCCCTGAGGGTGGATTGTGTCATGAATGCCGGAGTGGTTTCGAGGTCGATGCTGAAGAGTGCCCCAATTGCCATCACAGGATTTGCGAGAGATGTCTGCACGAAGCCACCATTACTGTTGAACCTGGTCACGAAGCCGCTCAGGAAGCAACCCAGGAAGTGTCTGAGGTCAAACAGCCTGAACAAAGGAACCCCATTCGACAAGAGTCAACCGCTGTCAGCTAGCATTAGTCCCTGTTCGCTTCTATCGCCGTTATCAGGGCAATAGCGCGGCCCCAACAGCGCGGCTTCTCTTAACAGCCTCATACTTGACATTTTCTGAGCATTTTGATGATGCGATGACGACCTTTCTACGACTACTTGTCTTTCTCGATCTGAGCGTTCCAGTCCTAATTCTCATGGGTTGGTGTTCACGGTGTTCCATTCGCAATATTCCCCTTTTGACATTACTTTTGATCCCTTTTGAGCGCGAAAAGCGAATATGTGTTCGTCCGGAGTTGGGAGTTGCTTTTCTTGAGTTGGTTCGATACCCTGCTAAAAGCAGAAGGGCTTGGTCTTACATTGGAAGAGAAAGAATCAGGGTATCAAGGGACGTTGAAAATGGGAAGTCGGCAAAAGAAACGGGTGATTAGGATCTGAAAGGTTCTGATGCGACCACCGTACAGCAGCAGGAGTACATTTCTAAGGGTACAAATTGAGGAAGGATAAGGATTGGGATGGATTAGAGCAATGGCGATTGTTGCTCAGCAAATTGGACGGCGACTCTGCAGCCTCGACCCTGTCCTCTTCTCGAGGCTGGTCTCTACGATACAAATGAAGAAATAACAGCGCCACTCCACTGCCTACACTACAGCCAGTTTTCCAGCTCCAGTCTGTTTCCAAGTTTTTTTTGTTTTTTTTTATATTTCTATCTTTTCCTCCCATGATACCGCTCTACTGACCGACGACTTGAATTCTCAACTCTAGTGTCTTAACGTTCTACTTCAGATTCTAAGCCAGACCATGGATTCCCGCACAGCACCATGGGGCCCGCACTACGATAAACGGATTCCAATGCTGTGAGAACCCAAGTTCGCGAGAGACCTATCGGAGTGGCTCACCACCTCGGGGCGTCATCAGGTTGAAACCATCTTCCCCTGTCAGCACTGTACGGAACGTGGGTTCCCCTTTCAAAAGGTTGGACGCGAAATAAGCAAGACGAGCACGTTTTCCGTCGAGTCCATGTCTGACAGAACAATCCGTCCGTTCAGGGACCCAAATGGTCGGCCTCGACATACGAACTCCTTCGCACGATGACAATCCCGGGCGTCGGCGGACGAGATTACGGGAAGAGATCATCAGGTTGCGCAATCATATCGTAGGGACAGGCACCGAGACAGGGCCATAGATTGGAGTGGATCTCTCGGTTCTTCAAGACGGACAGGACCGGTTGTCAACCTTGTCTACCATTCTACTTGTTACCATGGATCAACCACTGCCCGACTGTACACAAAGGACATGGGGATAGATACATGCTAAGGCGCTGGCGCTTACTCGATGATCAAGATATGCCGTGCTCACTCGCTTCCCCCTTCTAATACATATCCAAAATGATCGCTCTTCTCCTAGTGAGTGCAAAGGATTGCCCTTGAGAAAACCGGGACGCAGGCAGTCAGGCCATCAGCAGCAAACACTTTTGGCGGTTCAAAATGGCCGGCGACATTGTCCATGCTTGGAAACTGCGCGGCATTCGGCCAGAGGGAACATTGTGGACGGCCTTTCATCACCTGATACGTCACCTTACGGACAGAGAATGGCTACGATGAGGCGCATGCGCCAGAAGGACAAGTCCCTACTCGGTATGCTGGGGTGTGTTGCGAATATGAATGGAGACGTCGAAGTGCGAGACGGCGGCCCCCTAAAAAGGCCCGCGTAACTAGGACCGGACAATGCGAAGGTGCTTGACACGACGCGCCAAGCGGAATCTTTCTAAGACCGCCCTGAGCATCGTGGAAGATTACCAAGAAAGGGGGGGGGACAAAACACAAAAGGAACAAAACAGACGAAGTCTCTTGGGGCAGCCATCCCGCGTTATGCATGTCGAAACTCAAAGGGGCCCAAAGAACGAAGGCCTTGACCTTCAAAAAGACATGCTGGCTCGCGGCGACTGGCCTGTCAGCGACAAAAGATACACCCACAGGCAAAAGTGGTGTCTTTGATATTCGTCACTTCGGTTCCTCGAGGCGAGAGCATTGGCACCCAACTGGCATCGCTAGGCTTGCACTTAGCGAGACATTAGCGCTGGGCCTTGAGGGATGTTCGGCACGAAGCACAATCTTTTGGATTGGACAGCTCGCGTGGCGATCGCTGATGGGCACCTTTTGGGATGCTTTGGCGGATGGGGTTATTTATGCACGAGTACCGAAACTTGATTCCATGGATGGATCTTGTGGGCGGCGGTCAGGCCATCCAGCATCCTTGCACCTAAGGACGAGTTAATTTTCTCAGGGTTGGCCTGTATCGGCGGCCCCATCGAATGGCAGCAATGCGTTGGGAACAAGGTACTTGCACTCGGTATGTACTTGTACTTTTGTGATGGCGCCTGTTGGGGGGGGGGGGGGGGAGGGGGAGTTCCTTGTCTGTGGTAGGTGTCTTCCTCTCCGGTCCATTTCTGTCAGTCTCATATTATCACGATGTTCGGATGATCTACCTACAATTAGATAACTTTAAGTATAACTTCCCATCGACATTGATTGAGCAGCTCAGAACCGAAATTTCAGATAGCGCGTGCGGGTATCATGGCTCCGCTGCTACTGATGCTACTTCACCCCCTGCTCGAAACGAGGCTGATCATCCGGAGGATCTTCGAAAAAGAAAGAATACCTAAATAGGTAAATCCGTCTCCGAGTCTCCATGAAGAGACGATTGGATACCCTGAACAACGCGAGCACTCGGGACATACTTCTACACGTGCCAAGAGACCTTCCGGCGTTCAAGCAGCAAGGAAGATCGCTGCAAAAATACAGGGGCATTTGATGGATTGAAAGCAAAAGCTTCACACCACCAGAGTCCACTTGGGAGGAGATCAAGGCTTATCCCGATTCCTTTCGTTCCTGAAGGGGAGTATTTATGGCTCTCTCGCCCGTAAAGACCCGCGCTGATGAGATGAGGGACGAGATGACAAGGCTGCGCGAGGCGCCCCCTTCCTTCAGCGGTTCAACGTGTTTCAGAAAGGCTCCCACAAACAAAAGACGTACTTCGTATTACTGCTATCCCACCACGAACTCGGCATCGGGAGCATTTTCATTCCTGTTTTAACGTGAAAGAGATCCGATCCACCAGCTTACTGGCCACTAGGGTACTGCTGCGAGTCCTACCACTGATACCAGTACTACTGCTGGAGGCCCCTCTTTCTTGAAACTTCTTCCAAGCGAGATAAACCCGTGCTTTCTTTCGGCCGAAGAACCCAGAGAACAGAAAAATGCGTGTGCCTGTGTGTGCTTTGTGTCAGCACGGACCTTCGCAGCCCAAGCAGTGAGCAAACGGATGTGGAACAGACATTGCTTCCGGCCATATTCAGTAGTACACCCTTGCGCGCCTGTTCGTTGTTACAAGTCCTCTGTAATTACTCGGTGCAAACATGCTAGAACTGCAGCAGCAGCAGCAGTGGAGCTTCGGAGAGACCGTTTGTGGTTCTCCAGACGTTTTGCTCTCTTTAGCCTTAATCAAGCCCCCTTGTTGGCTGGGCTGGTTGGCTGGTCTTTGATAAGACCTCTCTGAACATGTAACAAGACTAAGCAGGACGCTTGTTCACCCCTCGTGCTAACAGGTGCGCGGTCGGCCTGCCCAACAGGACGAGTCTCCCCAATGAGCTGGGACCAAGAAAAAAACGGTTCAGACGCGATGATGGATAGGACCTCTCTTAGGCTCTCCTAAGTAACTACAAACACACCAAGTGGTTATGCAAGCGTGGGGGGAGAAGAACAACAGCACCGACAGCAGGAACGATAATAGCGCCAGACGGCTTTCGTTCGATGTTAGGAAGGGATCAACGTCCTTTTTCTCGACACTACACCGGGAAAATTGGAAACTAAAAGCGAAAAAGAAGCCCGCCCGAGGACCATACTGCATGGACCTCCTACTCCGTACACTCCCCTCTACCTAGGTACTGGTCAGTGGCCCTGTGCATAGATTACAATGATGCATGGGGAAAGAAATCCACATATTCTTCTTCTGCGTTTTCGTCGTCTTCCCCCTTCCCGGTCTGTGCGTCACCAACGGCAGTTGGAAGTTCCCAGCGCCATGGAACCCGATGGACGGACCGATCCTCCCGCTAGCAATGCTAAGGGAACGACCTCGTTGGTACGTACAAGGTACGTAGTACGGAGCAGTACGGAGTTATACCTAGGGCATGTACATACATGACGGGCCCCCATCCCAGCGACGAACCACTTTTGATACGGGTACTGTCTCGGTGGTCGAAGAGTTCCTAGAACCTGGACAAATGAGGCAGAAAACGAGATGGCCCTAATCATAAATCCATCATTTCGTGGAAATCGATCCACAGAACACAAAGCACAACCCCAAGTACATACTGCGCGAGTACAAGGGACAGGGGCTCCGGTCACACAGCTATACGCCCATACCATTGCTCGTGTGGGTATGCATCAATGAACATGAGCATGAGAGCGAGCGCGAGTACGAGTCCCTCCCACCATACTTTGCATGTCGACTCGTACCTTCGATCAGCTCGACAGCGCAGCCAGGGTCGTTTGCGGGGCCAGTTCTCCTATGAAATTACACTGCACTACACTAGAAGTTCGATCGGCTGCCTGCCTAGGTAGGGAGGGAGGGAGAGAGCACAGCGCCGAGGATGTCAAGGGAGTAAGTAGCTACTTGGACGAGGACATAGCACCCCAGCAGGTATATTCACAGGTACGTAGGTAAGTAGGTGGGCGGGCCGAGGGAACGGACGGGGACAATAACAAGAAGGGTAGCGACGGTGATAGGAGCGCAGAGCAAAACGGGGTTTCGGATCGTCTTGAAGGACGCTTCTTTGGTATGTATATACCTATGTATGTGACACCACGCGGAAATTCTTACTCTGCTCTGTCAACTCTTTTTCGGTGTCAAGCTTCAAGGGCCGAGTTGGTTTGCACAGAAAATAGAAAGAGATCATCAATGATCCACGAGCAGGATCGGGCACTGCTGCTACGAGAATTCGTCCTATATCGTTCGTGTGTCAGGAGGAGTGCGAGGCGATCAATCCCCTCGTCATTCCTCTCTCGTCTTCCTCGTCCTCGGTCTCCCCCTCGGTCTCTCCTTCGTCCGACTCCTCTTCGTCCGTCTCTTCGCTCTCGGTCTCCTCCTCAGTCTCCTCTTCTTCCTCTTCCTCTTCACTCTCGGCCAGCCAATCGTCCAGAGTTCTGGGCTTCGCATTGGCCTTAGCCGTCCCCGCCGCAACGACTTTTTCCAACCCGCGCTCCTTGACAGCCTCGTCCAATCTCCGACTTGCCGCGACAGAGCTCGCTGTCCTCCCGCTCATGGGCACATATTCTTCCTTCTCGCCGCCATCGGCTGCGTCGCGGAGTTTCGGGTCCGGCTCGAGGCCGTCGCTTACCCAGTCGGGTAATTGCTCGTAGCCCGCAAGTCCCAGAATGCCCGCCGTGTCTGTGCCCAAGACGAGTGTGGTGCTGCCTAGCATGAGCCCCCTTCGACTTTCCGAAGGTGAAGGAGAGTGCGGGACTGGTTTGGGAGCAAGGAGCAGGAGAGCTGCTAGTTGGGTCGATGAAGGATTGGCAAGCAAAGCCTTGAAAAGCCGCGCTCTGTCGCGCAGGTCGTACGACGTGTCATAGCGAGCGAGGAGCTGGATGTAATTCCATAGTTTTGAAATTGGGTGGTCCAAGTCGGCTGGGGCGTGCGATTCCTCTGCAAGATTGCTTTGTGATTCCGCGGGATCATTCTTTTCGCCGCCGGAAGCAGCGGTCTCCCTCTGCAAAAACAGCAGGTAGACTTTTGCGGCCAGTAGCACAATCTGTTGTTTGGCAGATTCACTCTCATCCGCAAACCCTTTGGCCAATATCCGAAGAACGTCAGGCGCTATGTTGTTCTCGGGGTCGAGGCTCGCGAATTCCCCTACAAGCCATATGATTGTAGCTCGAGCCTCCGGACTCGTGGTCTTGTCCAAGTTCCTGGCTAAGCGCACCACGGTCTTTCGATGAGAGGAAGGGTCCTGTTGGATCAAATGACGCATGACGGTGAGTACTTCAGAGACTAAAGTATTGTCGAAGCTGGATATTTGGTTCAGAAGTACTCGGAAGCATCGGTGGGCGTCCTTCGGGTCAGATTGTGCGCATCGCCCGATAGCACGGACCGATTCGCGCGTGAGCTCAACGTCCGACGAATGAGAGAAGTGCTCTAGCTCACTTAGAATGATGGACTTGAGATGTAATGCCGCGTGAGCAAAGATGAGAGTCTGCAGTTCGATCTTTAGTCTCCATATCTGCGGAGAGTCCTGTGTCCGGATCAGAAAGTGTGACGCATAAGGGACGAACAGATCTGGTGCAGACAAGGCAACCAACACAATGTTGCACAGTGCCACTTCCTCTACTTCGGGAGGCCCACGCATCAGTCCTATCAATGGCCCAACAGCTTCTCGAAGATAATCTGGAGTGCCTAGGTACAGAAAGCAACTGGTGACCGAGATGATAACAGCCGAGCTCCGGCTTTGTAGCAGCGGCTTGCAAGCGTTGAGGAACAGTTCTAGGTCTGGATCCAGTACCTCTATCACCTCGCCTGTTTCGACTGTCTCATCAGGCTCATCCTCGTAGAACCCTTGTTTGTTGACTTTGGTGACTTTTTGGGTCTTACGAGAGAAGCAACGTCGACTGTAAAACAGGAGTAGCTTCAAGGTTGCTAACTGACTCCATTCATCCATGTCAACCAGTTTCTTGACAAGACTCCTGTAATGCATGTGGACAAGGTCGATGCGGTCGGGACACACTTGGAGATATGCCTGGACTGCGGGACCAACAACGAAGTACTGCTTATCGCCTAACAGAGCAGAAATATAGTCGAGCAGTTGCGGGAGCGTGTTAGGGTCGAGGTTGTAGCACTTCGGGATGGCGAGAGCAGCAGCCTTTCGCACATGAGGGCTCATGTCACCTACGCCGCGTTTGATGGCCAGAGAAACGATCTGGCTGATTACCGGCACTCGCATCCCAGACATGGTGCGCAGGGCGAGGGCTCGGACCTGAGGATTCTGGTCTGTAAGAGACTTTTGGATAGCGTTGACAGAAAGCAAAGCCAGATCTGGATCGGACTCTGCGTAATGCAGTAAATAGATGTAGACGAGCTTCTTGACCTCAAGGTTGGGGTTCGCAACATTCTTGACGACCGACGAGAAGTATGGTAAACATGGCTTGTTTTGATAGATCATCTGGACAATGTAAGCGAGGGCACCGTTCGAGGCTCAGCAAGGAAACCGTACAGAGACTACTCTTTTCAGACCATCAAGGATATCGCGATCGCTTCTGCTGTCAAGAAGAGCCTTGAGTTTCGCAAACGGAATGTTATTCCGAGCAGATGAACTTCCTCCTCTGATGGCCTTGGATATGCTTTGGGCAGCCTCGACCGTCAGGTCTCGTGCTTTGGTTGGGTCAGTGTACTGCAACCAGGAAGGGTCCATATCAGCTGACCTGGGTCCATCAAGGACGAAATGCGAGAGATAGATTCCATCTTCGCAAGACCTAGGGTGTCAATTCTGTGTCACCAGAACATGTTTGTACAACCCGATGTCCCAGCGGTTGAGAAGGATGATGTGATTTCCTGGCCGATGTCGAGCATGTCGAGGACCTTCCCGCCGGCAAAACTCATGCCGAGCCTCCGGCACGTTGCCAAGCTCTGCCAAGAGCCCACTTCAACCTACTTGTAAATTAAACTCCTAGAGCGGCATGCCATTGTTCCTCACACGGGGCTGAAGCCGCAGCATAATTACCCAGTACTCCGGACTCATCTATATGCCCGTCACAGAAGGAGTGTTATAATCGCCAAAAGCCTTGAGAAACTCAAGTGGGAGCGCTCCTTGCACTTGTGAGAGACGATGGCCCAAACGACGAAGCGCGGCCCTCATTCCCTCACTCCTTCATGAACTCCATAATCCTCAAGTATGACTACGAACTCGAGCTGCTCGAAGATATCCTCAATCAGACATGCCACATACCGACAGACTTATTAGTATGCTCATCAAAGGCAGATTTTCTCGAACAACTTGTTGTCCAGCTTGGTCGAATAAGCATTCAGTCGGAAGCCCAGACACCACTGCCCCAGGAAGAGGCTAACACGCAGTTCGGGGGGCACTCGTGCAAACCCCAACCCATCCTCCTGTCGAAGACTCTGCATGCCTTGAGCGCAAGCCAACTCATCAGCCTGGTCTTTTGTCCCACGATTCCTCCTCTTCGAGGCTATCTCTCGGGCTATGTCTCAAGATCGGCATCTCCCTCAACCCAGTCTCCTGGTCAGATAATAATCCTGAATTTGCTGGCGATGCACCACGGGACTTCCGAATTCACCTTGCAGGGTCTCTCCCAGACGCTTGCCGCCGCAGTCTCTGCCGGTCACCGGACAGATCGCGTGCTAAAGCTAGTGGAATGCAAGGACGTCAACGACCCTTCAAACCCTAACCGAGGTCCGGGTCTTTGGAAGACCGAAGTCCAACTTCTCAGTGCGGCGATAAAGATAGGAGAGGCAGGTCAAAGCTGGGGTCGTCGCACCATATCGGTCATGAGGATTGCGTCAAGGTGGTTTAAGGCAGAGCAACAGAAGGAACGTCGCCGAGAAGAGCATAACCCGGTCATGCTTGCCAGGAATAGCCCTGAGAAAGAAATTCTTGTTTGAAGAACAATAGGGAACATTGCTTGCCTATCTGCAGCGTACAATCGAAACAGACAGCGGCCAGCCAACAACATCGGGTATCTTCAGACAGGAGCGCCATATCCTTCATAAACGTCGTGACAAACTGCAGCAAATCATATGCTTTGCTCCATTTCCGTAATGTACAACTTGATGTGAGACTCGAGTTTCAGATACTCCTCGTGCGCCGAGTGTACCTCCTGTTCGATGTTATCCTTGAGATCGGCCATCTAAAGAATCGTTAGCAAGGGTATCATGATAATTTTGGCAGCGAGACGCACCTTCTTCTCAGTTTGCTCGATCCTAACTTTCTTCCTCTCCATCTCCCGCCCCTTGTCGGCCCTCTCATCTCGGAGATGCTTCTGAATCTCCCTCAGCTCGTCCATTTTGGCCTTGTTGGCTTCATCTCGATCCTTGTGCTTCCGACGCAGCTCCTCTATGCGTTCTTCCCACTTTTTGAGCTGCCGCTGGAGCAGCTTCTCATTCTGTTCCACCTCGCGCACGTTATTTCCACGCTCTGCAAGAGCGTCGCGGTTCTTTGCCGCTCGGGCGTCTTCTTCCTCCTCCTTCTGCAGCTCCACTGCAATCTCCTCCAGAACTTTGACACACGCCTGCACGTCGTTTTGAACAACAGTAAAACTGTCACCTGAAGTCTGAAGGGCACGACATCTCCGCTCCAGCGCATCAATCTGGGCCTTCTCACGCACAAGGTTGTCCGACAACTCTGTCAGGGAGCTCTGCAAAGCAGCCGGGCTTTGCAACACGTACGGTCTTAGCTTCTCACTCTCTTGTCGCGCTCGCACGAGTCTTTCAGTCTTCTCCTCTAGCATTGCCTGCGAACGTGATTTCTCGGCTTTGGCGCGCTCTAGCTGCTCTGCCACTCTTTCCTGCCCTTTTCGGAGTTCCAACAGCCGCGCTTTCAATTCGTCATTTCGTCGCATCTTCTCCTTGACTGCCACTTCCATTGCCTTTCTATTGCGCCTCATCTCTTCCAATCTCTGCTCCATGTCCTGATTCTCAGTATACAACGTCTCGATCCTAGCCTTTGTGGTTTCTGCTTTGTTGAAGTTCTCATCTATAACGCTGGTATGAGTCTCTCGGAATCGGATGAAGTTGATGGCGTAAGAGAGGATCTTGACAAGGCGGTCATGGGTCGGGCGAACGAGGTCGTTAAAGGAGAAATCATGGATTCCGCACTGTTCAAGCATAGTTCGCAGTTGTACGAAGAAGCCCATCAGGAGCCTCGTCTCCACGGGTACTAGTTCAGGAAACTCTGAACAAACATCTTCGGCTGCAGCGCGCAGGGCGGGATCAAGGCTGTCTCTGGTGGCATTCATGACGAGCTCGCCGAGGTGCTCGAAGACCATTTGGATGACTTGCGGATTGGGTCTCAGGATGTCGGAAGGTTGAAAGGGGATGCCCATTTCGCTGATACATGATGCGATCTCTTTCTCAGACTGTAGACACTGTCAGCACATTCTTCCCGAGAAGTCGCGGACAACGAACCAGTCGCATAAAATCGGCGGGATCTTCTTCCTTCTTCTTGACTCGCTGTTGTTGTTGGAGCGAAGTGCGGTATTGCGAGTTCATTTCGATGGTGAGAAGAGTATATCTATGGCCTCGAATTGTAAGAATCGAAAAGGTACATAACAAAAGGACGATCAATCGAAAGGGCAGACAACGCTGTATTTGCTTTGTTGACATCTCCGAAACAGGAATAGGCGTGGGGGTTGTATCCCCCCACGCCAAGATACCAAATGAGGCGAGGAGGCTTCGACAGAGCCTTGCTGATTTCAACTGTCGAGGAAGCAGAGAAGCTAAAATACATGAGTCGGTCTCCCAACACCACGTTCAGTCAACAATTGAAGGTATTCTGCATCGGGCCGATGATATAAGAGTATCAACTCTGTATTCTGTCAACAAAGACAGTGTTCCGCCATGGCGTCTGGTAAGGATATCTACCACATTCGACTTTTCCCTTGCTATGACTCAAAGACTCTATATTCCCCTTCACACTGGTTTTGGCGCGAAAAAGGAGTATGGAAGCGACTTGGAATCTCAGAGGATGACAATCCAATACGCTGCTCTATGCTAGGTACGCCGCGCTCGATTTTCTGAATCGCTAACCGTTCCCCTTCTCAGCACCGCTATCAACACCGCCGACGACACCCAAGCTCTTAACAGCTGAAGAGTCGCCGTCAACGACATTCGACATTGTCGCCTCCTACAACTCGCTGATCGAAAGCGATCCAAATATCACACCTCCCATCGCGGCCATTGAGTCGCTGATCAATCTCCTTGCAACGTCGCCATTGACGACAATCTCCGAAACCCTCGCCCTGTTATCCAGCCACTCCCGCAAACTGCTCGAGTCGCAACGCAACCCGATACCGCTCTCTGCTGGAACAGAACTATTTCAGCGGTACTTGATCAGCTCGTTCCAACAACGCCCGTCATCTCTTGCGACCTCCGACTTCTCCGCGTTGCGCCATCACATTATAGCCCAGTCGTCTCTGTTCGTGAAACGTGCTAATGAAGCACGCCTCAAGATCGCCCATCATGCCTTGCCGTTCATCATAGAGGGCTCGACGTTCATCACTTACGGATACAGCCGCGTGGTTCATGCTGTGCTTACTGCAGCGGCAGAATCAAAGCGCTACTTCAACGTCATTTATGTCCTTCCCTCAACAGGCGTCTCGGCACCGCTTGCCAATGCCATCACCTCCCTCCACAACCTCTCCATCTCCACCACCACAATCCCGCTACACGCACTAACATATGCCCTGGCATCCCTCCCTCCCTCTCCATCCTCACCACCACAGTTTCTCATCGGTGCCACCGCGGTCCTAGAGAATGGCTCCATCGTCACAGAACTCGGCACGCACCAAATCGGACTCATCGCCCAGGCCTGCTCCATCCCCTTGCACGTGTGTGTGGAGTCGTACAAGTTCGTGGGCAACTTCCCACTGGGGTATGGACCTAGTGATCTTCGGAGGATGGGGGTCGAACAGGATGTGTTGCGCTTTTCCACCACCAGCGGGACCGCCGCTCCAAGTTCGGACGGCGGTGGCCAGAAAAAAGCAGGAGAGTCCTCCGGCTCTGGAGCTGCAGGGTCAAGCAAGGGGAAGCGAGCGGCGCCAGAAGATGCGGACGATCGAATGGTGGAAATCACGCCACCGGAGCTGATCTCGGCGCTTATCACAGAAAACGGCATCATGACCCCGAACGCCGTCAGTGAGGAGTTGATCAAACTGTGGTTCTAGTCTGATCTTGATTCCGAGTGTGCTCTTGCTCTGCGACCCGCGATTGTCCCCCTACCTGATCAGAATGATGCATATGCGTGGAAGAAACAGAGGCTCAACCATTTATCTCAACAGAGGGGAGACATGTTCAGCTTACATGCTGATTTAGACCAAGCTCAGCTTAGCTCTTTTCGCGTTTGCCCGGGGCCAGGACGGCCTTGGAGACAGCGGGGGAGGTGATCAGCTTCAAATGGTACGTTTATAAGACGTATCTACAAAGGTAAAATAACAGCTGAAGAAAAGGGAGCCCCAAGGGGGTAAAGGAAAGGAAGCTCGAACGGCTGAAGGAAAGGCATTCCCAGACAGGAAGCGCTTGGGGCAGAGGTATCATTGAATTGCGGAGATCCACCCGTCTAAGAGCCTTTACACTCGGCGGGCAAGGGGTGTGCCTACCTTGGAGTGATGAGCATCAAGCCTGGTCTGCTCTGGTCAGGTTAGGTCGGCCGCACCAGCACCACGGCCGCGAGACGTGATCGACCTGAAACTGGGAACCCCTGGCTAAACAAGTCCAATCCCGACTCAAGCCGAACTATTCAAACCCCCCTTGAATACGAATCGAACCGAAATGAAGCGCAGAAAGAACAGGGCGCTGTATGGCATGGCGTGTTGGGTGGTGATACCCACTAACTACATAGAGATTACATAAGAGTGTCAATCAAAAGGGCAGCAGGACTTCGCCGAAGGTCGAATACAGCAAGCAAGCGGGTTTATCACGGACAGGACAGCGAAGAAGAGCAAAGTGCCGTTCTACCTACACCAGATCGCACGGAGTGCTTCCAAGTCCGAGGCCCTTGCTGCAAGGGGAGGAGAAGAAAGGGGCAGACAAGTGCACGGGTCTGATATAGTTTGGGCGGGTGGCGACATGGAACTGTCTGAGAGCAATGACGGGCAAGATGCGGCGGCAGAAACATGTTAATTCTCAGGTATCCCGCCTCGTGGCCCAGCAATAGCGCATTCGCGTTTTGTACCGGGCTGAAAGGACTTCCATAACCAAAATCATCCCGGCTCTTGTGACGGGAACACCCACTGAGTGTAGAAGCCTAGATCGCCGGAGGGGACGATAGCTGGATATGTCGCCTTATCTGGTTTGATCCCTGTCTGCACACACACCTTCCGCAAATGATTGATGTTTCCTCCAGCGCCATGCTGTGCAATATGTACTCGTTAAACCATTCAGAATCGTGACACTTCCCCAACAATGTCCGCCTGTGGGTGTTTATCAACAAGAAACCCACAGCCGCGTCGATATGCAGTCCTATGATTCACAGACGTCAAGTAAGATCATCGATCTCCCGTTCTTTTGCACGTAGCGCCGCCCTCATAACTTCCGCCTCACGCATAAGCTGGGCTCTTCTTTCCGCTCTCCAGGCTATTCGATCTTGCCCAGTCGCACCTTTTCTATGATCTTCGGGTTGCTGCGTCGCTGTAGCGTCATCTTCCTGCTGACGACGACCGGCCTCCACTAGTGCGGGGTCAAGTTGCATACCTCCTGCTGCTGCCGCTGCCCGTTGAAGATGAATGGCATAGTCTTCATTCGTGTCACGGGCGGTGCGCTGGGCCTCATTCACGGCTGTTTGCGGCACGTATCCGGTATAATCCACCGTCGGAGGCGGCCGTCTCCTCTTTGGTGCAGGTGAAACGTCTGTAGACATTTGCTCTCTGGCTTCTGCTGGTGGGGTGGATTCTGGCGACGTCGACTGTTGCTGTTGAGAAGTAATGGAGACCGGTCTGAGAACATCTGGGTGTGCTGGTACAACCCTCTTCCGCCTCTTGATTGTTGACTTCTTCATTTCCACCGGCCGATGCGAACCATGTAATTTGTGATACAAGCCGCATGCATTACATATGGGATGGCCTTGTTCATCCCGCCGCCACAGAGGAGTCACTGTTGTTCCGCAATTCTTGCACGCAACGACCAAGGCTACATGTCCGGGAGATGCCCGTGGCTGTGGCGCAGGATTTGATGCACTTGGACTGGTTCCCGGACCAACCTCACTCTTTGCGTCGTTCCCGTCATCGAGTAGTAAGTTGGCTAGAGAGGATGTGTTGGTGGCGGTTCTCGCGACTCTGTTGTTGTACGCAGGGCATCCTCCACAGCCCTCAGCCCCGCCTGCCCCATTGCATTCTCCCCTACCTGGACATGTACCGGTGGTGTGCTCTGGAACTCGGTACGGGATGCTCGAGGGTTGACTTTGCGCTGATGCCGATGTTGTCGACGCGGCCGGGGATGTCGTGGTTCTCTGGCGAGGGCTGTCAGCGGCGGCGGCTGACTTTGGATGCTTGCTTTTTGTAGGCCTGGGGACGTTGCGCGACTTGAGGTAAAGTCCACAAGCATTACAGATGGTATGCCCTGTGGGAGACCGTCGCCATAACGGCGTCTTAGTCGTCCCGCAATTGCTGCAGGTCGCATCAGTGACAAACCCCGCCCAAAGCGAAGAAAACAGGTCGAGATGAGGAGGGCAAAGTGCTCGCGGAGATTAACATACCTGCAGACTTGGCCCTGTGCCGACGCATCCTCTCTCGGTCCAGGATGTTCAGCTGAGGACGATGGTGGTGGTTCACAGGGCTCTGGTCTGGAATCGGCTTGACCCACGGGAGGGCTGTCGGAGGCGACATCACTCGCATGGTTTTCATGGGTTACATGGGAACCGTGGCGTTCTCCAAGAGCGGAAGACACAAGTTGATGAGCCGCATCAAGGTCTTCAGCAGAGGGTTGACGCATCATACTCTGTCGCTCAGAACCAAACGGGGTGCGACGGCGCAAGGGATCCATAGCACCTCGTACGGCCAACATGCCGGTCGAACTTTGGGCGTCTTGTTAGCTGAAGGCACCCGCCATCCAGCGGAGAACGACAAGGAGGCGAGAAGGAGACGAGAATCGTCGCGAATCCACAAGAAGCGAGAAGCTTGGGAGACTCCAGATGGGATTGAACTCGTCGTTCTCACTTCGGCTTGTAGATACGAGAGGGAGAGTCTTGGCTAGGACGAATGTAGGTGACTGTGGAAGTGATATCGGTGAGAAGAGAAGCGCTGAAGAGCCGAGTGGTTCAGGCCGTGGGCTCTGCGATGAAATATTGCTGGCTGTGAGAGCGAGATTACTCGGCAGGTTGGACAGGGGAATCGGTGGTATGGTGAAAAGTCGAGAAGCTTGATCTATCCACGTCAAGCAACGGCCAGGCAGCCTCTGAAATGGAGGGAGTGACGGCACAGATGCAGTCCAGGTTGAATTCGTGAGGCGCGACATCCACTCTACGCATCCTGCTGGCGTAATACTAAACATCTGTCTTCTGGTTGGCTGAGACATCTAACTCAATCACGTGGGGACAGTGTGCGCCCAGAGCTAGGCTGTACTGGGTATTGATCACCACACCTAAAGCAGCACGGCCACGTGGTCCGAAAGTGCTCTAATCGGTATACAGCATGTCGCTTTTGCGTCGAGTAGAGTACACAGCCCTTGTACCCGCAACAGTGAGGACGGCCATGTCTCGATCCAACCGGACGACGTCCACAGTTGGATACCAGATTGCCGTCCTCGCCTCAGTTCGATTTTCATACTAGATTGGCTCTGTGTATCCTCCTTGCTGCTGCCTGTAGTATGTCAGAGCGTCCAGAGCTTCCAATACCTCAAGAAACCTGGACGACAGATACACCACTAAAAATGTCTTGATGATTTATCCATTCCAGGCCAAGTTGCGCTCTCCCCATTCCACTCTCCCAGCATCCCATTCCGGCGATGATTGGGACGTTTGTCCTCATAGTCGTGACCTACCAAATGTTTCTCATCTGGCTTTACTTCCCACCTGCTAGTCGACCAGACCAGACCTTGACCAAAATTAAAATACATCGACCGTGTCGATAGCCGTTCCTCCTTCAACCGAGGACTTGCAGGCGGGCAGTCTTAGACCTGTTCAGCGCCCCAGCCAGCATCGGCGTCCCGCATGTTGGATGGTGGCTCAATCGAGGGCGCAAACTCCAGCGCACAGTAACCGACGCCAATGACGGCAACAATGCTACCAGCAATGATTCGCAAAACGTGTCCCTCAAGGATGATGCAGCCAACGAAGATGTAGACTGCTGAATGTTAGGATCTCCAATGAAAAGGATCGCGAGGGGAGACTGACAGATGCCGCGACCGAGGAAGGAAAACAGGAAGCTGGCGTATTTGGGGAGGTATGGTGGGACTTGTGGCAACATTTCCAGACCGGCGACAGCTGCATGTACAGTCAATATTTTGTGAGCAGGTCTTTGAAGCGGTCTGTTTCATACCCAGCCCAAAGATGATTACATAGATGCCCACGATGATACTTCGGCTGTCGTAGGTTTAGTATTCGCGCAGAAGTTAACGGGAGGACAGAACCGACAATCCAATGGGAAAGAACTGGCTGATTCCTGTCGCCTTTGTTAGTACGCGTCCTTGGTGGCTGCGCCGCTGATGGAATTGGACTCTTTCATACCTCCAAGAACCATGATCGCCCCCACAACCAGGTTAACCAGCCGACTGTAGGTTTGTAATTAGCACGGGTTCTCGAGAACCTGCCAGCAGCGGGCAGCATGCGCCCAGGACTCGAAACGTACAAGATGTTGGAGAAGTCCATGATGACCGTTGAAATGCAACTTCAACAAGGCTCGCCCGTGGGAGATTTGCTCAGAGTTAGGAGCTGAGGGGACGTGCTCAAGGAGACAGAGATAGAAAAGGGTGTCTCGTGGATTGTCAAAAGGATTCTTGCTTAGGGAGGATGTTCGAAGTGAATCGTCCGTGGAGTTAGCAGAATCCAAACTGCGCTGCGCAGGCAGAACAACAAAGGGGAAGCTGCCGAGCGGCGATTATGGATCACTAGGTAACTCTTTAATTTACGTAGAACAGGCAAAGCTGGCAAGCTGGCAACTTGCAGCCCACACGTATGCCAAGCGACCAACTTGGCCGAAATCCTTCGACTCGAGGTCCGCAATACCAACGAGATCCTCCCCAGCTCCCCCGGCCGACCAGACGGCACCACAATGATCGAGCCGATATTCGAACTTGGATTCAATTATTATTCAATTAGCTCATATTGCCCGCTTTGCGAGTCAAATTGTAAGCCAGACTGGTGGAAGACTGGTAGCAAAATTCCAATGAGCCGCTCTTCCCTTTACCTTGTGACCTCGAGTGATGAGCTTTTCTAATAATGTAAGACCGTTTATCATAAATCATCTGTGATATCAATCACGGTCTGGTCTCTAATGGTCCATTCCGGACCGAAATTCTTGGAATCTGCCATGTGCCGCCGACGCTATGCTATGCTGGGGTATCAAAAAGTGCAAACCCGTGCTATGCAGAACACCTCACCAAGACTTGTTGGACAAGTAATCTCAACCTGTACTCCAGTAGAATCCCTATGCTCGCAATGTAGGTTTAGGCCTCTCGGCAACCGACATCAATCGTGAGCTGGACGACTCTGAGACAGCGGCGGCTGCTTTGTTGGCGACGAGATTGAGTGAGATGCGAGGCTGACTTTTGGTCGGTGGCTTCGCAGGATCGGCAACAGTCTCAAGATTAGTGCTCTCCTCCTCCGGTGTAAGGGGCTCGGCCTTGATCGTGGCGGGTTTGTTCTCTTGAGCCGGACTGTCTGATGATAATTCCGTTTCTTGTGTGCTTGGAGGCGTATCTGCACAAGGTGAGTCATTTGCCATCGGCGGAGAGAGATCATTGTCGGGTTCGGAGATTGCAAGAGTCATGTCTGCACGTCGTCTGGTGCTTTTCCGTCGATCTGCCCGTTTGCTTGCACGAACAGGCTCTCCATCCTCGTCCAATGATCTCTTTGAGCTCGAGCTACGTTGAGAAGAGGTCACAGAAGGACTTCGCGCGCGATATTTGTCACTGAGCTGGTCCAGATTGTTCTCGACATCTCTCTTGCTCTTTTGGAGGAAGTCCTGGAGGAACTCCGACGCGAACTCCGACCTGCTGCCCCGGATCGCTCTGGTACTAAGGAGGAGATGTGGCGAGGATGGAGAACCGACAAGGGCGTTTCGAGTGGTGTCTTGAGGTTTGAGGAGAGGGCTGTTCTTGTGCCTTGGAGTGGAACCGTCTCTGCTTCGGGCTGAGTCGTAGTGTGCTCGCGTGACCTCATCTCCGCCGTAGCAAATGTGAAGTGGTGGCACAGTATCAGGGTCCACTCGGTGCTCGTTTTTGTAGAGGATTGAGTCTCTGTCAAAGTTTTTGATACGTGGTAGGTGCACTGTGACATCCTGGTCGAAAACCTGACAGAATGCTACCAGTTCAGGCTCTCCGCCGTAGGTCCCACTGCGTGACATGAGAGACAAATATTCCTCAAACGCGTCCTCCGGCTCTTGACGGGAAGCGACTGTGGCTGAGCGGAGAGTACGTCGTTGTTGCACGTCATCTTTGTGAACATACTGTTCGAACAGCGGTCGATAGGTCCGCATGTGGTCAATGATGCTTGCACGTATTTCGGGGTGTTTTGCCGGCGTGCCGTAGAGTTGGTCCGAAAGAGAGGCAAACAGACAATTGCCTGAAAACGAGTCAGGTTGAAACGAACGTGAGAGGCGAGGAGAGAAGAGTACATACCGTCGCCTGCTATCTGCTTCTGATACATACCCATCTTGACCAGACCCGGCCATACAGCCTTGGGCTTTCGAACCATGCTGGGAAGCTGCGTGGATGCATGGTCAGCCATGGTCGAGCCAGATCCATTGACCCAAGCATTTGGAAGAAATAAAACAGAGGAGAAAGAGGTATTGGGTGATCACAATGACATGACGGGGCCTGCAAAAAGAGGCAGAGTTGAAATCGACAGAATGGTCGCCTGCTAGGGGCTTGCTTTCTCTGATGGATGATTTCAGACACCACGTCAAGCAATAACTAGGGGGGACGAAGACGGTCTTTCCCAATTGCACCGGAGGACGCAACGGGGCTTGGAGAGGGCACCAAGCCAGCAAGGGGGGAGCCACGCTGCACGGAGGGCGACGCAAAACACCGCCCGTTGTTTGGCTGGTCCGCTGCGGCTTACCTTCTGAACTGGCAACCACCGCCTAAGTTGCCCAGGCAGGTAAACAGGCTAGGGGGCCAGTAGCACTAGCCTGTCTTCGGGGTTCCGGGGAGACCAACACTTGCCTTGCGATAGGTGGGATTGAAGGAGGGGCTAAGCAAGGAGGTCGACTGACACCAACTGATAAGCCCACTATGCGTGTTATCGTCGCTCGACAGAGACCTGTACCTGAGAGAGTGGTGGGGTTCAAGTTGCAAAGAAAAGCTTGTGAAGCTGCGTTCTCCGTATGTGTCTGTCTCTCGCTTGAAAGTCGGACGCCCTGTGAGTATACTAGAGATGATATTTGTTGGCGGGAGATGCCACTTTATTAAAGAGCAGACTTGGAGCCGCAGTCCACGAAAAACCTTCACTTGCGGTCCTCATCCATTATATTGTCTACCTTATTGTGAGGCTGCAATAGCTAGTGCGGCAGAATTGGCCTATTCACCCATTCACGGTCCATCCCATTGACTGGGCGCCCGAACAATACGATCCGAACCACCAGGCCCTTCTGCCTGCCCATTCACTCTCAGGACCTCCCATTCATTCGCACTCTGACCAGTAACAATGGGTGAAAAAAACATTGTCGTTGTAGGGTAGGCATGAGTGACTCAAGCTTCTCAGTGCGAACGCAGCCTAACACCTCTACAGAGCGGGTGTTGCTGGTCTGACCACAGCCTTCCTGTTGTCCAAGAATCCGCGGTACAAGGTCACAATTGCTGCAAAGCACATGCCGGGAGACTATGACATCGAATATGCGTCACCTTGGGCTGGCGCAAACTATATGCCGTGAGTCGAGATACCCACCTTTTTGCAAAATTGTCACACTTCACTGACAGGCGAGACAAAAAGGGTGTCGGCAAAGGGGACACCGGCGCAAGAGTGGGATAGGAATACCTGGCAACCGTTTTTGGACTTGGCAAAGAACCATCCCGAAGCTGGTGTTCACTTCCAAAGAACAGAAATATACAATCGTAAAAAGGACGTCTCCTCAGCCACGGCTGCCTGGTTTGCTGACCTTGTCAGTCCCAATCCATGGTTCAGTACCCTCTTCGACGATGTGAGTTGCTGTACAGTTCCCCTTACCGAAATCAAGATACTCACACGGCTTTGATCAGTTCCGCGAGATCCCCAAATCGGAGCTCAAGGCCGGAATCGACAACGCCACGTGCTTCACCTCAGTTTGTATCAACACTGCAATATACCTGCCTTGGCTTGTATCCCAATGTCTAAAGAATGGTGCCATTGTCAAACGAGCGGTGTTCAAACATATCGCAGATGCTGCTGCCCCTGGCGTCCATCATTCAGGCCGCCCAGCCGACCTTGTCGTCAACTGCACCGGACTTTCGGCGGCGAAACTCGGTGGCGTTGAAGACAAGTCGGTTGTGCCTGCTCGAGGTCAGATTGTCATTGTCAGGAACCCGGCGCCCGCGATGTATGCCACGTCCGGGACAGATGACGGTCCAGATGAAGCCTGCTATATTATGACTCGGGCTGCCGGTGGCGGGACAATTTTGGGCGGTTGTTATCAAAAGGGAAACTGGGAATCTCAGCCCGACCCGAATCTCGCCATAAGGATCATGAAACGATGTGTCGCCATCTGCCCCGAGTTGACGGGCGGCAAGGGCATTGAGCACCTCGACATTATTCGACACGGCGTTGGGCTAAGACCCGTGCGGGAAGGAGGAACTAGAATTGAAAAAGAGAAAATCAACGGCGTCTGGACGGTACACAACTATGGTGCAGGCGGTAAGTGATGGCCGTGGCCTTCCCCCGTCGTTTTGCCTACCTCAATTGAAGTCAATCTCTTCGACCTGATCGTTGCTTGTCCTTCCCCCACGAGATGCCTAATTTTTGTTCTGTTTCGACTCGACTTTCCAAGGCAGATATTACTACTTTGATTGCTAATGCTATCCAGGTGCCGGATATCAGTCGTCATATGGTTGCTCTCAAGCAGCCGTGAAATTGGTGGACGAAGCTCTCGAGGATAAGGCCAGGCTCTGAGGGTACAGCGGAAAGTACAGTAGCAGTAGAAGTAAGATTGGACCACGCGCACGCCCTCCTCTCGGTACCATTGCCGGAGTCTCGATCAATGGTCTTGAAGGGTCCCATTTCCATGTGCAGATTAACTGATCAACCTAAATGCATGACAACCGACTTCTTTGTACTCTAGGTACTTTATAGGAGGGATAATGCTACACAAGGTCCGAAGCCCGCTTTCTCCACGCAGCATGGTTGTAGGGTGGCCTGCCAGCTGGATGAGGGTTCACAAAATGCAAAGCTTTTGAGGCCCGTAACTTGACTCGCCAATCAAGAGATTGCCGACAGGAGACATGGGCGGCGCCACTGGCGGCTGAAAATGCTCCGGCGGCGAGGCGCCACAGCCGTTAGCTAGCAGAAGGGTCTCAATCCAGATTTTGATTTTGATTCCTGTCTTCTTGGTTGCTTCTTCGTTCCTGCTGTAGTTTCTGGTCTTTTTCGCATTGATGCATTAATATCGCTGGCTTCAAGGCAGTGAGAGTGTGCAGGCAGGGCCCGGTAAGAACGGCAAGTGGTAGCGATTACTGGTCAGAATATCCGAAATAGATCACCGGTGTCTCGAAGCAGGGTTGTCGAGTCTGAGACATGCGCTTGGAAAGGAAGCGATCAGATGCAGGAACCCAGCCATCCACGCCACATCCATGAACTCGCTACCAACTAGCCAGAGTCCGCTGCGCAGGGATTGGAGGTCGATTTGACCTGGCAAGGCGACTTGGCTCGGGTACCTGGACGGTCTTGTCGAGCTATGAAGGTCCGTTGCAGGTTTGCCAGGAACGGAAAGCAAGGAAATACAGCAACGTTGCAGCCACCAACCACACTTGGTGAACGTCATCGAGACATGAAAGCAGGAACCACTGTGCATTTCGGTGATGCAAGCTGGCAGCACGGGTCGAGAATCATTCGGACTCATTCTTATCCATGCCTTGGAGAGTCACCACGGGCGCAGTGCGATTGAGGGCGTGTTGTGCTGAGAGGGTTCGTGATTTGTCCACTTGGCTTTCTCCAGCCCCGCGCTCTCACAACAGTCTCGGGGGCTTTCTCGCTGCAGGGAGAACGCTGACAGGAATAACTGCTGTGACTCGTGGCATGGCTTCGTACACTGCTGGATGATGGTTGTACCTGTGCCTTAATGTCTGTTGTGTTCCTTGCATGTCAGTAAGACGTTCCCTGACCTCCTGTCGCCTTCCCGTCGCGTACACCCTTGCCACGGGAACCGAGCCTCGTATTCTGACCAAAAGGCGTAGACTCTCGCTGACAACACACCGTATTCCAATGGGCAGTTTGGCATCGAAGCTCGGGTCCGGTTTCGACGAGAGACAGTTGCACCCTGGTTCCTGGCAGCAAGTTAGCTTGAAGCAAAGCTGCGAGAGGATTGAGACCGTCTCTGTGAGAAAGGCCCTTTGAGCCCTCGCAGTGGTCGGCACAGACGGCCACGAATGATTGGAGTAATATCCCCCGAATGATGGTGGTTGACCAATGCGAGCTGCCAGATCTGTTGTGATGCCGCTTCATGCAGATGAGGTTGATCTCTGATGGAATTGCTTGAAACAACAGGAGCTGTGATGCAAAAGGCCTTTTCCCACGCTTGATCTGCATCGAAGTTCAACTGATCATTCCGGAAAGGAAGATTGGCTGGAAACATAGAGGATCATCGATAGCTCCGGCGCTGTTCCTTACCTAGCTGGTGATGGATGCGTCTCGAGGCGAGGAGGAGGCGTACTTGGTAGGGCAGGCTGGTGGCTTGTTAAGGGCGGGTGGGTGCCTGTGAGAAAACCCAACACCCCCTCCTGCCCTCCTTCCCTGAAACGGTGCAGCTGTGGTGGCTTTTGGTTAAGGGTGGATGGGCTCCCTAGGCTTATTGTGGGCTTCGGGTCTGCCATGGCCCATGGGCATCAGGGGCTCCACTTCAGCCCGCATCGATCGCCTAACATTTCTCAGTAGCACACCGAGCAGATGTCCACCATGGCAGCCCGCCTACAAGACTAAATAGTCCGTAGCTTAAGCTGCCAAATCTGACTTACTCTTCGCCTCCAGTTCATTTTCTTTTTAGCACCTGCATGCCCCTACGGTAACCAGGTCGGTCCCCTACTTTGTGCTGCTGCCGCGCCCGCCACTCGCTCATCATTCGACATCATCGTCACAGTTCGTCACTGGCACCTGTGCGCTGCTCTGAAGCCACTCGCCATCCAGCAAAGCACCTGCGTCCAAGTTGCCTCGCTTCGTTCCTCTACCACGTTTTCCGCCCATTATTCATTCACGCTCATTCCTAGCTGCTCTACACTGCGGGCCCTCTATTTCCATTGTCCAGAATATCACTTACTCTATCTCAACCCATCGAATCCAGCCTCCTCAGCTTCGCGTCTCGACAGGCCAACCGTCCTTCTGCCTGTCACGACTCGCTGAGAACCCGTCACTTTGCCCCCCCTCTTCCAGAAAAGCAAGCATTGCGACCGCGACCGTGTGGCTTTGCCGCCCCTATGACAACCAAGTCGAAATAACAACATCGCATTTCCGGAATCCGTCTGTGCCACGGTCGGTTGACCTCGCCCTACTCCTTATACCGACATTGCAATTTGTCTTGTTCGCCAGTCCGGGTCGTGGTTGATGTCTCTAATCAGGGTTTGCGAACCTCCGCCTCGACTAAGCCCTGTCCCTTGACTGAGCCGTCCCTTTCCACCGGCCATCTGATCTGCTACTGTTGGGCTCAGCATGGGCTTTTGGCCATTCGGGGGAGGCAAAAAGAGCCGGATAACTCAAGGCGAAGACCAAGGACGACACACTCTTCTGGAAAAGACACGGACAGATCTCCGCGCCAAAAGAAACACAAGCTCCTCTCAAGAATTCGTGACCATGGGCCACACAGCGACTCAGCGCGGTCAAGACGAGAAGCCTCGAAGACTTTCGAAACAGCGGCTCCCTTCTCACCCCGGAAACGTCCCTCGGGCCCAGACGTTACCCATCACTGGCCCTGGACGCGAGTCGCTCGGCTACCAAAAAGGCTCCAACGGGGGAGGCGGTGGCATTCAAAGCACTGATATCTATTCGCACAATCCAATGTCACAGACAAGTATTGGCCCTGAAGATTTCACGGCACTGCCACAGGCTCCCACGCTGCTAGCGAGGCGTCCAGGATACGATCCGACACTTCATCGCAGAAAGTCGAGTAAGAGAAAGGCTGAGGACTATGCTCGTGAGAGGGAGGTGCGTGCCATGAGCTCTCCGATCCAAGCCCTGAAGAGGCCGATCACGTACTCAGGATCTGGGCCACTACGACGAGACACTAAACAGATTCCTGGCGACCTTAACAGGAGACTGCAACGGCCCACATCAGAAGTGTCTTTACCGCTCCCGGAAACAATACAAGAGTCTGAAGATTTTGCCAATCAAGCTTCTTTTAAGATTGGAATTCTAGCAGCATTGAGCCCCCGCCCCACGCTTACATACGTGGCAAGCCCTCGACCTTCGGCTGGAAAAAACCCCGCCAGAGTAAAGCCTTCCGTTCAGCAAGCTATAGAGGAGGAGGATCCTTCGTCGAAGAAAAGGATAAATGAGTTGGCGGACGAGCTCGACGCAGGAGGGTTGAGGGAGTTGATGGACAGAGATCGAAGACGCAAAGAACGAAAGAAAGAGGCCGACCGTGCTCGATTAGAGCGAAAGCTTCAGCGCAAGGCTGATCGGCAACGGGAGGAGGAATTGCGTGGTCGCCGGGTCAATGATGCCTCTGGTGATCTGACAGGCGTAGGTGAAGACGCTGAAAGAAGAGGTCGTGCAACATTTGGCAATTATGGAGAAACATCACAAGCAGCCGTGGCACGAAGGCCTCCAAGTCCTACACACAAACCGACTAATCCATTCGGTGATCCGGGAAGCTCACAGGCTCGCCCGGTCCAGTATATTCGAAATCCATTTGAAGATGAGAAAGATATTGATCTCACACAAGAATCATTTCTCCACGAAGAAGAGGAAGAAGAACCACCGGTGCCCGTCAGATCACCTCTCCGAACGGTTCCCCCCACCGAAGTTAGGATCGAGCAGAAAGCATCCCAGGCAACCACAATATCCCCTCCCATTTCTCCCGTGCAACGACCCATTGACCGCCAAAGCCTGTCTCAAACCAGCGGGTTGGCTCGTGAACTCACACCTGACATTCCCGAACATGGATTGATTGATCGACGCGCTTCGGACCAGAGCAGTCAACAGCTCAGCTCTTGGACCAGCTTTTTCAGACGTGGAGGGAGACGGAAGACCAGTAACACTGAACGCGGTCGAAGCACGCCTTCGGAGTTCTCGAACACATCACGCGAGTCATTTGCCGCTCGAAAGCAACAGCCGCCGCCTGTGGTGGTTCCTCGAACGTTTCGCAGATCTGACTCCTCTTCAGTTCCTCAAAGAACCATGTCGAAATTTCGGGAGGATCTGCCCGAGCTTCCGATTTCGCCCCCAGACTCTCGTGTTCAGTCTCCTGAAGTGATGACTAGTCCACAAGCTGGTCAGGCGTCCCGGCAACCGCGACACTCGCTGTCCGGGACACTGGATAATCGAAGTCTCGCCACCAGCTCGAGCAATGCAGCATTGGATCGTGGGGCAGCTGAAGCTCGTCAGGCTCAAGGTATTGACATTGAGATGAGCGGGACAACCTCCGGCCTGGTGTTGTCCCAATCACTGGCGTCAGTTGACTCCGAAGGATCTTGGTTGTCAGGCAAACCTCCCAAGAGGCATTCGGGCGGCATGAGCCACCCGCTTCGACAAAGCCAATCTTCCATTCCGCCACAATCCATGCCTGGCTCTTTCGAACCGGAGGATGATGACCTCGCAAACGATGAATACCTCAACAAGTTGTCTCCGGGCTCGAGTGGACGGCGAGATTCGGTTGCTTCTGCGGGTCGAAGAGCAAGCAGTAATGTGATCGACCTCGAGCGAGAACGCCAACAAAGCCCCGTTCCCAACATCCCTCCAATCTCTGCCGCCCCAGGTGGAGATGAGACATGGCACGCCGGCGTTGGGCGCCAAGCTACCGTGGTCCGGCAGCCTAATAGAGCAAGGTCGAAGGAAGGATTATTGAAGGAGACAGGCAAGGACGACACAGGCACATCTCGAAGAGCTAGCTCGGATGTGGAGGACGAGGGGGAACTGGCAGAAGGCGAGGCGGCTGGAACGGAATTACACGAACCAACGCTCTTGCGAGCAAGGAGTGTGGATTACAAAGGGCATGCGAGGCATATGAGCGCTGGAAGTGCGCGGTTACTGGACATTCGGCGGTCGTCGACGCAATCCGAACGTGCACCGCCGAATGCCAGCCTGCCCCAGATTGTACCACCAACCCGACGGGAACAGCCCACACGACTACCGAAAGAGTAACAAGGCTGTGCCAGCCACTGACGCATATCTCTTTTCCTTTGTCCATTTTCTTTGTTTTGCCCGCGGCAGCAAAAGAACTGGCAGGTGCGGGAATACCGTCAGGACGGTTGGTCAGGACATTCCTACGACATTCACGATGCGCAAAATTGATACCCAAGATCGCTCTTTAAAATTGGTTTTTTTTTTTTTTTTTTTTTTTTCACATTGGGGGACATAAGGCTTTTTCTATCTCTGTGGGCGGATTTTGAATTGGATCACATTAGCGGGGAGAGTCTGGTCGAGGGGCGCGAGCGGTATATAGTCCACAAAGCAATTGATTTGCGAGCAAAGGAAGGGGTAGTTAGCGGTATCAATTTCCAGCGAGCCGGATCCTGGGTGATTTGGCATCTTTTGACTTGGACCACAGGTATACAGCTGTACACAGAATGGGGAGCAGGGTGGTTAGATTGTGTACCTACAGTACAGTAGCTAGGTACTTGTGTAACAAGTACAGTACATACTTGGTCCATGGAAGGGAGATCAAATACCGCAATCAGCAGCCACCAGGATGTCACGTGTTGGAAAGATGACGTCAACATGGAATTGTCATCCGTTTCATGGCCGCGGCTTCGGGGACTACGAGAAGTGCCTAGTATGTGCTTCACTAATTAGCAGAATTCAAATATTTTACGAGGGCGCCTGTTGAACTGGATTTCTAATCGCGTCATCTTTTCTCATCTTCGTCTTTCCACCACCATCACCCCTCCTTGCCCTCCTTATCTCATTCACCATTCACCGTTCACCATTCACCATTTACCATCCATCCCGCTTTCCCCCCCATTCCAGACTCCCTCAGCCTCACGCCTGCGTTGCGCAGTTCTCCCTGTATATAACCTTCACCCTGGCCGCCTCAATCCGTTCCTCCTCCATCACACTTCAGCGCCTGTCGCTCACGCTCAAAACTCCACTTCGAACCAGAACAACTCCCTCGACCCGTTACTTCTCAACCACACCCTCAAAACCTTTTTCGCACTCGTCCTCCAAGATGGTCGTCCACAACCTTGCAGAGTACGTAGCCTATCATCAAGCAAAGCTGCGTGAGGAGCAAGCTCGCAATGCTCCCAAGCCTGCAAAAAAGTACGGTGTTAACCCCATCCACAGCAAATCCTCCTACACCACCTCCATTATTCAAGCCCCCGCCGACAGGCTCGTGGTCCTCGACTGCTTCGCCACCTGGTGTGGCCCTTGCAAAGTCATCGCCCCCGAAGTCGCAAAGTTCTCCGAGTCCGATGACTTCAAGGATAAAGTGGATTTTTACAAGGTCGACGTCGACGAGGTCCCCGACGTCGCTCAAGAACTGGGCGTGCGCGCCATGCCTACTTTCATGATCTTCAAGAATGGCGAGAAGGTCGGAGAGGTCGTCGGTGCCAACAAACATGCTCTGGAGGCTGCGATTAGGAAGAATTTGTAAATCCTTTTTCTACGGCCTCACCAGACCCGCACCTTACCTCTTTCGAACGAGTATCGATCGCGGTTCCTTTGTCCAGTCAATATTTTTGAAAGATGTGTCAACCTCACGCAGGTGAAAGTCACGAGGAAATGAAGAAAGACAAGCTGCACGGAGAGAAGACGAAAAGTCCACGGTGTTACAAACAGCGTGCTGGCTTGAGCGAAATGGTGCTGCTTCGCGTTAAACAAAACCGTAAAAGAATGGATATTTACCACAGGATTTCTAACCATTCCATTTCTTCACGTTGTCCTTGTCTCGGTGGCTCTGAATATCGGTGTATCTTCTTTGACTGGGCTCATTTTTTTTTTAAAGAAAAAAAAAAGATTCTCTGCCTGGGACCTGAATGATGAACTATGACTGAAGGCAAGGCAACTAGAAATCAAGGATGATCACGCATTCGGATGCAAACCTGCAACTGCGTCGAGTTTGGTCACACCCTGAAGCCTGCACGAAGAATAAGTACCCGTCCAACGCCAATGTCAAATCGCACCCTTCCTTTTTCCCAACGATTGAACTCCGCTGCACAAAAAGGCAAGTGTCGCAAAAGCAGGACGAAATTGTGTATCCGTACTGAGTACCCGGTCCTGGGAGAAAGGAATGAGCACTTGTAGAGTACTTGTTTTCCGTTGCATAGATATTCTTCCGGTTTTAGTCGGAAACACTAGTCCATCATGCCCCTGACCGAGCTCGGCCCTCCCCAGGGCCCACGATTTCAAACGCTCCAGTTGTTTCGTTTTCTGTTGTGTTTTCTTTCCTTTTCTTTCTTTTTATGGTGGAGGAAACTGAGCCTGATCTCATGCTGACGGGCAGGAGTCTGCTACATCGGGAACTGCTTCGAGTACATGAAATTCTTCGTGCTTTTTTGACTCTTAGAAGTGTAGAGATAGGAAAACAAATGGGGATTCCTGGGGGAAATTTGACACGAAGCCAATCAAAAATGCATGGTTTCTGGCCAGGGATGTATACAATTGTTCAGCCAGCCTAGGAACCCAGTGTGTTGGTAGTGGGATGTAGAAGTGGAGCTGGTGAAAGGATTCCGAATTAGGCGTCCCTGTATTACGCCGTCAACGTCTTTAAAGTGTACGGTAGAACTAAAGGGACGGAGAAGAAGATAGAGAATGTATGCCGTCTTGATTTTTATTTTGCTTGGACCTGTATAATATTGACATTACATTGATATTGACATTGTTGATACTTCGATATTCGAGAGCGAGAGACCTCGGGTCATCCCGAAAAGGAAGGGAGATTCGACTGGTTCCGAGGCGAATGCAGTAAAATCGCGACCAAGAGCAGCCCAGTAACGGGAATTCTGGAGACGAGGTGAGGTGTTGTGCCCATGCAGGTGACAGCCTTGCGTACGAAAGTAGACCTCGATCTGAGGTGGAATGGACAACTTTGGGTCTTTGAACACTGGGAGCTCGTCATTGATTTGGAGGCCGGGCGCTTGTACAGTAATTGTCACCGTGGCTCGACCTAGATTAGACCGTAGATATCCCTGTGCACGTGATCATCGCCCTGAAGCGGATACACAGCGAGACAGCTGTCTGAGCCTCGAGAAGTGCGTCCTTGTACAAGTACTTGGTAGTACCGAGTACTGGGTACACGTAGAGGTGTGCCACAGTCGAGCTGCCCCTTTTCCCCGGATAGTGTACGAAAACAAATCGCAATCATGGGTGACGGCAGCTCGTCGGTCTTCGGAAGTATCCAAGTCGTTAGAATTCGGGCATCTGGATATTACCTAGGCATGAACTCCGTACTAGGGACTGATCCCGGGCAGACACAAGCAACGAGGATGGAAGATTTAGGGATCTCGAGGGACTGAAGTCAATGTTGGTTTAGCGCATTGCCCGATGTGGCTAGCGGCTCACTAGGGGCTGGCTGCTCACCGTAATTTGGCATTTTGGAGATGACGCCGCTTCGTTGCGCCGCTTCCCCTTCTCTTCCCTTCTCCAAATGGAAGACGGAATCGGAATGCGGAAGCCCAGAAGCAGTCAATCCAGGCTACCTACATCAGCAAGCACTGTGCTTCCTTGCTCTCACTCACCTTTGCACATTATTCTCAAGCGCAGTCAACTTCTGCTATTCACAACATGCCTCGATGTCTGCGTCTAGCTCGTTTCGTCCCTGCCCTTCCCTCTCTGAACCCGGTCCTGCGCAGCCATTCAATATCCCGTCATCCGGTTCAATTCCCTACGGCGCCTTGAACTCCATGTGGCGACAAGCTACTACGCATTTGAGACTCTAAACACTGTATCGAGATGCTGGGGAGATTGATTCAAGGCTACGCCAGAGGCAGCCAGCTCGAGAGCGCTACAGAAGAAACACACACCCGCAGTCTGCTCTGGCCAGAATTTCACGCGGATGGACGTGCCAGTTCTTTATCACCGCCTACCACCCCATACGGCTCCCCCACGGCCCGGGTCTCGCCGTTCGATGATCGAGTTGGGCTCGACCTGAACGAATCCAAAGACTTGAGGTTAATTGTCGCCCAAGATGCTTTCGGAACGAATGACCGTCCTTTGCTGCTCTTTGACACCCACTTTGTCGAATCTACGGAGCCAAACTTGTGCCAACGCACAAATGCGTCCGCTGCTGCTGCCCCTGGAGCGCCTCATCGCGCTGGACCTGGCATTCCCATTCTCGGACATATGAGGAATCGAAGTTCTACCATTTCAGGAGCGTCGGCGGCTTGGGCGCGCCCTCACAAGGAGACGGAGCCGGCGGACCACCTCGGCAATGTTCTAGATTGTATGTTTGGTGTTAGCAGTGCCACGAAATCTGGTTCTAGCACAAAATTGCACTTCCTTCCAGGCGACCGAGGTCCTGCGAGCGACCTAAGTTCACGTACACCATCCTCAAATCTGCCCAGCACAACCCCTTCTCGTGCTCCCCTGTTGCGGGCGAGGACAGCTACGACTGCTGTCAACAACCAAGGCCAACACAACCCTCCAAGAGAATCCGAATCAGAGCCCCGGGACGCTATTCTGGTCACTCGCATGTTTTCGGTTGCGCTTCCCGACGCCCAGGACGATTTAAGACAGCGCCGAAGGTCTTCTGCTGATCCGTCCAGTTCAATCAGTCCGCTGTCGTCGCATGGCCCTGAGCACCAAGCGGGCTCTCCCGTGCAAAGCAAGAAACCCAAGCTCGTAGAGAAGAAGATTCCAGTCTTTGCGATCGGCCTACTCTTCTACTTGCCCCGCCCTGGCGACGCACGTCCGACCACTTCATCGGTTCGCCCACCTTCAAGAGCCTCATTTACGCCGTCATCGACTCCAAATTCTCAAGGATCGGGTTCCTTTTCGTCCTGGACATTCTTGAATGCCATCCCCGAGCACCTGTGGTCCAACGAGGCCGCTTCCAGCCAGTTGACCGACCGTGGCATCGAAATCATTGTCAGAAATTGGGAGGTCGTTCTCAGGAGTCTCGCTGTCGTTGAGACGCTAGCCCGCGCCGAGATTGCCGAGCTTTTGCAGGAAGTCAACTTGGCGTTGATAACCTCCGCTGCCAAAGCACCAAAAGGTCCTTCGGAGCAACGTACAAATCAGCGTAACGTCTATCTTCGCTCTCCAAATAGACTGGCGCAAGCGTCCGAGCTACAACGCGCCGCCCGGCATACTTTATGGAGAGTTTCGTATGCGCTGCGTATTCCTCGTGTTCTTACGGGCTTAGGTCTTGACAACGGTGGCCACTGGCTTGACGAAGCACGCTATCTCGTCCGAATCTGCGGGAATAAACAGCAAAACTTCTTTCTTTTCAATCTCTTGACTGCGTTTCTCGGAAATCATACCGAATGGCTCGAAAGGTTGGGGCCAGACTGGTATCGAAGACAATTCAGAGCTTTAAATAAAGGGAAAGCTCGACCCAGCAACCTCGCCTCTCGAACCGTCATAATCTGTGACAACCGATCAATGGCTCGCCGAATTATTTTTTTGCTGGCGTCGTTTTTACCACGGAATGCAATCACGAAGCTTCCAACCGAGGTCATGTCGCCGCTCCTTACGCCTGATATAAGCTCCTCTTCGCCATTCAACAGAATCCTCAACGAAGGGTCACTTCGTCGCCATGCTCATAGTAAGTCTCGAGATGGAACTGTCACATCTTATCGTCGTGATGGTGCTGGGTTGTCCAGTAGCGTCTCGTCGTCTGAGAGCGTTAGTGGCATTGCCCAAGCCTTTCGTGGAAGCTCTCGGTCGAGGTTCTCAAACGCCGAACTTACCATTGGCCTCAGACACGCATCCGTGTTTTCCCCAGCGGATAACGGTGGCCATGTCCACAAAACAGATGCCACTAGTTCGACAGCCACGCCTGGTATCGGTACACCTGTGCCGCACTTTGCGACAAAGGCTGATGACAGCTACTTTCCTGCAGGCGCAGTCATGGACAGTCCAGAGACTGGTGCCAGCGCTGACCTTGCGCGAATCTTGAGGCGAGACAGCGTGAGTCAGTCCCAGTCTCACCAATCGAGTATGAACTGGGGCTCGTTAATCAGTAATGTCTCTGGACTGTGGAACAAAAGACAAGACTCGACCGCTTCGACAAATGAGATCGCAAGCACGTCTACTACTGGGAGCTTGAGCGATCGCCGTAGACTTGCTCCTCGATCAGTACCAATCCAGGGCAGACGGCCAAGCCAATTGGAAGCCATGGTTGATGAAGTCGGTCGCCTCCCAAAGAGTAAAATGCTCAGTCCAGAAGGCGACCCCGCAATGTTGTGCCGGCCGTCCACATTTCCAAGTGAAGTACATCCACCACGGCTCACCGTTGATGAGAAGGACGGAGTTGTTGATGTGGATATAAACATTCCTGGTTTCATAGGCTGGAACGAAGGCAAAGGTTCTTCTCCTCCATCATGGCTGCATCATCGTTCCGCGTCATTTGCGAGTGCGGACGAAGCTGGTTCATCGTACAGCTCACAATCTTATCGCGGCGACTTGATGGGGTCGAAAACTCCAAATGTTGCA